TGATTCCCCCAGCAGGGATTTGTTTTTTTCAGGGGCTGCAGCACCCCCAGCACAGCCGAATCCAGCCCCATCCCTGTGCCAAAGGCAGCACCCAGGGCCCCAGTTGCCCCATGGCTGGTCCCAGTTTCCCCAGGGTTGGTCCCAGTTTCCCCATGGTTGGTCCCAGTTGCCCCAGGGTTGGTCCCAGTTGCCCCAGGGTTGGTCCCAGTTGCCTGGGATCCCACAAAGGCTGGACGAAGGGGGATTCCCATTGGGATGAACCCATCCCAGCCGGGTTACCCCAGAGCAGGGACCGGAGCAGCCCCGCTGGCAAAGGGCACTGCTCCCTGTTTTTCTCCTGGCACCAATTAATCTGCCTTCTCCTCCTGGCTGGGAACAGAGCTCAGCTGAGGAGGGCTGCCGATAAGATGGGCGCAGCAAGCGCAAACACTTCATCACTTTCCGAAGAGGCTGAAGGCTCATTTATGGCCATTTTAATAGCTGCTTGGATAAACACCAGCAATAACCTGCGCTGGACTTGCAGCAGATGATTAATGCACCCACAGCAGTCACGCTCGCTCGCCTTGGGGCTGGGATTGTTTTTCTGTTATTAAGGAAGGGGGAAATAATTAAATAAATAAAAGGGAGAACGGGGACTTTGCCACATATTTGGGGGTTGATGCATGGTTGCGGAGAGAACCCGCTGGGCTCTTCCATCATCCTGCAGCAGCTGGAGAGGAAGGGTGGGTGGAAGGAGAGGAATGGGGGATGGAGGACATGGGGTGAGGGATGGAGGACATGGGATGAAGGATGGAGGACAAGGGGTAAGTGATGGAGGACAAGGGATGATTTCTTGCTCTCACTTCTCCCCTCTGATGCTCCTGGCCCCGTGCCCTGTGCTGGTCTCATCTCCTGCACTGCAGCCAGGGAACTCCCCAGGGGCTAACCTTCGGGGTCTTACTTTTATTTACAACCCTCCCAAGGCACTGCCATCATTTAGGGGCCCTGCGTGCTGCTTTCTGGGGGACTGGCAATGTCACAGCGCATCCTCGGGCTGTTGGCGCTGCTCCCAGACAGAGCTGGAGGAGCTCCCATGGTGAAACCCCATCTCCATCCCTTTCCCATCTCCATCCCTTTTCCATCTCCATCCTTTTCCCATCTCCATCCCTTTCCCATCTCCACCCCTTTTCCATCTCCATCCTTTTCCCATCTCCATCCCTTTCCCATCTCCACCCCTTTTCCATCTCCATCCCTTTTCCATCTCCATCCCTTTCCCATCTCCATCCCTTTCCCATCTCCACCCCTTTTCCATCTCCACCCCTTTTCCATCTCCATCCCTTTTCCATCTCCATCCCTTTCCCATCTCCATCCCTTTCCCATCTCCACCCAGCCCCACCGACCTGCTCGGTGCCACAAGGGCAGGGACACAGGCAGTCACGCTGGCGTGTCCCCTTCTCCTGCCACTGGCCATAAACCCCTGTCCTGTGGCTCTGTGAGGGGCGTTACCCAGGGCAGGGCCGAAATCTTGCTGATAAGGAGCATTTCTGCTGCGGTCAGCCCCAGCAAGAGCTGAGTGTGCTCTTTTGGTGATAAGGAGGTGCTAAGGGGTGGCTTTAACCATGGGGCAAGCACCCTGCCACTCACTGCACCCTGACCTGGAGAGGGGCTTTAAATGGCACTTTTAGGCAAGAAATGGCCAAAAAAAAAAAAAAAAAAAAAAATCAATGGATCTTTTTTTATTTTTATTTTATTTTATTTTATTTTTTTTGCCAGCAGTGCACTGAGTGAGAGCTCCTGTCCCCAAGCCCAGGTGACAGAGGGGGCTGCACAGTCACCCCATGACACCGCACCCACTCAAATCCCACTGGACTGGGTTTACTCCTATTGCTGTTGTTGCTGCCTTGCACCGGCCACAGCAGTTGTTCTAATAGTTTGCAATTATTTTTGCACCTGCAGGTCTGAAACGAACCGCCACGTTGCTGGGGTTGCTTCATTTCTCTCTCTTTTTTTTTTTTTTTTTTTTTTTTTTTTCAGGATGAGAAAAGAGCTGTTTAGATGAAAAATTTGGAGTGGAGACATGTTTTCCTCTCCCTCATGGCAACGTCACAGCATCTGGGAAAGCAGCTTAGTGAATTATGCGCTATGATAATTGATTGAATTCATCAGCAAATAAAGCAGCATCATTTAGAATCGCGGTCCAGAGAGCGAGGAAAAATTCCCCATGCAGGGATTTTACGAGCTGGTGCAGGAGCCATTGTGCCCACAAAACCACAGCAACGGGAAAATTAACAGACGAGGGGGCAGACTGCCCCCCAAAAAAGCTCTTTTTGTAGGATAAACCCTCAGCAAACCCTTTCTCTCATCTCCAGAAGCTCCTTGGTTGCTCAAAGAGAGAGATGGGTCAGGCAGGAGTTTTGAAGCACCCTTGAACGCTTTGAGAAATAGGATGGGAATGTTAAAATGTGGATTTTAATGAAAGAAAGGGAAAACTGGCTCGAGCATTCCCAGCCAGAGGCTGTAAGGTGAGCTTACACCTGGCAAAAACCCCAAATCTTCCCGTCTGGCACTGGGGTCTAAATAATCTGCTCCATCACACACCTCCCTGCTCACCTTTAGCCCTCTCCCATCACACCACTGTCATGGCAGATGCATTACAAATCTCCTGAGAATTATTTGGTGTTAAACTCCTTATTTCTGCCTGATTTGGGGGTCTCAGGGTCCAGAGACTCATCTTCCATGTCCTTCACCCTGTGGGGCCACGAGCTGGGAGATTTGTTGAGCCTGGCAAGCCAAAGAGCTTGTTAAAGACGAGGAAAGCAAACTGCACTTCACAAGCAGCGTCCGGCCACGGGCATCCTTTCTGCAGGACATTTGGGGTTTATCCCAGCAGTTCTGGACCCTTTTTTTTTCCATCGGGCTCCAGGGCTCTCCCCTCTCCCTCTGATGCCAGGAGCTGGCTGTGGTGACTCCGGCACGGCACACGTGTCCGCGCACACGCGCTCCGGCGGGGGGGAGGCTGTTTTCATGCAGCTTTTGATGGAAATGCGAGCGGATGGGAAGCATCCTCCTGGCCGGGGCAGCCGCCGGGGACACCGCGGCTCACCCAGGAGCCCACGTCACCCCGCAGCCCCGCGGCTGCTCTCGGTTCAGCATCCGTCTCCGTGGCAACGCATCCTTCATCCTTCTTGCCTTCATCCTTGTTGCATCGCCAGCAGCCCCGGGTACCCCCCAACTGGGTCCTCTGCCCTCCATCACCCACCCCAGAACCCCCAAATTGCGTTGTATGGGAAGAGGGGAGTGTGGGGACCGGTTGGTTTTGCACCCATGGGTGTCTCTGAGCCCATCCTTGGGAGGTGTTTGGGGACGGAATGGCTTTGGGGCAGCACAGAGGCACCAACGCGCGTCTTCAGGCTTGCAGATATCTCACCTGCCTTCCTGGACCTCAGCTGCTTCACCTGACAGCACTGTCCCATGTGTTGGTGGCTTTTCTGTCTGCTCCCAGCTGGGGTTTTTCAGGACGGGATGCCACCAAGCTGCTGGCACCACCAAGAGGGCCCCTGCCCAATGCAAAGTCCCGCAGCACCATCAGCACCTTGGAGGATGCTCAGGTGCATCGACCGTGGGCACCCCAGTGCGCTGTTCCCCTTGGAAAAGGGCCCCAAACTGCCCTCATTGGGGTCACCGTGTACCAGCACCACGCTGAGATCCCAGAGCCCATTTTGGCCATGCTGCTCGCCCGAGACCCTGGCCCAAGAGCCGGGAAAACCCCTCCCCCAGGAGCAGCTGGGAACACGGGGCTGGTGCTCCGCAGGAAATCTCCATTCATTGGCCCTTGGTCGCTGGCCAAATTGGAGCCAAACCAACCATTTTTGCAACTTCCCAAGGAAGTTTCCAGGGACCTGGGGCTGGTGGGGAGAGGGGCTGACAAGGGGGTGCCGTGGTGTCCGGGTTTGGAAGCATTGCTGGTGCCGTTTACAACTGGGTATGTGCTCAGTGTGGGGTAGGAAGTTTTTTTTTGGTGTTCCTGCTAGGAGCACACCCTGATAAGATGTGTTATGGGAAGCTGTGATTTTATGGGGGGGGGGGGAATTAATTGATGTTAGGAGATTGTAGGCTCTTAAATACCTCCTTTCTCTTCTAGAAACAGTTCTCTGCACCCTGTAGGGTTCCCAGCCCTACTGGGAGGACTTGTTCCTTGCTGGGGGCTGTGTTGTCCCATGTGCTCACACCATGGGGCCATGGCAGTGCCCAGCCGTGCTGCAAAGCAAACAAGTCAAGGGATTTTCCCTGCCCTAAAAAAGCACACACAGCCCATTTCCCCATGGGTTGGTTTTGGGGATAGCAGGGCCAGCAGGACGTGGTGAACCCTGAGCCTGAGCTCAGCCCGGGCACAGCTCCCAAGGCAGGGGCGGGCCCCCGGGGAAAAGTGATTTATTTAATTAAAAAAACAAAATAAAGCACAAAAGGAGCTATCAAGCCCACCAAAACGAGTCTGGTTTTCATTTGGAAGGAACTTTTTGTTGCTCGTTTGTCATCAGACCAATTCCTCAAAGTCCAGACACTTTGTGGGACAGGATGGGGTTTCCTTCCCCGCCAGAAGGAACGCGCCATTTCCCTGAAAAACGAATTATGCCCAGGGGCACGACTGCGACAAGAAGCTGCAGGACCTGTCGGGGACATCCTGCCTGGCGCGATGGGGTCCCCCTGCCACCGAGCCAGGAGGGGACTGGGGACAGAGCCCAGCATGGGACTAGTCCTGCGGCCGCCCACCCCACACTCCCAGCCTTCCTCCTGCTGAAGGAATTTCTTTTTCCGCCCTTCCCTCGATTCTTCTCCTTTTTCCCTCCCTCCCTTCCCAGCCCTTTCCCCTTCCCTCGCGGCGCAGCCAGGCACCGAGGGGACTTTGCCCCCCCAAGGCTGAGCTTTCTCCCCGCAGCCTGGAGCAGCTGAAGGATGAGCGAAAACGCTCTTATCTGCGAGGGGAGGCAGGCGCTGTGGGCAGGGTTTGCGCGAAGGCTGCTGGCTTATAAGCAGCCGGCCGCGGAGGGAAGCTCCCTCGCGAGGCTCCGAGCGCAGCTCCCACCGCGATGCCCGTGGCGCTGGGGCTGCTGCTGCTGGTGCTGAGCCCGGTGGGTGCCCTGGAGCCGGGGCTTGAGCCCCCCGATTACGATGCCACCGAGGCGGGGGCTGCCCTCTTCGCCGATGCCTACAACAGAACGGCCGAGATCGTCCTCTTCAAGAGCGTCTCGGCCAGCTGGGATTATTACACCAACCTGACGGCCACCAACGGTGCCCTGCAGGTGGGTGCTGGCACGGGGTGCTGCTGGGGGGGCTCCGGCAGGGTGGGGAGGGCTGGCGGGGTCCCCTTCCTCCCCACGGGTTCCTTTTGAAGCACCCCAAGGTGCTGTCCCGGGACTCGGATGTTTGGCTTGGGAATGGTTTTGTCCCCAAAACTGGCTCTCCGGAGAGCCCCTGCCCCAGTGCAGCAGCCCTGGCCCCGCAGCAGAGCCTGGGTTTATTTTTAGAGGTGTTTCCCTCTGCCCAGAACCTTCCACTTTCCTTCCCCCCCTTCCCAGGCTGGGGTCAGGTGTCAAGTGTCCCTGTCCCTGCCCGGCACCACGTCCCCAGCACTGTGCCGTGCCCCAGCCCCTCGGGAGCCCCAGGCATGAAGGAGCAGTGGGGTGGCACCGGGGCACTCCAGCCCATGGGGACAAGCTGGCTGGGGGGAGGTTGTAGGTTTTGGTGTGGGCTGGAGCTGCTCTCAGTTGCACGAGCTTGGCCCCTGTATGGATGCTCCCCCAGCCCTTGTCATACCTGGGGGGCTGCCACAACCACGGCGTGGGGACGTGTCCATGGGGACACGGACACGGTGCTGTGTGCAGCTTGGACCCATACACCCCACCCCATGTAGCTTATGGTGCACGGGGTCAGCACAACAAATATGTGACCAGCATGCGTTTGGGAACCTGAGTGTTACCTCCACACCCCAAATAATGTCACGCAACGCCCCAGAGCCCAGCCAGAAGCCCGTGGGCAGGAGGCACATGGTGTGCTGCACGTCTGTCTGTGTGGGACACAGCAGCGAGTGGCTGGGGTGGCGGGGGACAAACGCTGCCAACTTGGCAGGACACCCGGCGTGCCCCTCCAGCCTTTTTCGGCCAGCTAACGCTGTCCAGGCACGCGCCCAGCCGCTGCCTGGCAGATGTTGTGGTGGGGTTGGGGACCTTTGGGTGCCGCGGGGGCATCCCGGCTTCAGCAGGCAGTGAGGAGGGGCTGGGGAGCACCTTGCGTGGATTTTGCTCGGGGACATTCCCAGACCAGCCCACTTTCCCATGTTAATAAATACCTGAGGTTCACGGCTGAGTGCTCGCTGTGATCTCAAGGCTTATCGGGCCACCCTGTTCCCCTCCCAGTAGCTCCCAGATAGTTTCGGGGACAAGAGGGGAAAACAGACAGGACTTTTCTGGCTGCTCTGCCCGAAGCTGTGCCCACTCTGAGAAATGCTCAGAGCACACTGCAGAGCTAAAAACACCCTGGTGGTGCCCAGCACAACATTTGCCTGAGCCTGACACAGATGGAGAGGGAGAGGAGGGGATTTGGCCCCTGAAATCAGCCCGTCAAAGGGGCAGCAGAGACACGTGTTGTGCAATGGGGAGGCAGTGAGAACTAAAGGGTTAACAGGGCTTGAGGTGGACAGCAGGACCCGAAAGGCAGAATTTGGGGGATTTGGTGAACCCTTGGGCCAGGCAAACCCCGCTCAGGTCTATAGCACAGAGGGGCTGAGCCCAGCCAGCCCAGAGGTGTGGGGTCCCCCGGGACCTGTCCCCAAAGACGTGGCCAGGGGACAAAGTGACATGGGGGGGACATCAGGCTAAATGCAGGGCAGCAGCCCCCGGCCTTGTGGGGATGGACAGAGGGATGCTGGAATGACAGACAGGCGGGCACGGCCGTGGCAAGGGGTCTGGGGCAGAGCCTCTGGCCTCAGCTCGCTCCACCGGAGCTGTCAGGAGAGTTTAGGGCACAAATCGCCTGACCTAACACAGGCGTCCGTTCAAGAAGGAGATGAAACACAGCTGGACTCTGCCTCCTACAGCTCCCTGGCTCAGAAACGGGGTCTGGGAAGGGATAAAACATCCCTCGTGAGCCTCCACACATCGTGGGTGACTCCCATTGATACAAGGGCATCTTGCTCCAGGGTGGGGGCTGTCATGTCCCGGTGGGATGGGGAGCCGGGGCCGGATGGTACCGGGGTGAGGGTGGAGGTGCTGGGATGCCCAAGGGGGGAGGTGGGCACCCAGCTCTGCTTTAGGCATCTCCCCTCCCTGTCCCCGAGCAACCTCTGGCCACACCACACTGTAACTCCCTTCCCTCCCGAGAGAATGTGATGATTAAAATAAAACAACCCAGGCTTGTTGGAACCAGGCTGGAAACGCCACGAATTACAGCTAATGAGCTCCATAAATCATGCTGGGACGGCACGGGCAGCGAGCAGGCTTTCTGCATGTTCTCACTGCGCACTGCCCGGGCTGATGCACTCCCAAAAAATCAGCATTTCCACGCTGGCCACGTGGATGCTACCGCCCGCGATGCGCCTCGTCCCAAAAATCGTGGCTGCCGGCTGCAGCTCCAGCTGCCTAAATAACCCCTGCAGTGCAGGCTGCTCCCGCTGTCCCACGGCCCTGGGAAGCGAGGTCGGGGCTGGCAGTGCCGGATAAGGGTAATGGGGCACCCAAAACCGGGGGCATCTCCAGGGGGTTGCATCTCCGGGGTAAATGGGTGCCCCTCTGCAAGGCGAAACCCAGAGATGGGGCTTATAGGGCACAGAGCAGGGAGATGCAGCTAAATGTTGCTCGAGCACGGATATAATGATGCTGGCACAATGGCCCATGAGCACCCAACACCCTGCCCACGGGGCACGGACCCCCTGTCCTAATATCCCTAATATCCCTAACAACACCACGTCCAAAACAGCCTCAAAATCCACTCCTTGGGTGCTCTGTGAGGCGAGCGGGGGCTGCAGATGTTGCCTCTTCGGCTGGAAACTGTTGTCTCTTTCTATAAATGTCACGGCTCGGGGACAGCCCTGCCTGCCACCGCGTGTCCCCTGCCCTCTGGCTCGCACAACCCCCGTGACTCTGAGCGCGGTGTCACGTCCCGGCACTGGTCCCCACGTCCCCTCTCTCACCGCGCAGGTCGAGGCATCGCTGGAGGAGCAAAACTTCACAGAGGCATGGGGCAAGAAAGCCAAGGAGCTCTACGGCAACATCTGGAACAACTTCAGTGACACCCAGCTGAAGAAAATCATCGGCTCCATCCAGACCCTGGGGCCCTCCAACCTGCCCCTGGACAAGCGACAGCAGGTAGGCAAGGCTGTGGTGAAGCCCTGGGAGATGCTTGGGTGCTGCGATTCCCCCTCAAAGCCTTTTTTCCTGAGCGTGCAGAATCTGCTGCTGGCCCCTCAGCTGCATTTTGTAGGGTCTCCTGGAGGCTGAAAACTGGGGAAAAGTGATGGAAGGGGGGAGCTGGGAGCTGGGGTCCCACCTCGGGGAGGACACACAGCCAGGATCTGTCCCTAACGTCAATTTGGAGCCACCTGCAAGCAGGGGCTGGAGATTTCCTGCTTACATTGAGCAGCCTTGGGCGTTCCCTGGACAGCCGGCCAGGCTGTGCCCATGGCTGGGGCCAGCTGGCTGGAGCCCCCGCAGACACAGCCCAGCAAACAGGAGGGCTGCGGCAGCCACCTGGCTCCCTGCACACCCGGAGCGGCTGTGACCGGTGGCACAGACCAGCAGCAGGGACATCAGGACAGCCTTCCCCATCACAGCCCCGAGCTTGCGGTGTCCTATAATTAAATGCAAGTAAAATGCTCGAGGCAGCGATCCCTGCACATCTCCAGTGGCTCCCGGGGCACCTCCCCACCGAAACCCTGCTTGGCTTGCAAGCCCGGTAATACAATCCTCACTGGAGCAGCGTCAGCCCCAGTTCCTTCCCGGAAACCTGTCCCTGATAACAGAACTGATCCCATCTCCCTGCACATCACCCACGTTTCTCCCCGCCCGCAGCCACCGCCGTCCCCTCCGGAGCAGAGGAATGGGAGCAGAGAGAGGGGGACGGCGCGGGGGAATTTCCGTCCCTGGGAATGGGCTCCCCGAGCAGGTTCCAGGAAACCTCCCGTTGCTATTGTTTGCTGTTGTTGAAGCTCACAGAAATAAATACCCTCCCCTCCTCCTGTGGTTTTTCTTTTTTTTTTTTTTTTTTTTTTGCCCGCTTAGATAAACAGCCTGTGCCGCAGCCCTTCTGACGAAGGGTGTTATAAATAGCCATGCTCCGGGACACGGAGGGGGCTCGGTGAGCGGCCGTGCGTGGGCTGTCTGTCCCAAAGTGCAGAAACAACGGGTGACAACACACACCTCACCCCAAAAAAAGCACTGTATAAACACCCCGATCCTCCTTCGGACACACACACGTGCTCCGGAGATGGGAAGTCTTTGTAAATCCCTCCTCAACAGCCCTTCCCACCCTCTTCCAGCCCCAATGCCTTTTCCCTCTCCGCAGTACAACACCATCCTGAGCGACATGGACAAAATCTACTCCACGGCCAAGGTGTGCCCGACCAACGATACCTGCTGGGAGCTGGAGCCAGGTGCGGTCCTGTCCCCAACCCTGTCCCCATCCCCATCCCAGTCCCCATCCCCATCTCCGTCCCCTGCTTAGGGTCTGCTCCTGATGAGCACCCCCAGGCCGTGACTTCGCCCTGGTCCCAAATTCCCATTGGGATGGGGTTGGCAGGGTCCTGGTCCACATTCATAGGGCTGTCATGGGGTGAGGATGGCTCAATTTGGGTCGATTTTGCACCCCACTCCCGCACCTCCTTCCCACTTGCATCTCTCATGTCCCATGTGTCCCTTCTGTCTCAGACCTCTCGGACATCATGGCCACGTCCCGCAGCTACAAGAAGCTCCTGTACGCCTGGGAGGGCTGGCACAACGCCGCAGGAAACCCACTGCGTGCCAAGTACGAGGAGTTCGTGCAGCTGAGCAACGAGGCGTACCGGATGGACGGTGCGAGCGGGATGGGGACGTGGTGGGTCGGGGAGCGGGGTGGGAAGAGGGGCAACACAGTGTCCTGCTCTCCCCATCCCACTTCATCCAGCCTCCATTTCACCTCTGCCCTGGTGTTGACACCTTGGGGAAGGTGCAAAAGATCCTACTGGTGCCCAACAGGCCCAGCTCTTGGGGCTGGATGTGGGGCAGCCCCTTGGGGATGGAGCTGGGGGTCATCACTGCCTCCCTGCAGGCTTCGAGGACACGGGCAGCTACTGGCGCTCCTGGTACGACTCAGCCTCCTTCGAGGATGACCTGGAGCATCTCTACAACCAGCTGGAGCCGCTCTACCTCAACCTGCATGCCTTTGTCCGGAGGAAACTGTACGACCGCTACGGCCCCAAATACGTCAACCTGAAGGGTCCCATCCCTGCCCACCTCCTGGGTAAGAGCCAGGGGTCCTGGTGGGACTGCAGGGCCGTGGTGGGATGGCGGGTGGTCCCACTTATTGCTGTTTCTCTTCTATCTGACCCACCCCTGGGTCTGCTCTATCTGCTTTTTCTCCTCAGGCAACATGTGGGCTCAGCAGTGGAACAACATCTACGACCTGATGGTCCCCTACCCTGAGAAGCCCAACCTCGATGTGACGAGCACCATGGTGGAACAGGTAATGGGCTGAGGGACCTGCTAGGACACCACTGGGAAAAAAGGGGGGATACGTTGGCCAGGGCTTCCCCATAACTTTGATCCTATGGAAGTGGTTGCCCATATCTGCATATGGGACAGCAGAAAAAACACGTCTGGGAGGGGTAGGGACAGAGAAATGGCACCGCTCCCACTCCAGCAATAGCCAGAGAGGCAGCAGGTGGGAAAAGAGGCAGGCTGGTGTGGTGGGAGCAGTGCTGGTCCTTACGCTGGGGGCTGCATCCCCACCATCACTCATCTCCAAGCCCTCCTGAGACACCTGTCCTGCTCCTATCTCCTGTCCGTTCTGGGCACCAGCCCTGCTGCTTGGTGCTGCTTAGGGATGCTCACCCCATTTCTGGAGCTTCCCATCAGGGTGAGAGGGGCAGGAGCCTTCCTCCTCCCTGTGGTGTTGTGAGAGGATCAGAGGCGATGCCCGAGGCATGGGCAGTTCTTTTCTTGGCCGTAACCTGCTGTCTCCTGCCCTCCAGGGCTGGAACGCCACCCACATGTTCCGGGTCTCGGAGAAGTTCTTCACCTCCCTGGGGCTGCTGGAGATGCCCCCTGAGTTTTGGGACAAGTCCATGCTGGAGAAGCCGACGGACGGGCGGGAGGTGGTGTGTCACGCCTCGGCCTGGGATTTCTACAACCGCAAGGACTTCAGGTGCGTGGGGCCACGCAGGGGCCCAGGGCTATGGGACAAGAGCTTCTTCCACCCCCTTGGTGGTCACTATTTTGGGTACCCCATCACCATCTGGGGTAAGGTTTCAGGGCACCACATAGCTGTGCCTTCCCCACTACTGGGTTTTTCCTCTTTCCCATGGGGTGCTGCCACCCTCTAAGGGTCCTTCCCACTGGGGATGTGCGTGGGCAGACCAGGGACCCTCACCGAGCTCAGGCATCGCTCCTTTCCCAGGATCAAGCAGTGCACAACGGTGACTATGGAGCAGCTGTTCACCGTGCACCACGAGATGGGCCACGTGCAGTACTACCTGCAGTACAAGGACCAGCCCGTCTCCTTCCGCAGCGGGGCCAACCCCGGCTTCCACGAGGCCATCGGAGATGTCATGTCCCTGTCCGTCTCCACCCCCAGCCACCTCAAGGAAATTGGGCTCCTCAGCAGCGCCACCGAGGACGCGGGTATGGCAGCTGCCCTAGGACCAGGAGGGCTCATGGGACACTGACCATGGCACCGGGAAGGGTTTGGGATGTGCCAGGGCAGGCTGCAGCCTGGCAATGCAGCCCTGAGCAGGACAGACCCCGTGGTTGACACAAACCTTTCAACCATCCTTGGTTTGACAGACTCTACAATTACCCTAAAGGAGGCTGTAGCGAGATGGGAATCGGTCTCTCCTCCAAGCGCCAAGTGATAAGACAAGAGGAAGTGGGCTTAATTTGTATCAGGAGAGGCTTAGGTCAGATATTAGGAAAAATTTCTTCACTGAAAGGGTTGTGAAATGTTGGAACTGGCTGTCCAAGACAGTAGATGAGTCACTATCCCGGGAGGTCTTCAAAAAACTTAGAGATGTAGAGCTTAGTGGTTGAATGGTGGGCTTGGCAGTGCTAGGTTAAAGGTTGGACGAGATGATCTTGGAAATCTTTTCCAACTTAAATGATTCCATAATCCTGGTTCTTGTTGCCATGGGTCCATGCACAGACCCCCTCCTTGGCTCCATGCATGACCCCTTCTGGGCTCTGTGGACAACTTCTTGGCTCCATCCTCTTCACCACCACGAGCAGCAGCAATGCTCCCTGGAGCCTTGTCTGTTCCCTTCCCCTCCCCAGCAGAGACTCAAACCGAAAGCAGCACCTATGGTGTTTATTGGTTTTGACATTTCCAGTGTCTCCCCTTCCTGTCCACCCGGGAGCTCACCACGTAGCTCTGCGGAGGCGGCACCGAGCGCTCGCTCAGACAACCCGCCTGGTCACAAGGACAGGCAGCGGGTGACACATCCGCCTGCCAGCCAGTGCAGAGGAGGAGGACTTGTCGCTGCAGGACGTTTCCCAGCTTGGCAAGGGTCTGCACGCCCCCCCACACCTCCCAGCCAACACGTCAAAACAGACAGTGGCAGAGGAAACCAAGCGTTCGCAGAGCCCTGCCGCAGGCGGCTGCTTTGCGGAGGAGGGCCAGTCCCGGGTCCTCCTGCCTTGTCGTTAAATCTGTTTCGTGATGGGGAAGCCGTCACAGCAGCCAAAATTGTTGGGCTGATGCTGCACAAACATCACGGAGCAGATGGTCGCTGCCTCAAGGCATCGCTGCCTGACTTGGCGGCCGCGCCACCACCGTGGTGGCAGCCAGCAGCCCGTCGGGGCAGTGCTGCCAACCCCTTCCCGACCCTACAGCTGCTGCTGGGTCTCCAGCTGGTCCTTCTTTAGTCTTCTTTTGCTCAAGGTGAAGGGGAAAGCAGATGTCACCATCACCTGTGCTCCGCATGGTATGGTGGTGACTGCCCCAGGTCTGGATCCAAACCATGGCAGCCTTTGCTTTGGTGTGCCAGCCCTGGGGACCAAATCCCTTTCACCCTGAAGCCCCTGTAGGGCGAACGTGTTAACAGGGAGCCCTTAGAGTTACCCTCAGCAGAGACTTCTACAGGCTTCAGGCAAGGGGACACCAGGCTTGTCACTCCCATTGCTCCCAGTCAGTAGCAAGACGTGTTGCCCCAAGCAGGAGCTGCGGCCAGAAAAACCTCCCGTGTCCTGTGCACAAATTTCTAAGGATCACAATTACATGTTGAAATGTTGTTCCAACTTCTCATCCATCTCTCCTCACCCCACTCCCAACAAAAACCCAGTGACCATAGTGCCGCCTGCCAGGGCTCCTTCCCAACTTCATTTGGGCTCTGTTTCATGCAGAGAGCAGCATCAACTACCTGTTGAAGATGGCCTTGGAGAAGATCGCCTTCCTGCCCTTTGGCTACCTCATCGACCAGTGGCGCTGGAACGTGTTCAATGGCCACACGCCCCCCAGTCGTTACAACTACGACTGGTGGTATCTGAGGTAGGGGACAGTGGCAGAGGGTGGATACGTGCATGGAAGCTGAGGGTGTGCAAGGATGGAGGGTGGGCAGAAAGGAAAAAGGGGCCATGGAGATGGCTGGAGAAAGATGGATGGAGGGGTGGAGGGATGGGAGGGAGGAATGCATAGGAGGGTGGGTTGAGGATCAGGAAGACATGGAAGGACACAAATTGTGCAGATCTCTTCAGCACTGTGCCTTCTTTTCCTGTTCCCTGCCTTGGTTCCTCTGGCTCCCTCTTTCCAGCTCATGCTCTTGTTCTCTGTTGCCTACAGAACTAAATACCAGGGTATTTGTGCTCCGATTTCGAGGAACGAAAGCAACTTCGACCCTGGGGCAAAGTACCACATCCCTGGGAACACCCCTTACATCAGGTAGAGGAGGTGCTGGGAAGGGGATGGGGGCTTGGGGCAGGGGGTGTGGGGACCCCAACTCTTCAGGCAGGGGCTGGGATGCATTGCTCAAGACACAGACACCATCCAACGCTTGGGAGCACAAATGGTGGGGAGCAGATGTGTGGCAAGGTGCCTTCAGCCATGCCCTGGGACTCGCCTGCTTTGTCCCCGATGCTCACCTTCACGGGCTTCCTCGGCAGGTACTTTGTGAGCTTCATCCTCCAGTTCCAGTTTCACAAGGCGCTGTGCCAGGCGGCCAACCACACTGGTCCCCTACACACCTGTGACATCTACAAGTCCACAGAGGCTGGAGCCAAACTCAGGTGGGGACAGAGAAGGGTCGGGACAATCGCCATGGGCAGATGTGTGCGTGGAAGCTGATGGTGTGCAAGGAAGAAAGGAAGGAAAGAAGAAAGGAAGGAAGGAAAAAGTGGCCATGGAGATGGCTGGAGAAATAGCTTTGCAGATGGATGGATGGATAGATGGAAATACAAGGAAGCACTGGGGTGGGGTGAGTGGTCCTCACCGGAGTCCTGCTATTGTCCCTGTCACTAGCTCCCACCCAGACAAAAGGTCACTAAAGCATGTTTGGTTCTTGTAGACTCCCTGGGCGTTAATGAATGCATGAGAATGTGATGGAAAGTCTTCAGACCCCAGGCACAGGATATCTGGGGGGGCTTCAGAGGCAGTTTCCAGGCTCACGTCCCTCTCAGGAATAGCATCTTCAACCCTTGTGAAGCAGAGACACCACCACTGCTTTTCTCCCACCCATCCTCCGACCTAATGCTGGCTCTTGCTGTCCCACTCCTCTGCAGGGAGGTGCTGGAAGCTGGGTCTTCCAAGTCATGGCAGGAAATCCTGTTCAACCTCACTGGCACGGATAAGATGGACGCTGGGGCCCTCCTGGAGTACTTCAGCCCTGTCACCACCTGGCTGGAGGAGCAGAACAGCAAGACCAATGAGGTGCTGGGCTGGCCAGAGTTCGACTGGCGTCCCCCTGTCCCTGAAGGCTACCCCAAAGGCATTGGTAAGGCCCAGCTGGAAGGGTTTAGGGCAGGCAGCTTGTCCTGCGATCCCATCCCCTCTCCCGTGGGACACCTCCACCTTCAGCATGCTCCCAGGCATCTTTCAGCAGACCTGCAACTCTGGGACGTGTTCAAGCCTGGTGGAGAAACCTCTTAAAAGTCCTCTTTCAAAACGGACTTCCCCTCTCTTTCCTCTTATCTCTTCCTCTAGACAAAATAGCAGACGAGGCACAAGCTAAAGAGTTCTTGGCCGAGTACAACAGGACGGCCGAGGAGGTGTGGAACGCCTACACTGAGGCGTCCTGGACCTACAACACCAACATCACCGACTACAACAAGGAGATCATGGTATGGAAACAACCCAGGCAACAGCCACGGCAGGCAGCTGGTTCCCATTGCAAATGAGCTCTGAAAGCCAGGACAACCCCTGTCCCTAGCAGAGCTGTAGATGAGAACCCCATTCTCATCCAGAAGGTGACTTGTCCATGAAAAGTCCTGCCATGAGGTACCCCCAGGGAAGCCAGGGGGAGGTTGTCAGCCATGGCAGGGCAGGTGGTGCTTGTGGTGAAGGCCCGTGTCTCAGGGAGCTCCCTCAGGTAACTCCTCTCCTGCCTTTGCAGCTGGATAAGAACTTGGCCATGTCCAAGCACACCCTTGAGTACGGGATGAGAGCCAGGCAGTTCGACGCCTCCGACTTCCAGGACCAAACTGTCACACGCATCCTCAAGAAGCTGAGCGTCATCGAGAGGGCAGCCCTGCCTGAGGATGAGCTGAAGGAGGTGAGCTGCAAGGGGACAGGGCAGGACGGGCTGTCCTTTGCCACTACTCTGTGGGAAGACACTGGCTTTGCCCAGCTTTTAGGAAATGGCCCTGGGCAGCTGCCCCTGCCCCTGCAGAAGGTGATAGTTTGGTACCTTCTGCCCAAAAGCAAGACCCTCACCTCCAGGATTTCTCACCCAAAGGTTGCCTGCCCCAGCCTGCTGTGGGGCGCAGCTGCTTGGGTGGCAATGGCACATTGCATGCTGGCCCCATACTTCCCATAGTAACTCAGCTTTGATTCCTTCTGGGGTCATACTTGACCTGCCAGGACAGTGTGGAAGGGGCCAGGGGAACATCCCAATGGGCTGTGTTGTTCCCCAAGAGCAGGAGCAAAGTTAACAAGCTCACACAATTCAATTTCATTTGCAGTACAACACCCTTCTCTCAGATATGGAGACCACATACAGCGTAGCCAAGGTCTGCAGGGAGAACAAAACCTGTCACCCCTTGGATCCTGGTAAGACCTGGCAGGGTGCTCAGCGAGTCATCTGCAGCAGGCCCAGGAAGGAGGGATTCTTCCTAGGGACATGGAGAAGGGTCGTGAAGGGGCCTTTCCACCTTCTCGGTGATGGCCCCTGAGCAGTATATTGGGTCTAGCATCGTTGCATCAGGCTAGCCCAGCCAACGCCATCATCTGGCTTCACTGCTCTCTCTTTAGACCTCACGGACATCCTGGCCAAGTCACAGGACTATGATGAGCTCCTCTTTGTCTGGAAGGGCTGGCGGGATGCTTCTGGGAAGAAAATGAGGAACAACTACAAGCGATACGTGGAACTGAGCAACAAGGCAGCTGTGCTCAACGGTCAGTGTCCTGCTCCTTCAGAGACACACCAATGTCTCAGCACCCCGTGAGCAGAGAATTGAGTTGATCATCCAACTCAAAGCCAATATCTTGAGGGCATAGAGGTCCCAAAACTGTCATTAGGTCCCCTGTCCCATAGGCATGGAGGGACCTGGGGTGTCTGAGTGGCAAGGCAGATTCTTACCTAAGAAGGGAAGTGTCTGACAGCTCCTTTTGCCCCACCTCAGGCTACACAGACAACGGGGCTTACTGGAGATCCCTGTATGAGACATCCACCTTCGAGGAAGATCTGGAGAAGTTGTACCTGCAGCTGCAGCCCCTGTACCTCAACCTGCATGCCTATGTACGCCGGGCCCTATACAAAAAGTATGGAGCTGAGCACATAAACCTGAAGGGTCCCATCCCTGCTCACCTGCTAGGTAAGGGCTATGTGGGGGCCTCGAGCTGTGTCTCCCACCAGGCATAGCTTGCTGCAAGTCATGCCAGGACCTCATGCTTGCATTGCCCTCGTGCAGGCGGTGCAGGGACTGGTGACTGTGCAACCTGGCCACAGACAGGGTAGCCCATCCTGATAAGTGGGGAGTAACGGGTTGTCTTTGTTCTTCTCCCTCCATCTTCCTCCTGCTCTTCCCAGGCAACATGTGGGCCCAGTCATGGTCCAACATTTTCAACCTGGTGGTGCCCTACCCAGATGCCACCAAGGTGGATGCCACCCCAGCCATGAAGGAACAGGTCAGTGCTTTTACAGTCTGCTCTGGAGACGTCCCCTGGGACCCATCACCCTCTGGCCGCTGCCAACACCCCCATTGCTGAATGCTTTGATGCTGCCAGAAACTTCCATGACATGCCCCTATTCCTTCCCCATCCAGATTTACCAAGGGCTGGGCCCAACTGTAGTTGCCATCAAAGACCTCCCAAGCCTCCCATCCTTCCCACAGCCTCCAGCACCCACAGGATCCCCCATTGCCCCTCACCAAATCCTCCATCTGCTCTCTCCCCAGGGCTGGACACCCAAAATGATGTTTGAAGAGTCGGACCGTTTCTTTACCTCCCTGGGCCTCATCCCCATGCCGCAGGAGTTCTGGGACAAATCCATGATCGAGAAGCCGACGGACGGGCGGGAGGTGGTGTGTCACGCCTCAGCATGGGACTTCTACAACCGCAAGGACTTCAGGTGCCTGCAGGGAGCGAGTGGTGCCCCTGGCTCCTATGGTGCTGGGGCAGCATCTTGGTGGGATAAGGGCATGTGGGATGGTGCTGCCGAGGTGTCCCTTGCTCAGCAGCTGTGGCAGCCCCTCTCTGGCACTGCCACTGGTACCCAAGATGCTGGCATTGATGGCAGGAGTTCCCATAGCAGGGGGAGGGCAACTTATACCTTACCTGAGCTGCCCAGAAGATGGAAAAGCTGACAAACATGGACAGGGAATGGGCAGGGGCAGAAGGAGAGGCAGAAAGACAGTCAGGGACCAGCCCCATGGAGCAGGACCAGCATCAGACCTGGGGAGGGGACACGTGGAAAAAGACCAGAGGGAAACATAGATGGTTATGGTACCGTAATGGGGTACGGTCGTTCTTGGAGACTTTCACCCCAGCTCTGCCCTTTCTTTTCTCCCCACCCCATGTCCTCATCCAGGATCAAGCAGTGCACTGTGGTGAACATGGATGACCTGATCACGGTGCACCACGAGATGGGCCACGTCCAGTACTTCCTGCAGTACATGAACCAGCCCATCTCATTCCGCGATGGAGCCAACCCTGGCTTCCACGAGGCTATTGGGGACGTTATGGCCTTGTCCGTCTCCACCCCCAAACATCTGCACAGCATCAAGCTGCTGGACCAAGTCACAGAAAACGAAGGTGAGTTGGCATGGGGGCACCCCACGGCACAGGTGGGGGCAGCTGGGGATGCAGAGGGCCAGGATGGGCTGGGCAAGGTAGAAGGGGACACGCACGGTGGCTTGGTATGCAGGGAAGAGGCAGGATCTGATGGGGACCCTCTGCCCCCGGGCAGAATGACCCACACAGGGTGGAGAGGTGGGCACAGTACCCCCTTGCTCACACCTTCCCACTCTGGACAGAAAGTGACATTAACTACCTGATGAGCGTCGCCCTGGACAAAATCGCCTTCCTGCCCTTCGGGTACCTCATGGACCAGTGGCGCTGGAAGGTGTTTGATGGGCGCATCAAGGAGGACGAGTACAACCAGCAGTGGTGGAACCTCAGGTGTGCTCGAGCTCAGACCCCTCTTTGGTGCAAGGTCCTTGGCCATCGTCCCACTACGTGTTTTCTCCCTGTGGCCCAGGTGGCTGCAGTGGGACATGACGGGATAACACAACCCCTTACCCTGTCCCCACACCCCGCTGTGTCCCCTGCTGGCTTACCCCACCTTCTCCTCCCCAAACTGAGCTAATTCTCCCTCTCTGGCCCAGGCTGAAGTACCAGGGCTTGTGCCCACCAACACCAAGGTCTGAAGATGACTTTGACCCTGGAGCAAAGTTTCACATCCCTGCCAATGTCCCCTACATCAGGTGAGTGAGCAGGGCTGGGAGGGACACCGCTGGGATAGGTGAGCCCATGCAGAAGCAGGGACCTCTGATTCAGGTGCTAGCAATGGCACCTTGTTTCACGGCTGGAGGGACACCTGGTGGTGCCCATCCCAAAATACTGGGTATATATCAACAGAACCTTAGAGGGAAAGGCTGGATCTAGGGGAAATTTCTCCTTGTCCAAGGGAGGTGGGCTCAGCCACACAGGCAGCTATAAAATGCACATTAAAAGGAAAAAATGGCATCAGCACATTGGACCAAACTGATGCAGGTGGAGATCCAAAGCCAGTGATACTCCTCCAGGCTGGGATTCTGCACCTGGAGGATAAGGGGGAGCTCATCCTCCCCCTGCACAGCCACTAGCAGGGTCTGTCCCCGTGTCCTCACCCCTCTGTGGCCCCTCCAGGTACTTTGTCAGCTTCGTGATCCAGTTCCAGTTCCACCAGGCTCTCTGTGACGCAGCTGGGCACACGGGGCCCCTGCACAAGTGTGACATCTACCAGTCCAAGGAGGCCGGGAATCTCTTGGGGTAAGTGCGGGCAGGGCAGAGCCAAGACCTTTATGACCCCAAATACCTTAAAGTCAGGCCACAGCTCTGCAGGACAGCAGAGCCCCTGGTGCTCCATCCTCTCCCTGCCCCAGCAATGCTCCAGTCCCTGGCCCTGGGACATGGGGGACCCTGGGCTGGGTGCTGCAGCTGTGATTGCAAAAGCAGCCACTAGATGGTAGCTGGGCCACTGGCAGGTGGAAGGCTCCCTCCCTCCTCCTCTTCCTCCTCCGCAGCCCCCAGATCCTTAGGGAAAAGAGCCCCCTTGCTTCAAGGGAAGCACCTGTAAAATTAACCCTTTCACCCATAAACTGATCTGCATCAGTCTGGGCTCCCTGGAAGGCTTTAAGCATGTAAAACCCCATATCCCACATGCAAAACCTTATCCCCCATGCTCTGGGCTCACAGATACCAGAAAGCAGAGACCGTGCCCCAGGGCTGCTGGCACCAAGATCTCCAAGCCCTGAAGGCAAGGGCTGGTGGCAAAGAGGCAATGGGGAGCCCACTGGAGCCGATTTTTCCCTCGCAGGGAGGCCATGAAGCTGGGTTTCAGCAAGCCGTGGCCTGAAGCCATGCAGCTCATCACGGGGCAGCCCAACATGTCAGCAGAGGCCCTGATGAGCTACTTCCAGCCCCTCATGACATGGCTGGTGAAGGAGAACGAGAAGAACGGGGAGGTCCTGGGCTGGCCCGAATACGACTGGACTCCTTACAAGGGTACGTGGGAATGGGCTGAACACGGTGGGTACACAATGGGGGAGAGTTTGGTCCTCTCCAGGGTGGGGATGGGGCTCACAGCAGAGATGGAGCTGCCCTGGTGCCCCTTGGCCACCCCAAAAACCACAGGGGTTTTGGATGCTCCTCCTTGACTTCCCAGCAAGCTGAGTCTAAAGGAGACAAGTCACCCAAGAGACCAGCAAAGGAGAAGCTGGTGACCCACCACACCCAGCCCAGAGCCACCAGCACTAACCACATCCCTCATTTCTCCATTTTCCAGCCGCTCAAAGCCAAGCTGGCTCCTCCGACCGAACCGATTTCCTGGGCATGTCCCTGAACAGCAAACAAGCCTCAGCAGGTGGCTGGGTCCTGCTCGCCCTGGCACTCGTCTTCGTGATCACCACCATCTTCCTGGGCGTCAAGTTGTCCTCGGCAAGGAGAAAGGCCTTCAAATCCAGCTCAGAAATGGAACTAAAATAAGGCGGACACCGATGGGGGAGCACAGACAGGGTACGAGCGCAGGCACTCGGGCAGGCTGGTGGCAATGCTGCGGGCACGTTCGCCCACGAAGCCATGGGTTTCCACAGCCCAGGACTCCTCTCTCCAATCAGGTTGGACTTTTTTTTTTCCACTATGCAAGAGCCAAAGCAGAAAAGACCTATTTATTTGTCAGCGTCTGCATAAGGGGGAGAGAAATTCAGGCACCGGCAGGCACGGAGCCATCACGGGCTGCCCCCATGCCTGGGGGGCGCAGGTCCAGCCCAGGCACTCACCATCTATCTCTGACCCCTATGCCAGGGTGGCCAAAGCCATGGGGGCTTCAAGTGACAGAGGGCAGGCTTGGGAAGGACAGAGCACGTTTGTGTTCTCTGTCCATCCCTGGTTTGCCCACTGCTGGGCTGTTCGCTTGCATGGATGAAAAATAAACCCATGTCTTGTTACCCCCAGCGCAGCAGCTTGGCTCCTTCTTGTGGGTGGTATCTCCGTGGGGTGCTGGGCTGGTGAGAATACAATTTCCTAGGGGTCAATGTGGCTTTTGGGGTCTCCTCCATCCCCATCATGAAAGCTCAGCATCCCTTTATGGCAGCACCATCGCCCCCTAAATATTGGCTCCCGTTGCAGCTGCTGTCTCAGGGTTTCTCCATAGGGCATATACCTAACCGAGGGGCTGCATTAGGGCCAGAAAACCCCCGCCGAGAAGTGGGTTTCCAGAAAAGTCCAAGCCTGAGCTGTAATGAGGGTTGAGGGTCACCAAGTCCAAGCAGGGACAGGGCTCGAGCCCGCGGCTCCAGCACAGGGACGATGCGCGTTTACGTAAGGGCCGGGGGGGCTCTGAGGTCAGCGATCGCCTCCCGCTCCCCAGCTCTGATTATCTTGGGATCAGCCGTGCTTGAGGCTTTTTTTCCCCGTCTTTCTTCTGCTTCTGTAAATAAAACTTCGTATTTGTTCTGCGGTGATTAGGTGCAAAACTAATCCCAGGCCAGGGATTATTGCAGCCTTAAAGAGCCGCGATCTGCTGCAGCCCCAAGCAGGAAGGGAAATGAGGGGACGCAGGGCAGATCACGCCATCCCTCTCACCCGATGGCCTCCACCCTCAGTCCTGTCTTACAGGGGGAAACGGAGCCCCGAGAGGAGCAGAAGGCAGGTGTCTGCCCGCCCACGCTCGGGTTTGTGTTTGTTTGCTTCCATCTCCTACGCCCACGGGGAGGCGAAGCCGCCGGTCGCGCATCTTCCCGTTGCAATCCCAGGGCTGGGGGAGCAGCTGCCCCAAATGCCCGCACCCCACAGCAGCACCATCCCTGCCCCTCCTTCCCAGCCACGCGATGCCCGTGGAGCAGAGACCTTGCAAAGTGCGAGCTGGGTTGGAAGCCAAGTTTGCTTTCAGCCCCAGAAGGCAGGCTGCTGCAGGTGCGCTCCATCCAGCTCAGCTCCCCGCTGGTAATTTGTAGCCCTGTGGCTGCTTTCTGCACCATTAACGGAGGTCTCCAAGGTCATCAAGGTCTTGCCAGCTTCAGGAAGATTGCTTTCTGGAGAGGAGAGAGCCACACTGAGCACTCCGCTCAGGGACTGCAATACACGCTCAGCCCTAACTCCCCATCAGAGCCCACACGGGAGCTGCCGGTGTCCTGGAAGAGGCCACGATTAAGTGGTGGGTGATGGAAACACAGAGCTGCAGCCTCCTGCTCGGGGACAGAGAGGCAACACAAGCCAAAGGTCCATCCAGGAGATGCAGGAGGACACCAGGTTACCTCCAGCACAGCTCCGAGCTCCAACCAGGAGCAGGACAGGGCACGCAGCTACCTCCAGCCCAGCTCAAGATGAAATGAAGGTCCTGAGCTGAGCTTAACTGGAGCTGCTGAGCCGTGGGTGGGGGCACAGGTGAAGCTTTCCAGGGCAATTAAGACCCGCTGGTGCCCTCAGGGCTCTGCTACCCATCACCAGCGTTTTACAAGTTACCTTTAAAATGAGGATGCTTCACCTCCCCTGTTGTGATAACATCTGGAGAGATTTTGCTGCCTTCTGGCTTCTGCATCACGCTTCCTGCTGAAATTAGGAGGCTTAGCAAAATTACTCCCTAGGAAAAAGGAGAAAAAAAAAAAAAAAAAAAAAGGAAAAGAGAAAGAGCAGAGAAAGAGGAGATTCCCTTTCAATTCACAGAGCCCCCCCAAGGGGAGCTCAGAAAGCAGCACCCCAGGCCTGCGGGGGCTGTGCTGGGGATGCCTGCGCACAATGCTCCTAGAGAGCAGATTTGCTTCAAAACCACGCACATCAAAAGCAAGAACCACACTGGGTTCCCTTCACCAGCCTGGAGACCCTTTGGGCACAGCGAAACCTATTTTCCTTTTTTTTTTTTATTTTTTTATTTTTTTAATGCTCATTATCCTCACTCACCGTGCTGGGGGAAGGTGACTGGCGGGGGGGACCCCACGTCCCCAGCGGCTGGCGGGGGCCCGGCCAAGCCGGGTCTATTCTTAGCTGGTAGGTGGCCGGGCAGGAGCAGGCAGGGCGCGCGGGGCCGCGTTCCTCGCATTCCCCTTCCCCGGGGACAAGGAGCGCCTGGAAAAATGCAGCCGCGGCTTGGCAGCACCCGGCACCCAGGGGCCAGAAGCAGGGGCCAACCCCGGGCAGGGGTCATCAAGGGGGGGGGATATGGCACGGAGGGCATCCTGCGGGTGGGGTGGGCTAAGATGGGGTCGGCAGACCCCAAATCCTTGCCCAGGAGCCCAGGGAGGCAGCCAGAGATGCAGGAAAGCATCAGGCACCCACACGGGTACCCCACGCCTGGAGGCACCTCCGTGGGGCTGAGTGGTGCTGACCCCTTGCCCCATCCATCCTCCCACTCTCCCCATCCATCCTCCCACTCTCCCCATCCATCCTCCCGCTCGCCCCATCCATCCTCCCAACCCCAAAGACAGTGGGGGAGTCACGAGCCTGCCCCGTGCCTCAGTTTCTCCTTCTGTGCAGCGTGGACGTGCCACATCCTGGAGCTGAGCTCCCTTGTTTTTTCATCCCTCTGCTGAACGGGATTTGGCTCCTGTTGGGAAATAACCCCCCAAGACTCAGTTTAGTGTCACTGAGACCTTCCCAAGTTTCTGGCCTCCCCCGGGATGGCACTGGGGAGAGCGCAGGGTTAATTTTGGCTGCACATCCAACTGGTTTTGTGATTTATATTTTGTACTTAGCTAACAAACAGTGTCACTGGGAAAGCTTGGGGAAAAAAAAGATTTGGAGGGGTGCGGTGGAGGTGGTCGAGGATGACCCCAAATCCACCCATGCCCCTTCCCCAGCTGTCCTCGGGGGCCACAACTCCAGCTCCATCTCCTCCCTCTGGATCTTCTTCCAAAAACCGAGGGCACGAGGGGTGCTGGGCAGGGGGGACCCCGGCACCTGTTTGGGGACAGCCCCGATGGCCGCCAGCAGCTTTGGGGACTGCGGAAGTCCCATATCTCTGTCCTCAGCCTCGCTCTCCCGCTGTGCCTGCAGCCCAGCTCTGATTACCGAAAGGTGGAGGAACGCCGGCTCGCGGCTGGCAAACATTTCTCCCGGCAGGCGACAGCCGGCAGCTGATGGTTTGGGATCCGGGTGGGTGCCGAGCCCCTCGTCCTCACCCAACCACCCCAAATCCGCAGCCCCTTCCGTGGCCGTACCCTCCCCATCCAACACAGCCGCCCCTGTCTGACGGCTGTGGGTGGGTTATAATTCCCTGCACTGCGCAAATATTTTACTTCCTGGCCTTATCCCGCGGAGTCCCCCGGTTCCCCACCTGCCCGGCAAAAACCAAACATGCCCCGGTTGAACCCGAGCTCGGCAGGCACAGATGGCTCGTGGAGAATTGATGGGGAGGGGCCGGGAAGGGAGGGCACCCCTGGGAGCACCCAGTTTTTTTTTTTTCCCTGGAAATCGGGTGCTTTCCCATTGATTGCCTGGGGTGTGGGAAGGAAGGAACGAAGGGGAAAGGAGCAAAACCTCCAAAAGGCTCCCTGAGGGGGAGGAAAGAACTGAGCGAGGGAGGAGGAGGAGGAGGGGAGCGGGGCAGGGAGGGGATTACTGCTCACTGAATTAGAGGGAGCCCTTCAGCTGCCTTGAACAGCAGGAGAATTTGCCCGGAGACCCCAATTCTTCCTATTTGGGATAGGCTGTAAGCACGGGATTAACTGCAAGCATATGCTTAAGTCCCGGAGAAGCCAAGGGAATTGAGAGGAGTCTGGGCACGGGGCACTCCTCAGGAGGGCACAGACACAGCCTCACGGATCAGCCAGCTCTGCTGGGATGCTCTGGGGGCACTGGGAGAGCCATGGGGGTACTGGGAGAGCTATGGGAACACTGGGAGAGCTATGGGAGCACTGGAAGAGCCACATGGAGATTGGGAGAGCCATGGGGGCACTGGGAGAGGCCAAGGGGGCACTGGAAGAGCTATGGGGGTGCTGGAAGAGCTGTAGGGGAATTGGAAGAGCCATGGGGCACTGGGAGAGGCCATGGGGGCATTGGGAGAGCCATGGGGGCACTGGGAGGCCCCTGAAGCTCAGTCCAGAGAAAGGGATACAGAAGCTGCCCCACTGCCATGGCCGGAGGGGGACAAGGCTTCCTGGGCTCGCCCCACAGACCCCAGTGTCACCGAGGGGCCAGAGGGGCCGGTTCTGTGCCCTGCCCCATGCCCAGAGCCCCCCCCCCAGTGACCCCGCGCTCCCCTCTGGGGACCCGATCAGCTCCGGCGAGGGCTGCGAGCCGTCACGCGCCCACAGCACCCGGCACATCCGCAGCCACGTGCCGTGCCCACGAACAGCCCGGGCTGATTTATGGGATGAGAGGAGGGCAGGAGGCCAACCTTAAATCCTGACTGCCCGGTGATTAATAATCATAATTATCATCATATTAGCCATAATAATAATAGTTTTCTTTTCCCCGCGGAGCTGGACATCCAGGAATCTCGCGGCGGTTTCGTAAGGCGGAGTGACCGACGTCCCCATTTTCTGGCGAGGAAATTGCGGCACAGAGCTGTCTCCCTCGAGTCACCCAGTATATCAACAAGAAAACAGAGAAGGCAGGAGCCTGGACTCTGTGTCCCTCTCCCTCCCCCATGCTATTAAGCTGCATCTGTGTAATATAGAGCAAAATATCCTCCGCGACTCGCAGTAAATCACGGCAGAGGCAGCGTGCGGAGTGGATGGGGGGGAAGATAATGGGTTTTTCACCCTCTCCAACAATGGAATAAGTTTTTCTCTGCTGGGGGAAGGCTGACTTCTCTGACAGTCGGAGATAAAAGCAGCGGCAGGGCTCTGAAATGGGCTCTGGGAGCACCTGCCGTTGCCCACCCACTCTTGGTGCCGGCCCCGGGGGCAGGAGGCAGCCCCGGTGGGCACCGCAGCGGGTCGGGTGCCCCCCAGGCAGGGCCAGGTCCCCATAAGTATTCCTGAGGTGCGCCGGAATATTAATTGAAAACCCCAGCAAAACACTCCTGCTGATGCTAATGGCCCATAATCCTCTTAGTCCAATTTCATGCCTGAAAAATTGTGCGTGGCGAACTCACAACGGAGAGCCCCTCGGTGGGCGCTGCCCTGAGCCGTGGTGGGCTGGGAGAAAAGGGACAAGGACCCCTTGGAGGCACGGAGAGGTGGCAGGATTGGTGCTGAGCCTGGGGCTCTGTCCGAGCATCTCCTCAGCCAGGGCAGCCTGAGCCCCCCAGCCCACTTTGTCCCGCCCCCCCGGCCCCCCAGCCCCATGGGGCCGGATGACCCGGAGCCCAAGCGTGACCCCAAAGCCCCCCGCCCCCCTTGGACCCTCCACGTCCCATGGAGTCCCCGTGTCCCCCGTGCCCCCCAGGCCCCAAAGTGCCTCCCCAGTGCCGAGCCCCCCCCCCGAGCCCGGCCCTTCAGCACCGCGCGGGTGGACAGCGCCGGGCGCGGGGCCCCGCCCGCCCCAGGAACCCCCCGGACCCCCCCTCCTGGGAACCCTCGGGAACCCCCCGACACCTTCCCTGCACCCCCAGCCTTGCCTCCATCCCCCTGCCGCCCTGCACCCCACGTCCCACCACTCCCCCCCCCCAGCTCTCCAGCTCCCTCTCCCCTTTTTTCGGGCACCCCAAAGCCCCCCCCCCTGCACCCCACACTTCTCGCCCCTCCCCGGCTCTGCCCCCGCACCCTTGCAGCCCTACAACTCCTCCTCTGCCCCTGCGCCCCCCCCTCCACCCCCTGCATCCCCTCCTCCACCACCCCCGCCACTCCAGCGCCCACCATCACCCCCCCCCCGCCACCCCCTGCACCCCATCACCAGCCTCCTTCACCCTCCCCAGCCCCCAGCCCCCCCCAGCACCTCCTCCTCCACCAGTCCCGTGCCTCAGCACCCCCAGCACCCGGCACCCACACTCCCACCAACCCCCCCGCCTCCAGCACACCCTATTCCAACACCCCAATCTCCCAGCGCCCCCCTGCCTCAGCACCCCAAGAACCCCACGTCCAGCACCCTCCAGGACCCCCCTGTCCCATCACCCCAAGGACTCCATCCCCACCATCCCTTTCCCAGCACCCCAAGGACCCCACCTCCAGCACCCCCCAGCACCCCCCAGCCCCAGCACCCCGAGGATTTGGCACCCAGCACCCTGCAGCCCTCCAAGGACCCCACCTCCAGCATCCCCAGCACCCCCAGCACCCCACCACCAGCACCCCAGGGACCTCACATCCAACACCGTCCAGCACCCCAAAGACCCCACCTCCACCCCCTCCAGCACCCCAGGGACCCTCCTCCAGCACCCCAGCACCCCGAGGACCCCACCTCCAGCACCCCAGCACCCCCCCGCTCCCCCCACCCCAGCACTCCATCCCGGAGCCCACCGGGGCTGCGGGGCCGCTGCCGGCAAGCGCTGTGCCGGGGGCACCGGGGGGCACCGGGGGGCACCGGGGGGGGACCAAGGGGGGCCGGGGGGGGGCAGCTCCCCACCTTCCCTCTGGTGCTGTCGACAGCCACCCGGGAACCTCCCGGCGGGCCGGGACAGCGGTGACTAAGCACTTTGGGGATTTCTACTCTTCCAATTTTATTCTTTTCTTTTCTCCCCCTTTCCAGCGGAGCCTCCCCCCTTCCTCCCCCCCCCCCCCCACACACACACACACTCCCCCTCCACCTCCCACCCCCCTCCTCCTCCTCCTCCTCCTCCTCCTCCTCCCCTCCATCCTCATCCTCCCCGGCCGCCCCCGCCCGGGGCCGGGCGCGGCAGGGCGGGCGGTGGGGTTCCCCCTTCCGGCCGCCGGGAGCACGGGAGCCCCGGGCCGGCTCGGCTCCAGAGCTCGGCCAGCCCTGGGGTGAGGCGGAGCGGGGCCGTGCCGTGCCGTGCCGGGCCGTGCCGTGCCGAGCAGAGCCGCCCCGGGCCGGGCCGAGCTCCCCGCCGCCCCCGTGGGAAGTTGCGCTGCGCCCAGGGCGCACCGGGCGGCGGGGAGATGCCGGTGCGCAGGGGCCATGTGGCCCCCCAAAACACCTACCTGGACACCATCATCCGCAAATTTGAAGGGCAAAGTGAGTACCGTAACCCCCCCAAACCTCCCACCCCGCCCCGCTCCCCGCTCCCGGTACCGGTCCCCGTTCCCCCCCCCCCCCCCCCCCGCGGCCCCCAAACTTCGGGGCGCGGCGAGGAGCAGAGGGGGGGACAGGAGGGAGGCCACCGGCAGGGTGTCCCCCGGGGAAATAAAGGCTCCTCCGTGACCCCCCCGGGAAGGGGGGGGCGGAGGGGTGGGCGACAGCCAGGCACTGTCCCCGCGGGTATTTATAGACAGGGCGACACCAGGGGACGAGCGGTGCCGGGGAAAGGGGACACCGGGGACCCCTGCGCCCCCCCCCCCCCCCGGGCTGGGAGGGGGTCCCGGGGGCGGCGGGGAGGGGGCCCGGCCGGCAGCCGGGTGTCCGGCGGCACAGACGGGCTCGCTGCTTGTTTGCCTTCAACTCCGCGCTGCTCCGAGGCAGCCGTCCCTGGTGAAATGTTGCCATTTGCTGTTGCTCCGAGTAATCCCTTTATATGAATTTTTTTGGCTGCTTTTCGTGTCAAATATAGCAAAGAGTTCGGGCGCCTCGGGGAGCTCGGGGGTTTGCACGCCGTCGGTCGGGGGCCACGGCGGGGGGGGGAATGAGAGGCAGCGGGGGGCTGCGCTCACCTTGTCCAGGCACCCCAATGGGGCCGCTTTGTCCCTATGGGGCTGGGGACAAGGGGAGGGGAGTGGGATTCCCCCCCCTCCCAGTTATATTTGGGTCTCTGTGGTGGGGTGCTCCCAGCACCCCATCTCCCCGCGCTTTGTCCCTGGTGTCAGAGTTTTCCGGCTGGGCGAACCGTCCCTGCGGGATCTGCTGTGGCAGTGAGTGACGTGACCCCGGGGACGGGAAGCGAGAAAAACTGTCCCTGGATCCTATCAGCCCCCGCTGGGACGCGGCGGCTGGGGGGCAGCGGGGGCAGGCGGTGAGGCGTGCCAGCGGGGAGGCAGCCAGGCCACCTCGGCCCCGCGGGCTCCCTGCCTGCGCGCTGCCAGCCACACTCCAAAATATTCCCCTGGGGCAGCTCAGAGTGTAACAGGTGTTGGGGGAGACCGAAATGAGCCCCCCCCATGGCACTTCACCCTCCTTTATTTGTGGGTGCCGTCACGCTGCCCCGCAGCCCTCATGGGTGCCGCAGCACCCAGAGCTGGAGAGCCCAGGGCACCCTCCCAGGAAAGCACAAGGGCAAAGGCAAACCTGCAGGTGTGAGCAGGGCAGAAAGCAAATTTTGGGGCAAAAACACCCGCAAGGAGAGCTGGCTGCCCAGCTCGTCCCCACGCCGGCCTTGGGCATATCCCTGTGCTCGGTGCGGCGCGCTGCCAGCGCCATCAATTCTGTCCTGCGCCAGCACGGCCCCGATCCGGCCCACGGGGCTGGCACTGCATGGGAGATGTTTATCGCGGGTGGTGCGCAGGGTTTGGGGGGATCCCTTCCCTGTGCTGCCAGAGCGATTGGGGCAGAGTGGGATGGGGCAGGGGAGGCAACTTGGGAACCCACTTGGGATGTGGGTTTTGCACTCTTTGCGGTGAAAACCCCGAGGGTGGGAGCCCCCCATGAGGGGCCACCGAGGGCTGACGCAGGAGACCACGGAGCCGGCATCCCCGCTCCCCCAGGGACTCCGGAGGTGACATTAAGAGGAGCCCCGATGTGTCAGGGGGGGCCCCAACCCCGCCAGGTCCCGGTGCCGCAGCCGTGCCGAGGTTTCTCCGCGTTGGAGTGAAGCCGGCGCTCGGCTCGGGAGAGCAGCGGGGCTCTGGAGCGCGCGCACGCTGCAGATGCCATTCCTGGGTAATCCGGGAGATTAATTGGGGTCTGGGCCGGGAGGCAGCCTCCAAAGGGACCCTCTGCTCTGACCTGCCTCCAGCTCCAGCCCGGGAGGATGCCAAAGGCTGGGGGAGTGCCGCAGGGGGGGACGCAGCCTTTTCCATCAGTGCACATAGACCCCGCTGCCACAGCCCAGCAAAGCCTCTCCTGGTGCCCGGCACCCCCCGATCTTGAGGAAAAGCGAAAAAAAAAAAAAACAAAAAACAAAAAATGAAAAATCAAAGCTTGAGGTTGGGTCTCCCCCAGGAAAAGGGGCGAAGGGGCTCCATCCAGGCTGGACACCCCAGGCTCGGCAGCGCTGCGAGTCACCACGGCACGACACCAGCTTGGCCCCAGCCCAGCGATGCGGATGTGCCGCTCCCTGCCTCAGTTTCCCCCTTCCTCCACCTGAGCCCCGGCCTTCTCGAGCACGTGGGCCACGCAGCGCAGCGGGGTCTGCGTTTCAGCTCCAGCCCGAAGGCACAATTATCCCATAAAACATTCGGAGGATCATTAGTGCGGCAGGTTTCAGCCTGGCTTCCCGCAGAAGCCGAGCTCACGCCTCCTCTTACCTCTTGCCTGACTTGAGTCAAATCTGAGCAAGGGTGGGAAGTGTCTGAGATATCTCGGGTCCCCGATGAGCTCCTGGGCTGAGATGGGCTCTGCAGCTCTTCCCCATGGCTGCTGGGGACAGATTGGCCATGTTTTAGACAGCAGCGAGTCCTCGTGCGTTAGCAGGGAGAGGTGGCTCAGGGCTCTGCGGTGGCATTTTAGCAGGGACCCTTGTTCGGGGGTCCCCACAGCCACCAATTTGGAGGAAATTAGGGGGATTTTCTCTCTCTGAAGAGCAGGGCAGCACCCAGAGTGGTGTGGGCTGGTGCCAGCAATCGTCCTAAGCACCTCTCACTGGTGGCACTGGGGAGCCCAGCCCTGCACAAGCCCAGGGTGCCCTACAGCGGGTGGCACCTAAAACCCCCAGCACCCCCCATCCAGCCGGGCCCCCCGTGTGTCCCCACATCCTCCTAAGCCCCGCGCTCTGCTGCGTCCCCGCAGACCGCAAGTTCCTCATCGCCAACGCCCAGATGGAGAACTGCGCCATCATCTACTGCAACGACGGCTTCTGCGAGATGTTCGGCTACTCGCGGGTGGAGGTGATGCAGCGGCCCTGCACCTGCGACTTCCTCACCGGCCCCGACACCACCAAGAGCTCCATCGCGCAGCTCACGCAGGCGCTGCTCGGCTCCGAGGAGTGCAAGCTGGAGATCCTCTACTACCGCAAAGACAGTAAGAGATGCTTTCGGCACGCGTGGGGCGAACCGGTGTCCCTAGGTGGGGACCGTGGTCGTGGTGGTGTCACCCTTCTGGGTTTGAGATGAAACACAGCACAGGGTGGGGTGGGAGGGACCCTAAAGCTTGTCCTATTCTACCCCCTGCCATGGGCAGGGACCCTTCCCACCAGCCTTTTGGTTGCCCAAAGCACCGTCCAGCTTGGCCTTGGGCACCTGCAGGGATGGGGCACCCCCAGCTCCTTGTCTTCTTTCAGCTCTTTGAAGCTGGGGCTGGGTGGCAAAGGGAGTCTGATGGCACCGGGGCTTTGGGATTGCACCCAGGACCAGGGTGACCCCACGGTGGGTCCCAGCTGGATGGACCCAGCTTGGCCATAATTTGGGCTCTGGTGGTGGTGGCACCTTGAGCAACAGAAAGGAGCTGCCGGAATATTTGGGAATGGGGTTTGCAAGCCCTCAGTGATGGCTCAGAGCCATTGGACCACTCGCAGCATCCCTATGGCATGAACGAGGATCCCATGGGGTGCCCACGGAGGAGATGGGGTGGGACTGCGGCCCCGTGGGGGGGTGATTCTGCCACCCCCCACCCCAAAGCCGGCTGCGGGCGCTGGTGCGGCGTCGGAGCCGCCCCTCCAGCCAGCAGGATGTGGCTGCGTGCGCACAGATGGAATTACACTAAGATGAAAATGAAGCTTTGATGGAAAATACTAGTGATTAGTTCTAATACTGCAGGAAGTTAAATAAATATTTAGTGCTCGATGCTGCCAAGCGGCGTTGGCCGGGACTGGCAGAAGTGGGGGGAATTCAGGAGATCAGGCGCTCGCTAGAGGTAGAAAACATTAAGTATTTCCTTTTTTTTTTTTTTTTTTTTTCAACCTGCGGCACCTTCCCATCGCTTCAGATTATATTGCTGGGGGCTGGGCTTGAGAAAGGGGCTGCACCTCGCTGCTGTCAGCGTGCCGGGATGGAGGAGAAACAACCGGGAAGGGAACATGGAGGCAGGAGCCTTGGCTCCCGGCCCGCACCCTATCTCCCGGGCAGGGACCCGGGTGTCCTGGCCTCCCTCCCAGCCCCTATCTCCTGGGCTGGCATCCAGGTGGGGCTGTGTGTCCCCCCCCCCCCGAGCCACCATGGGTTGAAGGGGTCTGGCTGCAGCCCAGCGTGGCTGGGAAGGCACGAGGAGGAGCGGGCACACGCCGTCCCCCTGCTCCCTGCAGCGTGTGGCCCTGGCACGGACAAGGGCGAGCGGCTCCGCGTCCCCTCCCCAGGATGGGGACGGTGGCACAGGATGAGCAGGGAGAGAAAGCAGCCCCCAGAACCCAGTGCTGAAAAACTGGGGGCAATCCTGGCCCCCACGGTCATGGGGAGCTGGAGGTGGCGGCTTCCCAAGGGCCATTTGGGATCTTGGTGCCCCAGGGACCGCTCGGTCCCTGCTGGTAGCAGGATCCAGCCCCGTCCTCCCCTGCTTGAAGAGCTCCCGACAGCTCGTGGGATGCTCGCCGCTCTCCGCAGAGCCCTGCTCTACCTCCAGGCCACGGAAACGCTCCGAGCTGCTTTCTTCTCTTTTTTATTAAAAAAAAAAAAAAAAAAGGGGGTAAAAAAAAAAAAACACACGCACACACACAACAAAGCCTAGAAGAAAGCCCTTCGTGGCTATTTTTAAACCCCAGCCCCACCAGCAACACGCTCGCCAATTGTCTCCCCCCAGCACTCAGCCTGCGATCGCTCAGCCCATTATAAATGGGCCTTATCGGCGAAGAAAAGGCCCTCGCATTACGGGGAGCTGCTGCTTAATTAGACCGCGGAGGCTCCGAACCCGCCCGTCCTCCTTTTCATCGCGGCGGCTCCAATCTCCAGGCTCGACCTGCTGTTTATTACTGCGGTACTCCCGGCTCTGCAGCTCGCCTGCTTCTTTCCTGGCTTTTGTGGTTTGCCGGAGCTGATGTTCTCCCCCCTAAACCTGCCTGCCCGAGCCCCCCAGCAGGGTTAGGGAGGGATGAACGGAGGGGATGAGGGGGGACAGGGTGCTCAGGGCACCCATGGGTGTCAGAGCGGGTGGCTGCGCCCACGTCCAGGCAGGTTCCCATGGGGGTTGGTGCTTTGGGGTCAGCACGTCCCTGGGGACATCACACCCATGCTGGCGTTAGCGTGCAGCTGGTTATAAAAGATTTCCTTGCAAGACGCTGCTGGGCTGGACCTGCCCGGGGCTGGGATCAGCCCCACATCAATGAGGGGCTGGTGTCCCCCAAAGGTGGCCGGTGAGAGCCCCCAGGGCCCCCTCCCCGAGCGGTGCCAGTGGCCGCAGGTGCTGGGCACGGTGGCGCTGGCACAGGCGGTGCGGCGGCAGCTGGCACCGAGAGCTGGGCTCTAAATCTGCGTGGATGTGATGGCTGCGAGACAGCAAGGGGAGACGTGCGGATGAGACAGCTGGAGGGACAGCCACCTGCCGGCAGCCCCTCCGTCCCCGTCCCTGTCCCTCCCTGGGGACAGTGTCCAGAGCCTGGGTTTTGTCCCCCCGAGGGTTAGGGGCAGGGGTGAGCCCCGCAGATGCCTCGCGCCGTGCCGTGGGCTGGGATTTCCCCAAGGGCTCAGGAGGTCGCAGAGCCATCGATGTCCCCCACAGCTCCCCGTGGGGCTGGTGGCTGCGGGGTGTCCCCTCCGGCGCCGTGTCCCCTCCTTCCCCATTTGGGGCACGTTTGCAGCACAGCCGCGGGCTTCTCTCCATCAGCTTCTGCCAGAAGCCCACGAGAAAGGCAGACGGGGACGGATCCGGCCACGTTTACTCCTCACAGCCATACAGATGGCAACGTGCAGCCTGCTGCCCTGTGGTGTGGAGCAGGCAGGACCCAGGGGACCTCGTGGGTGGCAGGGGACAGCAGGGAGGCACGGCGGGGTGACAGAGCCCAGCCCCAGCTCGATCCGTCGGCTTTTCTAAAAACTTGCGGCTTTTGCAGCTCGCCCCGTGTTTCTTTAAGGGTCAGGCTTGGCAGAGCTGAGCCCTGACCTCAGGGAAGGGGACAGCCACCGCCGCCCGACTCCAGATGGGGACTTGTAAACATCCCCGGCTCGCAATGACAAACACTCCGCTGCCGGGGGTCTGGCACTGCGGGGCCGCGGCCGTCCTCTTTGGCACGGCCGTGCTGCGCCTCCGGCTCTGCCCCGGGGACAGCACGGTCGGGGCACGGGGCTGGAAGGGACACATCTCCACCCTCTGCAGCTCCCTGGGGGCTGTGCCCCTGGATCAGACGTCCCAGGAATGGAGAGACAGGCCCAGAGCATCCCCAGCACCCCGGGGGCGCTTTCCATGGAGGGTTTTCCTGATCCCCCTGCCCTGGCACCGATTCTCACCCTAATCCCCCCCAACCCTCACCGCCTGCGGTGTCCCCGGTGGGAGGTGGCACCGTGTGGCACCAGGACGGAGCCTTCGGGGTGCCCGGACAGCCCCGGGAGATGTCGGCGCTGCAGCTTTGGCTGCACAGCCCCGTGCTAAGCTGGACTAATTCCTGTGGCCAGCGGGGATTTAGTGAGGGAAGGGCCACCCGCACCCCAAAACGCCCTGCCAGGCTGGGTGGGATCCTCACGGCCACCTGGTGCTGGCAGCTCCCCGGTGCCCCCAGCTGCTCCTGCTCCTTCCCCTCCTGTCATCCCCAGCCCATGAGCAGAAATCCCCGGCGTGGTGCATCGTCCCACCTCCCTTAACGAGGTCGTTTGGGTTGTAGGGGCTTGCCCCAAGCAGTATTTTTGCTGGTCCCATGTCCCAGCCAGTTTCAATACGGTAGGAACAGGCATCCCCAGCACCATCCTCCTGGTGCACATGGGGCCAGGGGGACACCCACAGCCACCCCCCAGCAGACAGACCCTATGGGACACCCACTTCCCAAGGCTCAGCCTCCCAGCATTTTCCACCCCGCCTCGACGGCTTGATTTAGGGTCTCGGAGCAATCTGCGCAGCTCTTTGAAGTTTCCACCGGGGCCCTAGCGCTGATTTATCCCCGGATGGGAGCAAGGCTCGGCCCTGTGCACGTCTCGGGGGCGCAAGACAGCCCCGTCCCCTCCGTGCCCTTCCCACCCTTTTTCCTCCGCTCTGTTATATAATGCCACTATAGATTTAGCCACTCTGCCATGAGACCCTGCAGATTAAATCTGCCGGCCGGGGGAGGGTAAGAGCTCCCAGGGCAGATTAATAGCTTGCTTTTTTAATATTCATAACAATACAGTTTTGTGTCCGGCTCCCGGAAACCCCCGTGTCCCGTTGATTAGTTTAATGCCGATGATACGGGCAAACAGTCACCGCTCGTGGCTGCAGAGGATAAGAGGGCCGGGGAGGGAGGGGCCCCACGATGACATTTTTAATGTTATTAAGTGCTCGCTTTCATCAAGGTCAGGAGACGAGATGGGTCAGAAAGCACAAAGCCTCCGACCTCTCGGCTCTGGGGAGATGCTGGGTGACGGGAGGATGAACCCAGCCCGGGGTTTGGGGAAGGAGCTGTTTTCCAGTCCGTGCAGACCCGTCAAATGTTGGAGGATGAGTGTGGGACTCCCCAAAGCAGCACCCTCATTGCCAACAGCCAGCTCGGTGCGGGGACACCCCCCGGTGCTGTTTCACCCCCCATTTTCCAGGAGAGCCCTCGCTGACACCCCAGGGACCACTCGGCTGCCAGGCAGGAGGGAAGATGCCAAAAGCCTGCGCTGGGGAAGGGAAATAAAATTCCAGCAGAGTCCCCAAGGCCACCACTCCCTGCCCCAGCCCACCGGGAGCCACTCGGTCCCGTTCCCGTGCCGCGTCCCCCCCCCTCCACCCCTTTTTGTGGGCAGCCCCACGGGCGGGGGCGAAGCGCAGAGAGGTTGCGAATGCCCCCAGGACTCCTCCAGGAGATCATTTGGCGGCTAGATAAAATTAGACGGATGGAGACAGATTAGCTGAACAGCTGAAGGGAAGAGACGGGCAGATGGATGGGGACAGGCGATCGAGGAACAAGGACGGCAGCGCAGGGCTGGGGGCTCAGCCCACCCGCACCGGGCACCGCAGCAGCCCCGGGGTGCCCGGGTACCCCACACCCCGCTGCCCCAAACCCCAAATCTTTGAGGATTTGGCTGTGTCTCGAGGGAAGGTGCTGAGCCATCCTCTCCATCCCCGATGTCCTCCCATCTAATGCACGGGTCCAAGCCAGGCACCGAGCTCCCTGCACGCAGGAGGGATCCTGCCCCAGCCAGGGCAATTCCCCAGGGACCAGCGGGGGGTATCGGAGCAGCAGCCGGATTTGTGGGATCACAGCAGGTGCCAGCTGCTTCCCAGCCCCAACCCGAGCCCCAGCTGCTCCTCACGTCCCCAATTTTCAGCTGTTTGACATCAGCCTGGGATTAACCCTTCGGGTGCATGCAGGTCCTGCTAGGATCCGGCCCCCACAAGGTGTGCGGTGGCTCAGAGGCTCCCAGCACCGTGGAGGAGCTTAGGAAGGAAAAAAAAAAAACGAAGCAGTGAAAGGGAAGCGTGCAGCAGGGCAGAGCACGTGAGCCAGGATCAGGCCATCTGGATCGGGATGCCCTTGCATGGGAAAGCACAGAGCTGACGGCTGCCACGCTGACCTGCCAGTTCTCTGGTCCTTTGGAAGTTGGGGATGCTTCAAAATAACCTGCAGGGAAAAAATTAATAATAATAATAATAGTAATAGTAATAGTAATAGTAATAGTAATAGTAATAGTAATAGTAATAGTAATAGTAATAGTAATAATAATAAATTTATAGCAGAGAAGGAGAAAGCATCCCGCACACTCACACGCGTGTGCCAGCAGAGCTGCAGCATCCCAGGGCTGGCACCGCATCCTCCGTGACTGTGCCACCACCTAAGGACACCCGCTCGCCTCTCAGGCCCTACAGAAATACCTACAAAAGGTGGAAAAAAGGGTTCATTTCTCTCCATGCCCAGTATCACGGCACGCGGGTCGGCGCAGCGTGCCCGTGCTGTCCCTTCCAAATGCCTTTATCTGCTGAAAATCCCCCCCTCCCTCGACCGCCTCCTCCCCACCTCCTGCTTTTAAGTGGATTTCCCCTCCGCGTGGTGAACAACGATGAAATCAAGAAAGGAAAGGAATAATCCCGGCGGCCGGGCCCTTTAAACGGATTTCACCCTATCCATTTCTTTCCCCTTCTTGTGCCTGTGTGTGTGCGCGCGCCACTGACGTCAGGGCAGATTTGGAAGTTGCCCGATGCCGGCCATCTGCTCCTGATTACGGGAGGCCCTGAGCTCTTTAAAATTACACGCAGAAAGGCCGACGGGCCCCGAGTGTGGCCGCGCATCCCCGCGCTGCCGGCCCCGCTAATCCCCCGCTCGCAGGGCACCAGCCCCTTTAATCACCAGTGGCCAGGGACGGAGGGAAGGTTTGGGTGGTTTTGCAGGGGCTGGTGCTTGTTACAAATGTCCCAAATTGCCCCAAAGTGATGAGGGGGTTATCCTGTCACCCAGCAGGTACCTCTGCGGTGCCACCCCGCTGCCCTGTTGCTTCTAGGGGGCTTGGGGGGATTTTCGGGGGGATTTCAGCAGCAGGGATGCGGTCGGTGCCAAAGCAACAGGAGGCGGCTCAAGGAAGGGCTCCGCGCTGATTGCACCCTTGGGAATGGCTTTTTTAGGATTATCATGGGAATGAAGGGTGGTGGGAAGCCCTCTGCGTCCCCCCGTCGGGAAAAGGGCTGCAGGGAATTTGGGGATCCCCTGCTGCAGGCTGGCACCTGCCCGCAGCTCAAGCAGGACCGTGGGGTTGTCGTGCATCCAGCGGGTAAATCCGCGTGGCCCCATGCTCCATGACCACACTGGGGTCTTTCCTACAGCCCCCCCTGCTCCCAGGTCACTGCGTCCACCCCTATGTCCCCCCCGTGCCTCAGTTTCCCCAGGGTGCTGCCCTCACCTATGGCCTGGACCCAGGATGGGAGAAGGCCAAAATGAGTCCCCCCCAAGCTGGTTGGTGACTGCAGGGCAATTAGCGGCGGCTTGATTGCAAGCAGCACGCTTAATGAGGTTGAACTGCTACCTGGAAACTTTCGGAGTTCTTAATTACCCACGCTGTAATTGCTAGTCTAAAGTACATTAATATAAATGACTGTCTGGGACAAAAAAAAAAGAATAAAAAACAAAGGCAGGATGCGGTCTGCAGGAGCTGGGATGTGGCAGGGCCTTCCAAACCCCCTCGGAAATTGCATCCCTTAAAAAACACGGTTCTGCTAAAAACATTTTATGGCACGGGGGGGGGGCGGGGAAGAGCCCCCCACGTCCCCCTCTGACCTCTCCATCTCTCCTGCTCAGCCTCGTGTTTTCGGTGCCTGGTGGACGTGGTGCCGGTGAAGAACGAGGACGGCGTGGTCATCATGTTCATCCTCAACTTCGAGGACCTGGCGCAGCTCATCGCCAAGAGCGCCGGCCGGAGCCTGCACCAGCGGCTGTCGCAGAGCTGGCGCGCAGGTGGGTGGCACTGGGGACACCGGGGACACTGGGGGGGAGGCAGGGCTGCATCCTCCGGGGGCTGCGTTTCTGCAAAGCCGCAGCTCCAACGGGTCGGGGAATTGAGCCACGTGAAAAGAAAATGGGTGGAAAAAGGGCTTTTTTGGCCCTTTGTGTGCACCCCCAGGCACGCTGTGTGCCGTGCACCTCCTGATCCAGCTGGGGACTTCGGGATGGGATGGGGACGGACCCCAGGCACAGGAGGGTGCAGATTTAAGGAGAGGGCATCTCGCCCACACACCTCCTGCTTTGCTGCCAGCCTTTGGATGTTTCATGCTGGGAGGGGTTTGTGGCAGCCCCTCGGGTCCCTGCTGCGGGCAGGCAGCACGGCGTTGGTCAGGACAGAGGGCTCTGGCGTGGGACAGGAGCCACGTGTGGATATTTTGCGACTGCTGGGGGATATTTGGTGTCACCAACAGCAGGGCTGTGTCACGGGGATGTCACCGCACGCGGGATGCATTGGGATGGCCCTGAACTTGCTCCAGCTTTGGGCTGTTTCCCACAGTCCCAGGCTCATCCCAGGGTTTTGCAGGGCTTTTGGGGGGCAGTGGAAAACCCGATAGCAATTTTTGGGGGAGGCTGGAGCAAAGGGAGAGCTGTGGCGAGGCCCTGCAGGGGGTGCGGGTACCAAACAATACCGAAGTTGGACCAGACCATGGGGAGCAGAGGTGGAGCTTCCAAATACCCTCCTGCTATAGGGTCCTCTGTGCCAGCCACCTGTATTTTAAACAGGTGAACAATCTTACATAGATCTTCCTATAAAAAACTACCTGGGGTGTGGGGCGCTACAGAAGACTTGCGTCAGGACATTTGGGAACCAGGCTAAAGCTGTGGGAGCAGCCTGGGTCTGTCCCCCCATGGCACTGGGGTTGGCACAGTAGGATTGGGACCACAGCCAGGGCTGGGGCTGCACTGGGGACTGACGGGGCCCCTTCACGCTGCCCTTTTTGTAGTGTAACGTGTTTTTAATGCAGTCACGCTCGGTGCACGGACACAGCCCCGGTGCCATGAAGGGGTTCGCGTGCGCGGCTGCAGGTCCTGGTGGGGATGCTGTGTGTGGTTTTGGGTTTTGTGCATCCTCAGGCCAAGCATACGCAGAGGGGACGAGCAGAGCTATGCGGTGGGTGTGTGTCTATCCTGCTGTGTCTGTAAACTGGCGAGGTTTATAGGTTTATATTTCTGGTGCATCGCGACAAGAGCAGTTAGCCTCCGTGCATGAACTGCTGCAGGACATCCTAAATACCAGCACCGGTGCTGCCTCCCAGCTCTCATATGTCCATCTCGACATATGACGCGTTCCCGTCCCGTTGAACATCCCCCGAGGTCTGGGTTTGGCTGCGGAAGGTGCCCAAACAGAGCCAGCACCGAGTGATTCCCTGCGCACCCCAAGGAGCCTTGTCGGGAGAGGCGGGTGCCAGCCCGGACCAGCCCCTTGTGCGTGGGTTTTCTGACACCGAGCAGCTCGGCAGTGCTTTGGGGTTAAGTGAGGGGAGGCGAATTGTGCCAAAACCCGTCAGCTCCACACTATGCTGCTTTCTCCCAGAGGACGGTGCCTTTCTGGAGCTTATTTTGCATCCCGCGTCCCTCTGCCAAGAGGTATTGCCGCCAGTGGAGGGATGAGACGCAGGGAAAGTCAGCCAGAGGCTCATCTAATGGTGATTTCGGCTGCTTTGTTTTTAGTGTAGGGTGAAGCCAAGTTGGTCCAAGCCTTGCCCAGCTCCTGGCCCTGCTGACGAGGTTTGCCCAGGGAAGGTTTTGGTCCAGGATGTGAATTTAGTCCTGAGGGTCATGGTCTGCTCTGCGGAGCAGCCACAGAGGAGGACGAGTGATTTTGTGCTGGGCATCACTACCAGGGACATCAGGGTCCTGCTGTGGCTGCTGCTGGTCCCTCCCTGCATCCACCCCTTCCCCTCCTCACCCTCTTCTGCTGCTCCTTGCAGCCCCAGCTGCTCTCACCTTGGTCCTGGGCTCCAGCGAGGCAGTGCCCTTGTCCTCAGGGGCAAACCCAACACTTTGGTCTAGCACCGGACAAAATGGCTGGAAGTACTTTTCCTAATTGTTAACTTGTAGGATTTTTTTGCACATTGTGTTTGTTTTGTTGCTTTTGTGTTTTTTTTTTTTTTTTTTTTTTTTTTTTTTTTCCCTGAGTCCCACCAAGGAGATTTAGAGGCTCGATTTCCTCCAGGTCCAAATCCCCTAAGTGGCTTTAAGCAGCTTAGAGACGCTCCGCACCTTTCCCGTCTTGCATCCTTAGTGGCCGGGGTCTCCTGCAGCCCCGCCGTGCTCAGGGTCTGCCCTGAGCTCACGTTGCTGCGGGATTAGTGAGCGCCGCAGGAGGAAGGCCCACGCATGTACCCCAAAACCACCCGAAATCCTTCGCAGCCCGCTCCCCCGCCACCGCCCCGACCTGCCTCGCTGCGGCCATCCCGTGCAGCTAGGTTACATCTGTGTCTCTTGTGTTTTGTCTGTGTTTTTCTTTTTAACAAGGTCAAGGTAGGCGGTTGAAGTTTAGTCTCCCGTCCCTGCGGCGACTCAAAGTCCAGCGGAAATCTCTGCCCACCAGTGAGTTTGATGGAGTAGCCATTGACTATGGAAAGGTAACCGCAGCCTTTGTCTGATACGAGCCCGTGCCTCAGGCCAGGACCCAGCGCTCTTCCTCGCTCTCCCCATCCCCGCTCCCCCTCGGCTGCTGTGGCTCGGGCCGTACCCGCTGCTGGGGGGCTTCGGCCCCGGCGGCGTTGCTTCGGTGGCATGGGACCGTGCTGCTCCGCAGGGCCAGCCGTGGCTCACGGGGGGAGCGGGAGCTGTGCCGAGCTGGGAGGAAGGTCCGGCTCCGTAGGGCGAGTTGTTTGGGATGGCGGAGGTCGGGGGAGATGTCCCCTCCGCGGAGATGCTGGTGGCAGCTGGAGAAGGTGTGGCGTGAGCAGGGAGCACAGCTGGCAGGGCTTGCAGGCAAAAACCTCGAAATGGCATATTTCCCCCCATTTTCCTGGCCGGGACCAGCCCAGGCAGCTCTGGCTTCTCAGTCCTCCTGCAAGGACCATGATGGAGGGTGATGCTGTCACTGCCGATCTGATGAGATTGGGGAGGTACCGGAGGAACCTCTTTAGAGCTTGCTCTTCTCAGTGTCTTCTTGGCTGTTGGAAGTGCTCGAGGTACCTCTGGGCAAAGGCGCGTTGTTTGCTGAAACCCTCCAGCTCGAGGCACGGGGCTGTGGGCAGGAGGCTTTCGCTCTGCTGAGGCATCCCCAGGCACGAGGTGGTTGCTGCGCTGGGTGTATCCGGACAGCCTGGATACAGCTGCTTCCCAAAATCACAGCTTGGGGAAGGCGGGAGGTGCATGTCTCCTCTCAGGTTGTGCTTGTGGCGAGCTGAAGGCATCCGTAGTGCTGTCAGCTGCTCTGGGTACATTGGTCCCACACCCACCAGTGCTGCTAAAGGCTCTGGGCGCCCCATGGTGAAGCCGCGTGGTGCACTGCAGCGTTTTGGGGGCACACACGTGGAAGATGCGCCCTGAGGTCCTGATGGTCCACTGCTCTGGTGGAGCCTGGTCCAAGCGGGGAGAGCCTGGCAGGAGCAGGGACAGCCAGCCCCACTGGTCACCACGTCCTACAACCTGCAATAAGGCCCTTGGGGATGGTGAGGAGTGCTGCACCATGCCTTGGGCACGCGCTCAAAGCCCCAGTCCCAGCCACGGGCATGGCTGCATGGACCCAAAGGATTCTGCCCCAAAAGGTGGTGGCTTTGTGCTGCTCGCTGGAGAGGCCGTTAAAGGCTGGAAGCTCTTCAGGTCCCCGGGGAGCAACCTTTAGCAATGGCCGAGGGGCGCTGGAGGAGAGGGAGGACCTCATAGGGCTGAATTTGCAAACCCAGCAGCATCTCCAGGGCTTCCCGGTGCAGAGCACATCCCTTCCCCGGGACAGACAGCAGCACAGGACCCCGGGCACCCACCCGCCGTGGTGGCCTGAGCTCCTGCAAGGGGCGAGGGAAAGGCAGGAGCAGTGGTGGGACACGGGGACACCTCAGGAAAGAGCGCTGCAGGGCAGGTGCTCCAGGCAAACCCACCCTTAGGGTCTCCTCTTCTCTTTTTGCTCTGCCTGCTTCCAGCTACGCCTTGCAAACAGCCCCGCAGGCCGTGCGAGCCGGCTCCTGGCACCGTCCCGGGGCTGCCACAGTCCCCGAGGGCTCGGTCACCCCCACCGCAAAGCACCCTCGGTTCTGGTCCAAGCTGGAGCTGAACGGGGGAACCGCAGCGCTTCCCGGCCCCCTGCCCCTCCTCTTACCTCCCCAGCTCCCTCCTTCCCCCCAGCACGCGAGGACTCCTTCTAATAAAACCCTTTCTCCCGGCTGTCTTAAAGCCCGGTGGCGACTCCCTGATTTTGAGGGACTTGAAGACATCGCCCAAGGAGAACTGTGTGCAGTCAGAGACCGAATCCCTCCTGGAAAAGGAGAGGAGGCCGAGCCTGGAGGCCGACCCCACCTTACAACACTCGTCCCCGAAACAAGAGCCTCCCTCGCTGGGCCCGCGAGGGCCGTACTCTGCGTGGGGTTTCATTCGGTCTCGCCCCGGGGGCAGCTTCCACAGCCTCCGCAGGGTCTCCTCCTTGGACAACTTTGAGGCTGCGAGGTCTGAGTTCCAGAGAAAATTCAGGGAAAGGAGGGCAAACTCAGGTAGGGGAAAAACCCCGGAGTTTTCGGTCCTACTGCGGGAGCGACGGCCCCAGGGGCCACCGGCACGTCTCGGGGGGGGAGGTCTCTTACCTTGCACTGCTTTTTCCTCTGCAAAGTGGAGATTAAGTGGGGTCTCCTCCCTCAAACCCGCTGATCTCGGCGTGCTTCCCTGCGTAGGCAGGTCGTAGAGCATCGGTGGCATTGCGCATGGGCCATAGACCGTGTAAGGTTGTGTTTGGCTGCCCTGGGTGAGAGGCATCTCGATGCCATCCCACCTGGCCAGGAGGGAGGGAAGGGGTCGGCAGGCAGTGCGATGTCCCCGTGAGTGATGTCCCCATGTTGGAGGTGGAGGGGACAGCAGCCAGGTGGGAGGAAACGCGCCTCCACCCCGTGTTCATGTAGAGACCCTTTCTACCTTTCTTTTTCACCTCTTGTTCTTGTAGAGATGTGATAATAAATAAGGTGGAGGGGCAGGCAAGGGAAGCTTCAATAATTGGGGATGGGGAGAGATCAGCATGCGGTGTTTGGCTTGAGGAAATGGGGTGGGGGATCGTGGTCCTCAAATAGTCACAAGTTACGGACCTCAGGAGGGGACACGGCACAGAGGGGCTGAGCGGGCAGGAGGAGGGTGGCAGCAGGAGGGCACCTTCATGGGGTCTTCGGCACCTCCTGCCCATGACACCTCTTGAGGGGATGTCAGAATGTAGGGGATCGAAGGGGTAAAAAACTGAAAAAATAACCCAGCCCTGGCCGTAGGAGATGGAGGGGGTGGGACAGACTGGTTGTGGTGTTGGGGATGTTCCCGAACCCCCGGGTGTGGGCACAAGCACCTCTGTGGGTACACACTGCCATGGGCCAGACCAAGCTGGTGCCTCCGGGACTTCCTCCCTGGTCCTGCACCAGGGTGAGGCAGGGAGGAAAACCAGGTGGGATCCAGCCCCCGCAGCACGGTGACCCCAACCCCACCACAGCTCTTCTTCGGGAGAACTGGGGGTGGAGGAGATGTCTGGGTGGGGACATTGCCCATCTCCTGGCTCGCTTTGGTGGCCACGAGCCAAAGCAAGGAACTGAGGAGCTGTGTGGGTCATGCTGGAGTATGCAGGGGTGGAGGACGCCCACCTTCCCTCTTCATCTGCTTTCGTGCCAGCTCCTGACATCCCTCCCTGGTGGGTCTCGTTGGGACCGGTCCCGAACCCACCGCAGTCTTCAGGGGTAGCACAGCACGTTGGGTGCCTCCGCATTTTGGCATCCCATCCGAGCCCCCTGAAGGAGGTTTAATGGTGAGAAGATGGGTGATGTGCCTGAAAAGCAGACCCCTTGGGTGTCTTGGGTTGGGCATCCCACGTCAGAAGCCGCCCCAAAGAAGCCAAGCCTTTATGGCCTGGTCAGTGCCTTCTGGTGGCACCCCGTGGTGGTCCCGCACTGAGGTTAGAGCTCTGCAAATCTGCTCCTGCCCTCGCCACCCTCCTCAACGCTCCTCTCCATCCTGTTTCAGAGGCTTCCCACGTCAAACCCAACCCCCCGAACTCCACCTCGGACTCGGACCTGATGAAGTACCGGACCATCAGCCAGATCCCCCAGTTCACGCTCAACTTCGTGGAGTTCAACCTGGAGAAGCACCGCTCGGGCTCCACCACCGAGATCGAGATCATCGCGCCCCACAAGGTGATGGAGCGCACGCAGAATGTCACCGAGAAGGTCACGCAGGTACGTGGGCACTGAGATGGCACTGGGGTGCTGGCACTGCCACCAGGACATGGTCATGGCCATTCCAGTGGCTTTGGGAGGAGAGGGCAATGATACCTGGAGTTTCCACCCTGGGCAGCATCTCAGCGTTTGATTTTCATCTTTTCCTCTGAATGTTTTAATATACTTTTTTTTTTTTTCCTGAATCACTTTTTATGGGTAATTTGTGCCCAGAGGGACACGGGAATGATGGTGGCCATGAAGGGGACACACGCGTGTGCCTGCATGTGCCCATGGTTCATTTGCAGGGGAGGCTCTTGTTATCCCCATGGCACCAGTGGCCCTCGTGTGCTCAGCTGGGGACCCCACGGATCCCCTGGGAGACAGCAGGTGGCACTGCACTGTCACCAAACCGGGCACACATGGCACTGCGCTGTCACCAACACGTGTGACGCTGCACTGTCACTGCAGGGGACACGCATGACGCCGCGCTGTCACCGTGGCGAACACACATGGCATCACCCTGTCACCACAGGGGACACGTGTGTCCCCAGACTGTCACCACAAGGCAAACACACGGCGCTGCCCTGTCTCCAGAGGGACCGAGCTCCCTGCTGGCCCTGGCCGTGGGACGTGGTGGCACGGGTGTGAGGAGGAACAGGACGCAAAGTGGCGAGGACCAACCCTGCTGTCACCTGCCCACGGTGCCTGTGACCCACAGCTGCCTGCCCTCCTTCTATGCACAGGAAGGGAAATATTTTTAATTCCCCATGGGGAAATAATGACTTTGGGGCAGCGAGTTAATTAAAAGGTCAGGGGAGGTGCCGAGCCATGGTGTGAGCAGGGAAAGCGGCGTTTTGGTGCATGTCGGAGGTGCTGCTGCGTCCCACAGCCCTGGTCAGGATCTGTTACCAGCAGGGGAAACTGAGGCACGGGGGAGCCGTGATGTGCAAAATGCATCCAAGGGCACCTCCCACCACTGCTAGGAGCAGCCAAGGGCAATTTTAATGAAAATGCAGCCATCTGAGCCCAAAAAAGCCCCAGGATTTGGCAGTTTGCTCCTTCAGAGCAGATCTTCCCTCCCAGGAGCTTGGTGCCAGGAATCTTTCCACCTTGTGTCCTCCGTGCGGGGTGGACGGGCTCTCTCCAAACAGCATGGGATGGGTTTTAGGTTTGTTCCCTGCTTTGGCTTGACGCCGTCAGCCTGCACCCCTCTGATCTGGGGGTGACCAGCAGAGACCTGGGGACCAGCCCCGAAGGCTGCAGCAGGATGGCGAGTGGCCTCTGTGTCGGGATGGGATGGGATGGGATGGGATGGGATGGGATGGGACGGATGGGATGGGATGGGATGGGATGGGATGGGATGGGACGGACAGACCTCTGCTCCCCATTGCATCTCCCTATGGCTTCAGGGGACCCAAGCATCCTGCCCATCCTCACCCCATGCCTCCCACCACGCCACAGCTCCTTGCTCCTGCCCTCTAAATAATTCACAGCGAGGCAGAGACAGAGGCGAGACGTGGCTGATGGCATCTAAAAATACCGGCTGGCAGCAGGGAGAGGCGGTCAGTGGCTGCTCGGGGCAGGCAGGAGGGTCGGCCACAAGTGCAATGAGTGCGCCGGGCTCAGCCTGCATGGCTGGAGGCGCTCAGAGGTGCTGCGGGGTCAGTGCCACCGGCTTGGGGTCCTATTTTGTGGGTGGCACCTCTCCGGGTCCCCAGGGAAGGGGGAAGGAGGTGGAGGTGGTCAGGGGGTGATGGGGAAGAGGGGTGGAGGTGCTGAGCGGTGTCAGGATTTGCACCAGAGGGTAAAGACCAGAGAGGGGGGGAAGGCCAGTGCCTGCCTGCAGCTCCATGGGCCTGATCCTGCCCAGTCCCTTTGCTTGAGGGTCTCCTGGTGGCTCTGGTGTGTCCCCCTCCCCAGCTTGGTGTCCTCCTCCTCATCCCCATCCCCCTGCATGGGGCTACACCTGCTCTGCCCTGAGCCCCATGGGGAGCAAGCAGTGGCCTGGGTCAGCCGGGGCCATCAGGGCCCCCCCTCCATCACCCACAGCCCACACGCACCCTGCTCCCTCCTCCCTCCTCCTCCTCCTCCCTCCCACGGCCACCTCTCGCACCCAGCACCAGCACCCTGCACCCCCAGCATGAGCCTGCGGCTGCAGCTGAAGCCGGTAAGTGCAGGGGAAAGGGGACAGGGGAAGGTGCACCCGGTGGAGTCACCATGGGGGACACCCGGCACTGCCACCCTCAGACACCCCCTGAACCACCCAGGCCACCGAGAGGTGCCACCTGCAGCCCTCGGGGACAAGGCTGAAGGCATTCCCTCCCTCTGGGTTGCTTTAGATGCTCTTCTGGAGGTTGTTTCTTTTCCCTTTTCTGCCTCAAATCTTTGTGGTTGTCCTTTTTTTATTAATCCCTGCCTGGAAACCAAGGGGGCTCGACCCACTCTTGCTCCAGCTGCAGGAGCGAGGTGTCAGGAGCAGGTGACGCACAGCAGGCATCTGAGCACAGGGAACAACGCTCGAGGTGCTCAGATTTGGGACTGGTCTCACCGAGCTGCTCCCAGCCGGGCAGGCAGGGCAATTTGGCTACAAGGGTGGCAGCATCGCTGGCTTTCCCAGACACAAGGCGCTGGAGCCTGTTTGGGGTCTGCAGGACACATCTCAGCTTGGGTACCAAAAATTCCAGCAGCATCGCTTTGTCCCCTGCGGGAACCATTCCCCAAGCCCACCCGGTGCCTCACTCCCCTCCTGCAACGATTGCATTTCAGTCACTTTTTCCTATCCCTCCCTCTCCGTCCGCCGGCCACGTCGGCAGCTCCCGCGGCCCCATTGGCGCTCTCGTCCCCACGGGGGCCCCAGCATCGATCGGGTTTGATTAATCCACGCTGGGCTCCCGAATGCCCTTCGCAGCCGCATGCCTCCCACCCGCCCGGCCGAGCGCGTGCGTGCCTGCGCGGGCGATGCCGCGGCCCCGGTCCTGCGCCCCCCGCGCCGGTCGCTGCGTGGGCGCATGGGGCTGGGGACCCCCATGGGGGACACCCGGACCTCACCGCGGGTCAGCTGCCACCCAGGGCGCCGGGCAAGCCGCAGGCAGGTAGGAGCTGAGGACGTGGTGGGATGGGGCTGTGGGGCTGGATCTGTGCGGGGTCACAGCAGCAGGAGCCCTCGGGTAGCACCTTGAAGCCTTGAAGGATCCAGACCTTCCTCCGGAGCTGTTGGCAGAGTCGTGGTGGTGCCCAGCACCACCTCAGGGAATATGGGGCTGCTGGTGGGATGTGGGATCGGCATGGGTCCTACTCTCTCCTCGGGGACAGATATTGCAGGCTGGCACCGAATCACAACCGTTTTTCTGGGGCCTCCGTGCGGGGATGCCCCTTGTTCTCCTCTGTGTGGCACGGGTGGTGGGCACTGTGGGGACACCCACAGGACAACAGAGTGTAAAAGACAGGCAGGGAGGATCTGGCTGCCCCAACTCCAAATAACCCCCTTCATATCACCATCTCAGCATCCAAAGTAGGACAGCCCCAGCCCTCTCGGTCCCCAAAACCTTGCGTTGTGTCCCCACGGTGGCTTCAGAGCCCACCAGGAGCTGGCGGTGGGCCTGGAGGGGGAAAGTGGGACATGAGGGGACTCACCGGTGCTGTGGGATTGTGTCCCCAGGAGGAAAGACAAATCCAGGGCGTGTGACAATGCGGCAGGCTGGCTGTGCGTGTGCAATGGTGTGTGCCCCTTGGTGGTCACAGGTTGTCCCCTCCCTGAGGATGCTCAGATGGGAAATGGGCACTGCTCAAGGGCTCGAGGCCAGGTTTTGCTGTGGGTGGCCCCAGCTGTCCCCTCTGTCCCAGAGGGACATCGAGAGGAAGGTCCTGCTGTGACCAAGAAAGGCATCACACGAGGCTTGCAGGATGCTTAATGTGTCATCACCCTTGGGGGCACAGCCACGGGACTGCATCTCCAGGCTTGTTGTCCCCTGTGGTGGGGACACCCAGCAGCTCCTGGGCTGGTGGCACAGAGCTGAGGGCACAAGGAGGCACGATAGGAGGCACTGTCCTCCCTGCCAGTGTGGGTCTCAAGGGTGTAAAGTGGAAAAATGCCTGCCCCGAGGGTCCTCCAGCCATCAGAGCTGGCCGAGGAGCCAGGCAGACCTTGGTGCCAGCCACAGTGGTCACCTCACCTTGTGGCCTCCTGGTACAGACACACATGAAGGCAACCTGAAGTGAAATAGGTGTAGAAACCCCACTGCATGCTCCCTGCTGCCCTAAAAGCACAAGGGAAACCCTCACCGGGCTTCCAGCCTTGTCCAACCTCCCTCCTGGTCTCCATGTCCTTCTCATGCCCATCTCCTGGCAGGTGCTGTCCCTGGGGGCCGACGTCCTTCCTGAGTACAAGCTACAGGCACCGCGCATCCACCGATGGACCATCCTGCACTACAGTCCCTTCAAGGCCGTGTGGGACTGGCTCATCCTGCTGCTGGTCATCTACACGGCCGTCTTCACCCCTTACTCAGCCGCCTTTCTGCTCAACGAGGAGCAGGTGGAGGAGAAGCACTGGAACTGCAGCTACTCCTGTGACCCGCTCAACATCATCGACCTCATCGTGGACATCATGTTCATCGTGGACATTGTCATCAACTTCCGCACCACCTACGTCAACATCAACGACGAGGTGGTGAGCCACCCCGGCAAGATCGCCATCCACTATTTCAAGGGCTGGTTCCTCATCGACATGGTGGCCGCCATCCCCTTCGACCTGCTCATCTTCCGCTCTGGCTCTGACGAGGTGAGGAGAGGACTCGTGGAGGGACGGGGAGAGGGATTTAGGGGAGAGAACGAGAGGGGTATGGATGGGTTAATGCAAGCGGTGGGAGGATAGGTCTGCAAGGAGATGGTCAGAGGGATGAGCAAGGATGTTTAACAGGTTTTTATTAAGCAGCTGGAAGCTGGGTTTTTATTTGCAAAGGGTCAGGCAGCCACGCAGACCCTACTATAAGCTAAGATAATGTCCAACTGTACCCGCTCTCCTTGCCGGGGAGACAGCCCAGGGCTGACCCAGCACAGCAGGCCAGGAGCTCAGTTTAGGGACCAGCCTCACACATCAGCAAGGGTGAATTTGAGCTTGCATGTCAAGCCAGACTCCAAATGTAGGCAGTGGGATGGGTCTGTTGTTACTGTGCTACCTGGAGGCCCCACCATGGCTCAGAGCCCATGGGATGGGGTGAAAGGCAGTCATTCTGGGATCTACAAAAGGTGAGGACCCATCAAGAAACATGAGATTGGCCTTGGCTCCTCTCACTTGCTCGCCTGTAATCCCAGGGCTCCTTCCCTTCCCAGTCAGCGGAGGGAGGCCGTCCATTTTGTGGCACGATCCACCTAGCCTCTTTCAGGTGTCACCTCCAGGCCAAGTGATTCATGCTCTAGAAGTGCCTTTTTAGCCTTCAAAGCTGACATGGATAGACTGGAGACACACCTTTGGCCACATTTATCCCCTGCTTGTCCCTGAGCAGTCTCTGCTCTGCCCCGCAGACCACCACCCTCATCGGCCTCCTGAAGACCGCCCGGCTGCTGCGCCTGGTCCGCGTGGCCCGCAAGCTGGACCGCTACTCGGAGTACGGTGCGGCCGTGCTCTTCCTGCTCATGTGCACCTTCGCCCTCATCGCCCACTGGCTGGCCTGCATCTGGTACGCCATCGGCAACGTGGAGCGGCCCTACATGGAGCACAAGATCGGCTGGCTGGACAACCTGGGCGACCAAATCGGCAAACGCTACAACGACAGCGACCTCTCCTCCGGCCCGTCCATCAAGGATAAATACGTCACTGCCCTCTACTTCACCTTCAGCAGCCTCACCAGCGTGGGCTTCGGCAACGTCTCGCCCAACACCAACTCGGAGAAGATCTTCTCCATCTGCGTCATGCTCATCGGCTGTGAGTGCCTGGCCCTGGCCCTGCCCTGGAGCTTGGAGGGGCTGCTGTTGGGTGACACGGGGAGACAGCCACCAGGCTGCAGCACGTGGGGTTTTGGAGAGGATCTCCCTCTTCCCGTGCCTCTTGTGCACAGAGGATGAGGGGATAGAAATAGGGGATTTGGGAACCTGCTGCTTGCAGTCTGTGGTGGTTGGGTATGCATCTCCCCATGGCCCCCTGAGTCCTGCCCTCTTGTTGCAGCTCTGATGTACGCCAGCATTTTCGGCAACTGTCTCCGCCATCATCCAGCGGCTGTACTCGGGCACGGCCCGCTACCACACGCAGATGCTGCGGGTGAAGGAGTTCATCCGCTTCCACCAGATCCCCAACCCCCTCCGCCAGCGCCTGGAGGAGTATTTCCAGCACGCCTGGTCCTACACCAACGGCATTGACATGAACGCGGTGAGTGCGGCAGGGGGAGGCCCCCAATTCATGCAGCACCCCGTCCTGAATCTGCGAGCCCACCCAAACGTGTCCACCCTTTTGACCAGGGTGGAGAGGAGGCAGGAGATTTGGGAGGCTGAAGAGAGTCTGTCAGCCCTCTTTCCCTATTTTTCCCCTTTCTCCTTCAGCCCCCCATCTATCCATCCCTCCGTTCCAGGCCCACGATAACATTTCTCAGCTGGAGGGTGGTTTTGGTGCCAGCGAGGAGCTCAGAGCCCCCGTCGGCGCCAAGCGCTTTCAGGACGGTGTCTGCTGGTGCCGCAGAGCCGGGATCGATCCAGCTCCTCTCCACGCTGCCGGTTGCTAAGCAAAGTGCATCCCGCTCTCGGCGGCAGGGAAAGGAGGGCATTTAAATAAACCTCAATCCATTTTAATTAGAGCCCAGAGAGGCAGCTGTTTGTTAGCAAAGGGGGGATCAATGGGGGAGCCACGCTGGAGAGGCGCCGGGGCTCAGAGCCTGGTGGGGAGGCTTGGATGGCACCGAGGCACCGTGGTGTTGCAGGGGGGGCTCAGCCTGGGGTGGTCTTGGGGTGGTCTCAGGGTGGCAGGACTCAGCTCTTGGGGTCCTGTGCACAAACGTGCTGGCTCAGCCAGCTGCAAGGCAGAGAGGAATGAGAAGGGGCAAGGCGAGGAGAGAGGTGGCACCTGGTGCTCCCCAACTTTCAGCCCTCACCAGGCTGCTAACCCGCTCGTTCCCAGCTCATCCTCCTTTTTTTTTTTTCTAAGACTTGATCCTCCTTCCATCCTTGAGCACTACCAGGGGACAGATTTGCATTAATTCAACAGCTGCTGCCTCAATAAACTGGGCAGCGCTGGGAGCTTTGCTGCTGGGAGAGCCTGAGGTTATCCCTCTCCCATGGAGGGAACGCCCTGAGCTGGACATCAGTGGCAGTAACTGGAAATGAAGCCACAGCACCCCGTGAAGCTCAGGGCCTGGCACAAATCCCCTGCGATGAGCTGAGCTTGGACGTGCCACCACTCACACCAGCTCCTGCTGGATGCTGCTAAGACACGATACACTCTGATCAATCATCCCACGTCCCGATCGAAGCATCCGCCCCCGATTTCCCAGTAGGGAAACTAAGGCATCCTAACCAGGCATCCAAACCAAGGCATCCAGAGCAGGCATTCAAAGCCCTTGGTGGCAGCGACTTTCTCCGTGTCGCGAGTTTTACCTTGATTTCACCTTCAGGTTCAGCTTTTGCTCGAGGAGAGGTGTTTGCCACGGGTATATTCAGCTGTTGCTGCACACAACTGGCCTGTGCTGCTCCTTGGTGTTCAGGCAGGTGCTGTTTAATTAGGACAGCACCTCGTTACCAGTTTGCGCTCTCATTCAGCCAAGATTAGTGGGTGGAGAGATGAAAGGGGGATATGCCACCAGTGGGTATAAATAGATTCATTTGGTTATTATTATTATTTATTGCTCAGGAGTGCTTTCATCCCCAGCACAGGTGGTACAAGCCAGGGACAGCAGGCGTCCACCACGGGTGGATGAACATGTCCCCATTGCTCAGAAGATGTCCCCAGCTTTGGGATTTGGCTTTCTGGGGGCTCCCCATTTGGCCACAACATGCAGCACCCCAGGATGGGCAGGACCGTGGCCGTCCTTCCCGGGGACAAGGGTGTGAGGACATCTCTGCCTCGCTCTCTGCAGGTGCTGAAGGGCTTCCCCGACTGCCTGCAGGCAGACATCTGCCTCCACCTCAACCGCACGCTGCTGCAGAACTGCAAGGCTTTCCGAGGGGCCAGCAAAGGCTGCCTGCGAGCCCTGGCCATGAAGTTCAAGACGACCCACGCGCCGCCCGGAGACACCCTGGTGCACTACGGGGACGTCCTCACCACGCTCTACTTCATCTCCCGGGGCTCCATTGAGATCCTGAGGGAAGACATTGTGGTGGCCATCCTAGGTGGAGAAGTCCTTCCTTCTGGGAGAGCGAGGGGTGCTGGGCGAGGGGCGAAGGGTGATGGGTGATGGGTGAAGGGCAATGGACAAAAAATGCGAGGTAAAGGGCGATGAGCGATGGACAAAGGGTAGGCAGGTGAGGGGCAGAGGGCTTCTCCAAGTCCTGGAGAAGGAAAGGCTGTTCCTCATCATCCAGCTGGTCACCATACCACTGGATGTAGGATGGAGGATTGCCTGGAGATGCTGGGGAGAGGCCCCAAAGGACTGAAGACAGATAGCAGGGTTCAGCAGTCCCCAGCTCTTACTGCTGGCTTGGTCTCCCCATCAGTGGTGGTGTCATGGTGTAATCTCCACATCCACAGTCAGGGTCGGAGTTTCTGGGCACCCCCTTGTCCCCAAGCCCCTAAGTGAGGTATCCTGATCCAGCAGAGCTGGGATGGGCCTTCACCTCTCCCTAACGAGCTGTCTGTTGGCACAGGGAAGAACGACATCTTTGGGGAGCCCATCAGCCTCTATGCCCGCCCAGGGAAGTCGAATGCCGACGTGAGGGCCCTGACCTACTGCGACTTGCACAAGATCCAGCGGGAGGACCTGCTGGAGGTTTTGGACATGTACCCGGCCTTCTCCGACAACTTCTGGAGCAACTTAGAAATCACCTTCAACCTGCGAGATGTGAGTGCCAGGGGTGTCCCAGGGATGGGCCGGTCAATGCCTTCAATTTGGCCAGTGGGAGGGATGAAGTGAGGACGTCAGCCTGTGCTCCTCACTCAGTCTCCGAGCTCTCAAGCGAGCCTTAGGGTCCTTTGAGCTCTGCCACCAGCCCAGGAGTTGCTGTGTGGGATGGGGAAGTGGAAGAAGAGCCAGAGGTGGCTGGAGACCGGGCCTAGAAGGATGGTGGTTGGATGGTGGCACCTATGGATGGGACCTGGCACCCATAGATGGGACACAAGCACCCAGTGGAGGGACTGTGACACCCATGGATGGGCCCTGGCACCCACGGATGGGCCGCAGGACCCATGGGTGGGCCATGGCACCTTGTCCTGGTGACCAGCCCCTCTTGTCCCTTAGGCAGACAGCGTTCCCCGCACACCGCTCAGCGAGGAGTACGACTGCACCTACCGGCGCGTGCGCCGACGCAAGCACTCCCTCTGCCAGCCCAACAAGCCCGGTGAGTCCCCTGCCTCCCTCGCCATGCCCCGGCCATCCCCGGCCCCGTGCCAGCTCCGCAGCCCGAAGCATTGGCAGAGCCAGGGAGTGGGATTTGCCATTCAGTCACTGCCCTGGCAGGCACCCCAAAGCGGTGCTTCTGTCCCTCTACAGTCCCCACACTGACATCCACGCTGCCTTCCCTCCTTCTCCATAGGATGCCCCGGCCCTACAGGCATCCCAGAGGGGACGGGGGCTGATTTTACCACTGTGCCACCCCCCGAATTAACCTGTTGTGCTGCCCCACAGACCCAGACGCAGGCACCTCTGATGCCGAGCAGTATCACACCTACTCAGAGCTCACCAACCCGCAGGACCCGCTGAGTAAGGACCAGTGGGATGACCTGGGCAGCAGCACCACCCCCTGCTCCCAGACCAGCGACGACGAGGCCAAGCCCAGCAGCCCCACGAAAGCTGAGCCCTTCCCCGCGTCCAAAAAGGATGATTTTGCTCTGCCCACGCTCAGCCTCATCACTGCCAACACCAGCAGCACGGAGGTCGGCAAGCAGGCGGCGGAGAGCAGCCAGTCCTACACAGGTAGCACATCTGCAGCTGGTAGGAGGGTGGAAGAAAGGATGCTAGGAGAAACTCTGGTGCCATGGGGTTTCTCCTAGCACCCAGTGACCCCTCTTGGAGCTGTCCCAAGGGGCCAGATCTGTGCTAGGCCACACAGGAGGCAGCAGCTTCCATAAGTGTGGTGGGTGCCACTGTGGTGGGCTGCTCATGAGCACCTTGGGTGCCCAGGGTGATGGATCCCCATAAGCACCTCAGCTGCCAGGGTGCTGGACTCCCCCTGAGCACCGTGTATGTTGGGGGGTGGCTTTCCATGAACACGCTGGGTGCTGGACCCTGGAGCATCTCCATGCCAGGGAGCTGGGGGACGCAAATCAGAGGTGCTGAGGGGTCTCCTCTCCTTCCAGCCACCCCCCTGGACATCCCCAACATGTTCACCTTCTGGGAAGACCGAAGGCCGAACCACCACCCGGAGCCCCTGCAGCACGTCTCCCTGATGCACAGCTCACGGGACATCCCCCTGCACAGCGACTACAGGCCAGGGCAGATCGAGTCCAGGCTGGAGCTCCTGCAGGCCCAGCTCAGCAGGTGGGCAGGGCACAGGGTTGGAGAGCACCTGGGGAGGGGGAGATCCAGGTCATCACCTTCTCCTGCTCTCCAAGGGTGGCTGCACCAGGCTCTGTGTGCAGCAAATGCCACCTCCTGACCCTCCTGGGACTCTGCAGTCCTTGGGGAGGAGGTGGAGGTGATTTGTAAATGCAGCAGCTTCTCAACTACAAGTCTCAGCCCGGGCTGCAGCCCAGCACCTCGTCTCTGCCGTCCCATCACCCCTGGCATCTGCTGCTCTGCCACTGCCTCCAGGCTTGATGCAACCACAGACATGAAAACACCCCCAGGCTCACAGTCTGAGCCCTTTGCAGGCCTCCTCTTCCTCTTGCAAAGAGCTGCAAAATTCCTCATGCACATCGTTGCCTTCTAAATAAGAAAAAGGACGAGATTTTTGAATAAAAAGGAAGAGGCTGCACTGGAAACACGGGTTTAAAGGCCCCAGGCAGCACCCACATTAGCAGCCAGCTCTCCCATCCACGGTGCTGCACGTGTTAATCTCACTTCACCCCAGCGCCTGTGCACATATTTTGGTGTCTCACCAAGGTGCCAGCCCCAGCAGCAAGAGCCAGACCTCCCATCTGCTCTGATAGCACTCCCAGGGCTACTGCCTGCAAGGAGGGCTGTGCCCACGGCTGCCAGTGTTGCTCGTTTCACCTAGGGTTAGGACAAGGCAGAAGGAAGGGGCTTATTCTGCTTTTCCTTTTCCCTCCATTACTCCGTTCAGAAAGGTTGGCTCCAACCCATCTTGCTCCCATTTGTCAGCACAGGCAGCTGGCCTGCAGAATTGATCCAGGTTAAAACTAACCACTGCGTTTTTCCCCCCCTCCGGGGTAGTTTTAACTTTGCTCAGTTCCCTGCTCCAGATCCCAGTTTGGCTCCACAAAAAAATAAAACCAGGCAGGGGAAAATTGAGCGTGGCAGGAGAGAGGCGGCAGGACCGACCTCTCTGTGGCAGCATTGGTTTGAAGCTCTGCTAAAAATCTCCCCAAGCAGCACCAGGCAGAGCAGCAGCACCCGCAGGCAGCCGAATCAGCAACTCCTCCCCGCCCCGCTGTGGGTCCGGCTCTGACAGGGTGCAGTGGGACGCACTGCGCTAACGCTGGGCTGCTCTGTCCCCAGGCTGGAGTCCAGGATGTCGTCAGACATTAATATAATCCTCCAGCTCCTGCAGCGCCAGCTGTCCCAAGTGCCGCCCGCCTACAGCCCCATCTCGCCGTCCTCGCACAACCTGGCCATGTACGGCGTCGTCCCGCGGAGCCTGGAGCCGCTCGCCCCCTGCGCACCCCTGGAGGATGAGGAGCAGACGGCCCTGGGGCAGGTAAGGCCACCCCGTCCTGGCTCAGCACCCACCGAGCTTCCTGCTGCCCCCAAAGGATGAGCCCTGGGAGGACCAGCAGTTCTCTCCTGCATGCAGAACACAGCTAAGTTTGTTGGGGTCCAGGCAAAGCCCCGGGGTCCTGAAACCAAGAGATCGACTTGGGGATGCTTCTGCCCCTGATTTGTGGGCACAGCACTTCCAGGTTTCCCAGTCAGTAGGGAACGGGGTGGGTTCCTCTGCTCTTAGGCTTCCCCAAGCCCAAAATAACATTTTGAAGGGGTTGAGACCTGATGGGGTAAGGAGAAAGCACGACTATGTTTTGCTTTTGCCATAACCCACCTGGTTCCTCCTTTCCCACCAGAACCCGAGCTACACGGAGGTGGAAAAGTTCCACTTGAAATCCAGGGACTCCTTGTCGAGCGGGATGCACCTCACCGTGGCGTCCGATGAAACCATGACGGTCTACTCCGAACAGGAGCACCATTCCCCACCTCTCCCCAACCCAGAGCCTCCCCACCAAAGGGCACCAAACACCCAGGGACTCTTGCGGGGCTCTCGGTTCCCTTCCCTCCCTGAGCACTTGGAGGCATCTTCCGAGCACCAGGACATTCAGAGACACCTCTCCGACCCAGTGCTTCCTGGAAGTTAGAGATGTGGGGGCTGCGAAGCAAGTCAAGAGGAACCTCAACTGTGAGCTCGGTCAGTTGATGTTGATTTTGACTGCAGGGGTAAGACGGAGGACAATGCCGTTGGCTCAGGGGTATCATTTGTAGCTGTCTTCTGCCACCGTGAAAGGAAGAGTAGAGTGGCTGGCTTCCAAGATCAACGTTTTCCAGCGGTTTCCATAGAGTAGATTTCATTTGCACATTATAGCGAACCCAGAGCAGTTCTTTCTTACAGCCACCAACAGGCTGGCTAGGCCAAACAGCACCCACCGCCTCTTCCTTGCCAAGGCTTCCTCTCGAGAGCAGCACAAAGCCGAGTGAGCCACAGCGACTGGAGGGGAGCAAATCCGTGGCTCTCAGCTGCGAGGGCGCTTTGCTGTCAGCTCTTCGGAGCCGGGACCATTGCGTTGGTACTGGGCTCAGCCCAGCGGAGCCTGTGGGCACCACAAAATAAAGGGGAGTCAACCAGAGGAGGAGGAGATCTCCACAGCGCGGTACTGGGGGGAGCTGCAGGTGGGAAGCCCAGGACAAGGACAGAGGACAGAAGCTATCCCTGTCCTACCTGATGGCCACCAAGACACTGAGAGCCAACAACCCCCGCCACTTCAGCACGCTTCAGCACGAGTCCTAGGGCACTGACTTCTCCAGCAAGGCCAACCGCGCCTTGCAAACCCCAACACGCATCTCACCAATCCCTGTAGGAACCCAGCTGGTCACCGGCCTGGCCATAAAGCACAAAACTCAAAAGCACAATCCCAGAAAGCCGAAAAGTCCCCGACACCTCATCTCCAGCCCGTCCTCCCAGCTTCTCTCTTTTGATAAAGGTTTGATAGATGCTTCCTCCTCCTCGGCCCTGTCCCTGGCAGACTCCCACAGCGTCCCCCGTAGGAGAAGCCCACTTAGCACTGCCGCCTCGCTGTTCGGTTAGATGCTGTGACAGTCCTAGGCCGCCTGCTCAAGTAACGTATTGAGCTCCCTTTGAGAGTAGTAAAACTGTGAGCGTCTCTTTCTCTGGAGTTTTAGTGTACACTTTGCTAATAAAGATGTTTTTGGCACCTAACGAGGATTACAGCTGTGTTTGTTGGGAGTAGGTGTAAATTCACCCCTGGGGAGCACCCAAGGGAGCAGCACCCAAGGGAGCCCCCAGACCCGCACCCTGTGCTGTGCACCCACCACCTGCCCTGCCATGAGGGGCTGAAGCCAGGCACTGTGCCCCAGCCTGCCCGGCTCCAGGCAGGAGCTTCCTGGGAAGCCGGGCTGCTTGGTGTTACTGGCAGTAAAGCCCCGTAATTAACCCTGGGCTAATTACAGCCCAGCCCCCCCCCCCCCCCAGCGGAGACGGGATTCGAACTCGCGACCCCAGGGAGCGCCCGAAGCGGGCCCCGGGCTGGGGTGACGGACAGCGCTTCCAGCCAATCAGCTGTCAAGAAGGGCTCGAGAGCCCGCCTCGCGCCACTGCGACCCCTGGCAGCCAATGCGCTGCCGAGAACGAGCGCGGCCTCCCTCTAGGGCGGGACCATCCTCCGCGGTAGGTTCTCCCGGCAAGGGAAGGGCAAACCGACCAATAGGATACCGCGCGGCGCCAAACGGGCGTGCGTTCCACCCAATAGCCACCCGCCTGGCTAATGGACAGCAGAGCCGCCCAATCCGCGCTCAGAGGGCGGGCCTCCGCGCGCGGCTTCCGCTCCCGTTGTGTGAGGGGCCCGAATCCCAACCGGCCGCCGCCGGGCGTCTGAGGCCGGGCCTGGGGGCGCCGCGGCCTCGCCCCGCTCCCCGCCGCCTCTGAGGCCGGGCCCAGCGCCTGCCCCGGGCCCTTCCCCTCAGCAGGGCCCAGCCCAGCCCCGGGGTCCCGCTCCCGGTCCCGTCCCGGTTCGTTTTTCTCCCCCCCCCTCCCCCCCGGTCGCCCCCCGGCCCCGCCATGTCGCTGCACGGCAAGCGGAAGGAGATCTACAAGTACGAGGCGCCATGGACCGTGTACGCCATGAACTGGAGCGTGCGGCCCGACAAACGGTTCCGCCTGGCGCTGGGCAGCTTCGTGGAGGAGTACAACAACAAGGTGGGCACGGGCACGGCCCCCCCAAAAAATAAAAGGGCCCGGGGGGAGTTTTGGGGTCCCCCCCCGCCTCGTTGGGTCCTTCCCTGTGGGGTTTGGGGGCTGGGGGAGGTGTTGGGGGGGGGGGGGGCTTCTCGCAGAGGGGTCTCCTCAGTGGCCTCAGCCCCCCTCGGCGTGCCCGGGTTTTGTGGGGAAAGTTTTTGGGCAGGACTCGAGGCTGGGAGCGTGCGAGCTGGGCTGAGGCAGTGTCAGCAGCGTTACGCCTGTTTTACCGTTCGGTCTCCTCGTGGAAGGTTGCTGGGGGGGCTTTTTCATGAGGCTGTAAGCCCTCAGCGCCTTTACTCGTCTCTGAGAGCAATGCTGATGTGAAGCGTGCGGTTGTATCCTCAGCATTCCCTCCTCATCGAAGCAGGGCACCTTGTGCAGGTAGCAGAGAGGTGGCCGGCTCTTCAAATTAAACCCTTCGTTTCTTGACAGCCTTTAATGCATCAGTCTGGGTGATGAATGCATACTGAGCAGAGAAGGGATGAGGAAATAAACCCGGCTATAGAGCATGCAGAAAGTTGTGTGAAGCTGAAGCTGTTGCAAATAGAGCTCTGTGTTTATAGTGTGGCGCTTGTAGCTTTGTCGAGCTGCTTAATGGAGAAAATAAGGCCAAAAGTTGGCATTGGGCAGGGATGTCATGAGGGGTGATCTGAAGGCAGGTGACACCTCTGGGAGTGGTTCAGTTACTGTACCTGCAGCAGTCCTGGCTGGGATGCTCACAGCGCGCTGCGGTCCGGTCAGTGATCGGCTACGAATGAGTTGAGCCCCATTGGGGTGCTGGGGGTGGCAGCTTCGCTGAGCTCCAAAACTTCTCCCTTTCTTTAAAGGCCAAATCACCAACCTGTGAATATTTTGTTTAGAAGTGATGGAGTTGGCTAATAAGGGACATGTTCTGGTGCTTTTCACTTTGGGTCATTCCCCGGGGATTATTATTCCCAATCACAGCGTTATCGAGTCTGCTTTTCGGCTCAGGCTTCCACCATAAAGGCAGTTGAGTCAGCCACTTTTTTTTTTTATCCTTTACACTTAGTTGGTGCAGACAAGCTCTGTAGGGCTGTGTAAATGACCCGTCTGTAAATATTCCCCAGAGCTTCTCCTGACCTCAGTGACTCAGGACTCACAATCCTGTTGACTCCGGTCCCTCCGAGCACCTCGTTCTGTATTTATGCAGCACGGTGTGAACAGCAGGAGAGTAATTGTGCGAGGCTGAGTTGCCGGGCTGGAAGTACAGAAAATGGGTGATTAAAAATTCAGTTTGTGCAATAACACAGTGAAACGTGGCCTTTGGTTTGTTGAGATGGTTTGCTGTGATCCTTAAAGGGTGCTGGGTTTTTTGTGTGGTGAGGGGGTGGGGTTTGGGGTTTTTTAAGGTGTTTTCCGTAGAGCCTTCTGCTGTGATGACAGGTAGAGCCCTCCTGGATAAAGGCAAGTGGTGCTCAGAGCACTGGTGGTGTCTTCCCTTTGGAGACCAGAGGGAGTTTGGGAGTGCTCAGTTATTTGCACACTCTTCGTGGTGTCTCTCTGAGGCTCTCAGCGCTTTGCTGAAACTTTTAGGGGATGCTCAAACCCTCGGGAAACGGCTTCGGGCTCCAGGTTGGGACAGACCCTGTGTGGGTGTGCTGGGGGCACGCTCGCTGTGAGTTCTTTCAGCTCCAGCCTCTGTCTGTGGGAGTGGTAAAACTGAGGTAACACAGGGAAAGAACTGAAGGTGTCCCAAGTAGTCCATAATGTGCTTAGAGCAGGTTTTTTTCAACATGAGTTCTGAGATAAGTGGGAATTTAAGACTTAAGGCACGTGTGGAAGCTTTGTCCTCTTGCCGAAGCCGCCCTGCACGGTTGAGATGTTTTACGTTGCCAAATTCTGACATCAAAATACCCTTGCAGGTGGAACCAATCAAAAGGTTAACGAAAACTCACTTTCATTTCAGCTTTCTCTTTGCACTCGGATATCTTTGGAGGCTTTTGACAAGCACCAAACATTTCTGTTCCTGTTGCTGCGGTGTTTTGTTCTAAATAACCGACTTCCTTCCTTCCCCCTGGTGCACCAAAGCCCAGACTGGAATAGCAATTCTAGCTTGCTGAAAACGTAACCAAATAGGTCAATATAGCTTTTCCATGTTACTCTCCTGTTTTATTTGTATTTTTAAAGGTGTTTTTAAAAAGATTTAATGCACCGAGCATTCATTGTAGCAGCGGTTTCTGTTGGGGTTGGGAAAGGAAGAGGACGGATTCTTGTCCCCTTCATTTTGGGGACTTTCCATTTCTGTAGTAATTACCAGAGCTCCAAGTACGTGCAGCTACATGCACAAAAGGTCTCTTCGCACCTCTCATTTGTGGGGGATTCAGTTCTACTCGCTGCAGAACCCCAATCTCCTGCTGTCCCCAATTCCCAGACTCTCCTAACCGCTTTAATTCCCCTACGACTAACAAGCTGGAGGGCACAGGAGGGAGCTGATTGCCAGGATCTCTCTGAACCCCCGGGGAGTTCTGCTTCAGCTCCTACACCTGCACCGATCGTTCCCTCGTAGAAGGAGACAGTGGGAAGAGCTGAAATTATTTAGGCTGGCTTTTCCTGAACACCTTGGATTAGCAAACGGCTGTTAGGCTTTAGAGCAGATCGCTGGTGTGATGGGAGGCAGCTGCAGGCTGCTGAGTGTGGCTTCGGGGATCAGGAGTGATCTGTGGAAAGGAGCAGGCAGGCTGATTGCAGGCTGTACCTGGAGGACAGAGGTGCCACCTTCTCCTGCACAGTGCCTCAGATCAGGGAGCATTCCAGGTGGTTGCTTTACCAGGGGGCTGTGTTTTTTATTTTTCTGTAAGGTTTAGGGTTGCAAAGACAAGTCAATCACAGCGACTTGATGGACAGCGGTAGGAAAACACATCCAATTGCAGCATATCTTGATCTGTGGGAGAAATGAAAAAATTACGCAGTATTCCTGGCTGCCATCGCAGCGTAATTGCAAAGCTCATGGAGGATGAACCCCCCTTGTCCTCCTTTCCCCACCGGGATGAGTGACAGAATGGCTCAGATTGTCTCCTGCCTGACCATTACTTTGCTTTTAGCATCTCCTCAGGCTTTTCTGGTCTCGGCTTCAGGCACTGCTTCGTGCAGTAGTTGACAGCAGCAGATCTCTCCCTCCTGCAAGAGAGGTGAGACAGGGCTCTCGTATGGGCAGCATCCCGAAAATAACCCCATGGTTCTCTGCAGCCTGCACCGAGAGCTTGGCTGGAGGGGTTCTGTAGTCGCTGCCTGTGATCGGGTCCAAGGAGAAGAGTCAGACCTCTGAACGTGCTGAGCTAGGAGAGAGCAGAGCTGCTCCAGCGGTGTTTGCTGCTGCTGGGTCCCACAGTCAGCAGCAGGTGCCAGGAGGTCTCGTGTCCTCGGTGGGCTTCTTGTTCTCCAACCTGGCCTGCGCTGAAAAACATCAAAGGTCAGCAAGGGGTTGGCTGGCACTGCTCTTTCTGCAGAGGGGTTAAACGTGATCATGCAGGGTGGGGATCTGTCAGTTCGCACCAGGAAAGCGAGTCCTCTGCTGTCTGAGATCCCCTCTGGTTGGGGAATGTTGATTGCTTCGGACCAGCTTAATGCCCACGCGTTGAGCTGCAAACAGCAAAAGCAAAGGGAAAGAAATGATTACAAGTCGTTTGTCTTCTGATTCTGACCTTGCCGCAAGATTTTCTGTGACCAAGGACAATTTGCTTCCTTTGTGAAATCCGCTTAGCATTCCTGAGCCCTAAAGGAGTTGGAGCTTTCTGTCAATCGCTTCAGAAGACCGGGAGATGCGGGGCTGGTTCGTGGTGGGCTGTGAAGTGGAGCAGCTGCACTGAGGGGAGCGCGAGGCAGACGTGGCCTGGTTTTAGAGGCTTGGTTTGATGTCTTCTAGGGTCTCTTACAGGGTGGAAAGGATGGATCTTCAGTTTTGACGAGCAGTAAGGGTCGCATTTGTTAGGAGCATCCCTAAATGGACTCGTAACTGGACTGTGGAGGTGTGCTGTTGTGTGTCTGGGGGGAAATGTGATGATTTCCAGCCTACTTCAAATGTCTAGTTCATGAGCTGAATTGCATTTGCCAGAATATTTAGGAATTGTGCAGATAAACATCTTAGAATAAGTCTATTAAGCCATGGTTTCCAGGAGGAAGCTGCAGTGTGGAAAGTATTAGGAAGTTCCCACTGTGAGCAGCTTACAAACTGCTTGCAATGAGTCGTCCTCGCAGTGTTTGTGTTCGAGCAGCGCTCAGCACAGTGGGGCTCTCATCCTGTTTAGGTCTTGTAGGCACTGCTAGGTAAACACCTCCTCCCAGCACCGTATTGTTCTCTGAGCGCTTTCTGACATGTCAATATTTTTCTAATAACATCATGTCTGGGACTACCAGCATTACTTCAGGTGCTGTCATGACCGAGCTATGTGGAGATAGCTTCTTGTCTGCCCTTCCCTCTATCACATTACCATGGGAAGAAAAATACTAATTTGGAGATCAGCTGCCTAAAATCTTTCAGCAGGCCCGCTTTCTTGGTCTTCTCGCACAAAACACTTGAATAATTTTGTCAATGTTTTCTCTTCCCCCTCCTTTTTTTTTTTTCCCCAAGTTTGAATTCTCTTTACTTTCTGACACCAGGTGGGATTAATCAGTGTTCTCCTTTGGTGCAGCTGTGGCAGGCTGTGTTTGCTACTGCGACACTGAGAGCAGCCCGAGAGTTAGCTGGTGGGATCTGGTGCAGTGTGTGGAAGAGAAGGGTGGGCTTCAGTCCTTGGGGCTGGGATTTTGCTTCACTTAAGATCACGTCTTCCAAGTACAGCGCTGTGGTGAGGATGGGTACTTCACTTTGCTTCCCAGCTGGGCACGTAAGCACAGCTTTGAAGATTTCTCATTCCATTGCCATGATTAATTGTCCTTTGTAATTGTCCTTGAGGTTCCAGAAAGTATCCTTCTGAAATACGCTGTCCTAATGCACTAATTATAAATGATTCTTTTGTTAAAAATGCTTTCTTTTGAATGTGGCTTCTTACAGGTGCAGCTTGTTGGTTTGGATGAAGAGAGCTCGGAGTTCATTTGCAGGAACACCTTTGATCACCCCTACCCCACCACAAAGCTGATGTGGATCCCGGACACCAAGGGAGTCTACCCAGACCTGCTGGCAACCAGCGGTGACTACCTGCGTGTGTGGAGAGTGAGTAAATCCTCCCTGGGGAGAGACCTCTGATACTAACTGCTGCGTAGTTATCTCCTTTGTACTTAAGACCAGATTTTTCACTTTCCTTTCAGGGTGTCTTGTGCTTGCTGCAGTGTGAAGGTGAAAACACAAAATGAAGGCAGAGCACTGAATAACTTTTTCTTAGCTGCAGTAATAATGCTACTAAATACAAAGACTGTAGGAAAGGCAGAATTACGGTGGTAATTGCTGTTTTAATCACCTGATTGAAGACAGAGGTGGTGATTGTGTTTTCCAGACAGTTAGGCTGTAAAGCTGAGGGAAAGAAAGCCGGGATTAGCGCTCTGTGTTGGAAGTACAAGTGGAACGAGTCGCGTGATGTTTCTATTTCAGTCAGGTGTTTTGCTTTTCCTAAAGGTGGGTGAAACAGAGACCCGGCTGGAGTGTTTGCTGAACAATAACAAGAACTCTGATTTCTGTGCTCCGCTAACATCGTTTGATTGGAATGAAGTGGATCCGTACCTCCTAGGTGAGACTGATAAAACGCTGCAGCTGTTGGTGTGAAAGACACGCTTCTGAATCCAGTCTGGTGAAATCCCAGATGTGCCTGACTGCTGTCATTGCAAGCAGCACTCTGGTAACTAACAAGCAGACAAATCTGTATGTTGGAGAAACTGCCGTTGTCTTGGGTTTTGAAAAAAGAAGAAAAAAAAAAGACAGCTCTTGGAGACTTTTTTTATATTGAAAGGTGGCTCCTCCGCTACGGAGGTTGGGTTAGGGGCGTTCCTTTGCTGCCTCAGTTGTTCCTACCTTGCAGATAGGAGCTATCAGCCTTCAGGGCTGGTGAGCTGGTGTTCCAGTGCTGAGTAAAAGTGGACGTGAACTCCTGTGACTTACCCAGTGTGTTCTGGAGTGGTTAGAAAACTCCATACCAAGCTTTTTATATCTGAAAATCATTTCAATGGCAGGAGCCCTTAATTCAGTTGGAGAAGGGGGCTGAATGCTTAAGGCTTAATTTTAGCCTTTGGGAGAAATTGTCAATCCATGATGACTGATTCAGCAGAGGTTTGTTCTCCAGCAGAGGACAGCCGTTCATGTCAGGGGGATTTGCCCAGAGATTAACACTGATAATGTGTCTTAGTAATTATTTACTACATGATTTATTTTTTCTGTGTTGCATTGCTCCTCTCTTAAGAGCTTTACTGCTAGCCCCACCTTCAGTCCACAGAAGCAATCAGTTAATAACGATGTGCTATTGCAATTCTAGGATTAGGCTTTGGTTTTGACATGTGCATGAGACTTAAAGGATGGGGAAGTTCATCCCAGATCTGCATCAGGCTTCTGCACAGATTGAAGCAGACATGAGCTATTTACACTTTATTCCTGTGTGAAAGACTCTTTCCGCAGCTAAAAGGTTTGGGTCATTTAAATGCATGGCAGATTGCTGGCTGGTTGGCATTCTTGATTTTAATTGTATGCTGCTCTTGGAGCTATTCTGATCTGTAGATGTCAGAGGCTATTACACTAATGGAGCAAGTCATTAGCAAAATTCTCACAAATTATCGTATTAAGAATATTCATTTTGCTAACAGAAGCCTTTTTGTTTCAGGTACTTCTAGTATTGACACGACCTGCACTATCTGGGGTCTGGAGACAGGGCAGGTTCTTGGAAGAGTAAATCTGGTCTCTGGCCATGTTAAGACCCAACTTATTGCGCATGACAAAGAGGTGATGGCTTCATTTGGTTGTTTACATTGCATATATTTAAAGCAGCAGACAAGGAAAAGGGCTTTTCTGTGTTTGTTTTTTTTGGGGGTTTTTTTGGTTTTTTTTTGAGAAATCTGATTATCCAAAAATTTAATGTATTTAAAATTTAAGATGTATGGCTTTGATATGCATTAGTTATAGCTCAGATATACAGGTTTTATACGTTACAAACTGATTAAAGCTGTTCTGTTGGCTACTGCTCTGTTTACTCGTCATAAAATCTGGGCTTGAGAATATGTTTGTCTTACTAGATTATGCTCTAGAATATTTTAGAAAAATGAGATAAAGCACCAAACTGGAATTGTAATCAACTGGATATCAAAGGCAATAAACAGCTTACAGGATTCTTTCATTTTAACAAAATCTGAGTCTGGAAAACAAATATGTTCGGTTTCAGTGAATAATCCTGTAATGACATGACTAGTTGTTGTTTTTTTCCCCTTCCCTTTGGCAAATGTAGGGACTTAAAAACTAGCTAGGAAGCTCAAGCATTTAACAGAAAATGTGACTACTAGTTCTGCTATTCATATGGAAAATCCATTTTGCTGTGAATTAGGAGGCAGTGCACTGACTAAAACTGAGGTTGTGTTTTTCTCTGCCCTGGTGCCGAGCAGGTGTATGACATAGCATTTAGCCGTGCAGGTGGTGGAAGAGATATGTTCGCTTCAGTTGGTGCAGATGGCTCGGTGAGGATGTTCGATCTCCGTCATCTGGAACACAGCACCATCATTTATGAAGACCCACAGCACCATCCATTGCTGCGTCTTTGCTGGAACAAGCAGGATCCCAACTATCTTGCTACGATGGCCATGGATGGCATGGAGGTGAGGCACTAGCTCTGCTGGGGGTGCTACTGTCTGGGATTTTTGGGAGGTTGCTTGACCCTTAATTTCTTAACTTTTGAAGGAAGAGGGCAATGTTGTTATGTGGAGTATGATTAAGGATCACTTCTTATTTTAGTAATTTCAGTAGGAGTTAGAGGTAACTGGCATTATAGACTTGGAGATCTCTGGGGCTCCTAAATATTTCAGCTGATTTTTTTAAGAGGGGTCTGTGAGCCAGTTGGGCAACAGCTTTCACATAAAATCATAAATGCAAGTACTGTAGTCATCCTGTTCTTTCTCAGTTCATTGCATAAGGCAATGTACCTTAGTTTGTTGCCTGTGCTGCTTCAGGGAAGCATAATTCATTTGCCATGTTCTCATACCTCACAAGCCCTCCTGGTGAGGCCTGACTCTTCTTGAGATGCACACAATTTGCTGACCAGCTAGAAACTATTCCGTGAGAACAGTGTGTGCTTGCCAGGTGCACCCTTCGGGAAAGTCTTCACAGCCTTAGTTTAAATCTTCTTGTTTTCTGGAGGAAAAAAGAAAAAATGCCAATTATTTACTTTGTTGTTTTGTTTCTGAAGGTTGTGATTCTAGATGTCAGAGTTCCCTGCACTCCTGTTGCCAGGTTAAACAACCACAGAGCGTGTGTAAATGGGATTGCTTGGGCGCCTCATTCTTCCTGCCATATTTGTACAGCAGGTAGGTGTGGAAAGGGATTCCAGATCGATCTCTCGCCATGTACATTAGTGAATATCTGCTTGGGAGCTTTCCATTACATTTGCAAAATCCTTTCTTCCAAAAAGTTAATGCACTTCTCTTACTGCCTTTTGCTAAAGATTATAAGTGATTTAGAAGTCCTTTATTAGAGACTTTCCTAAAAAGCTTGTGGAAATAGATGCCTGCTTATTGGATGGCAATAGTGAGCTCAGTGCCCAAACTGTGCATCTCTGTTGGCTAAGCTATTCTATTTTCCATGCTTTTTAATGTTTTTTTGGTTTTTTGGTTTTTTTTTTTTGCAAGCTACTTCTTAAATGTTTTCAACTGGAGTTCCACTGATTATTCAGTTTATAACTGTCCTGGATAACACGTAATTATCCAAAGAGGTGTGCTGGTGTTGTTGGAGAACAGCTGCACCACTGTATCTCCATCTTGATTTCTTATCTGGACTGCAACAGCCATATTCTATCCAGCTGCTTCTACTACACCCATATTAGGGAGATCCCGTGTAGGGAGATTCCATAATGCTTTGATTCTACTTATTTTGTTTTCTTGTGCAGCGGATGACCATCAGGCTCTCATCTGGGACATCCAGCAAATGCCTCGTGCCATTGAGGACCCTATCTTGGCCTATACAGCAGAGGGAGAAATCAACAATGTACAGTGGGCATCGACTCAGCCAGACTGGATAGCTATCTGCTACAACAACTGCCTGGAGATTTTGAGAGTGTAACATTACTGCTTCATGCCAAATTGAGGCAAGGCCGTATAATTTCCCCTCCCCTCTAAAGTAAGAACAACACAAGTCAAGTGGCCAGTATCTATTGTTGCTTTGCATCTACTGTTCCAAGAAACTGTTACAAGAATCAAGGACAGGTGTTCCCTGTCCCCAAGACTCTAAAATGCAGAGACATGCTGAGCCTCTTGGACCTTTTGGGTTCTGGTTTTCTTTTTTTTTTTTTCTTCAGTTAAAGTTCTGTATATTTGTTTGACTGTGTTAATAAGCTTGCAGGCTTTCAGTTGCTGCGTATGTCCACGTGTTTGTCAGCCAGCTGGGGCAGCACATCTAACTAGTTCGATAGATGCAAGTGCAAAACAAGGTGGGGAAAAAGACGGTGATGTTAACAGCCACCTTGGCAGGAATCTGTCATTCCTGTTGTTGCTGCCTCTCAACTGTTTAAACATTTGTATGTTTTTTATATATTGGGCTAACTTTCTATTGAGTAAGGCTTTTCTCCCGAATTCTTACTTTTGATATGTGATCCACTTCCACAGGCCCAAAGCAGGATATATTTGTTGATACAAGTCACGATAACACTGCAGGCTCCCTGGCAGTAAAGGCCTGCCAGAATTAACCGTTGCCTTGGCTCTCAATACCTGGTTACCAGGGCAGAATTTTCTGGTGCTGTGAAGTACAAGTACTTGTTGCACAATTTCCTTACACTTTTCTGATGCTAGAGGCAGTTGCTACTATGGTAGGCCTTATTTTTAAATTATAACTGAATTTATTGTGTGTCTCCTGCAGTTGTGTTAGCTAACAGAATGGTAATAGGTTTCAGAAAGAAGATACTTGCATGACTTGAGCTCCCTCTGAGGTAAATGACTTCTCAAAAAATGTTATTTGTAATGGACTTTGGAGTGACATTTCCAATGAAATGATTTCCCCTTAGAGGGCTTACTATCTGAACCAAAATAAAATGGTTTCACACTTTGTAGCTTGCTTGATTGGCAAATAATATGACCAAGATTTGTGGTTAACCTGCACCTTGGAGCTTCTTTGCATTTGGCCTGTGTTCCTGGGAGTTCTTGAAAGGAGTGCAAAGCAATCTTTTTTTTCCTAAATGTATTTGCTTTGTACTGTCAGGTCTTGTTGAACGAGGAGATGAGTTGGAAGAGCTGGTCTGCTATCCAAATGAAAGCTGTTTCTCTGAAAGAAAGAATTCCCTAATGCAATGCACAGAAGATGGGTTTCAAATGAAAGAAACAGTGCCACAGAGGCTATGGTTTGGCACTTGTCATCCTCATGTCTTTTTGGGATGTGTCCAGGGGCATCTGTTTCTGTTTTGAATAGTGGAACGCTCTGCAGTAATACTTTGCAATCAAAGCTGAGTGGATTAGGCAAGATAAAAATCTTCAGCGAAGTCTTAATATAACACAGCTATTCAGATCGATGTTCCACAGTGCTCTCCCAACGAAGACATGACAACCGTAGCTGGTCTCTGAGGCTATACCAGCTGAGTTTTGATGTAAGTGTCAGAAATTATCAAAATCATCCTTCCACCTAACGTACATTCACCTACAACTACAGGCAGCATTATAAATAGTAGGACGCTGCCAAACTTGAATTGTGATGGTTTATGCAGCAAAGGCGAGCTGGGAAAAAGAGATTGCTGAGAAACAGTAAAACTGACGCTGAAAGTGCTGTCAAGTAGAGAACAGACTCTGAAAAGTTTTGTCATTCTGGACATGGGGAAATATTCTAGAGATTACTTTTCAACATGAGCTCAGAAAAGCACTGCCTTGCGAATTTGTTTGCAATTCATTAGAAACTAGCATTATTATTCCATCACCCTTTTTAATTTCAGAGCCAAGAAACTAACACTGGTTTAAGGCTCGTGGTTTGTCAGTGGCGTGCTGTTCAGCTGTGGGGTTTTTTTGACAGAAGGCTCCATTTAACTTGAAGGTCAGTTTTCCTTACTAGCTGTGGTGCTGAGGGTAGTGTGTTCCACAGATTCGATCGAGGTATCAGAATGGTGTTAGCCAAACAGTTGGGTTACAATTTTTTTAAGTAGCGCTTCATCTTAAATTGGAAAATACTCAGAATTAAGTGAAAATTAGGATTTTCTTAGTAGCAGCATATAACTACGTGCCGAGCTTTAGAAACTCATCAAAATGTGCACATCCTTGTAATGTGCTGCTTAATTACAAGCAGTGGATATTATGTGCTGTGTCACTAAGGGATTTTAACTTTGGCTTGGAGTGCAAAGTCAGTTGTTACCAGACAAGCTTTTAATTTAAGTTGTGGTTTGGGGAATGGCAGGAACTACCTGTAACGTTAGTACTTCCAGAAGTCCCCTCTGTGCTTTGAAGTCTCATTCTTAAATAGATGGCGTGAGTCAAGGATGAATGTGCCTGTTGCTTAGCTTAACAAATCTTTTGCAACTGCCGAATTGTGCTTTAAAAAAAGACATAAGCTAATTTATTTGAAAATAAAGTCACTGAGAGACTCCATTGGCTATACTAAATGACAAATACAGCCTGCTTCTCTAGGAATAGAATCTCTGTTTGTACCAAGATGATGAAAAGAGCACCTGTGAATGGGCTAACAGACAAATAACCAGGTAGCTTTTGCTAGTGTTAGAGTAAAATTCTGTTGTGAACCTGGAGTGTCAGCCCTTCCATCCATAAAACCGATGGAAGTTCGCCTGTGGTATTGGGTTCTCATTCCAAACTCTTCAAAGGCAAGTGAAGGAATTTTGTGGACTCCAGTGGATTCTAAATAAAACTCATATCCTGTTTGTGTAGCCAGTTGGGCTACTTCTAGGTCTATAACATGTTGCTTTGGGCATAATCTGTTGTCATTCTTCTTATGAAATTACATTCAGAATCACCAGAGGCTGTTTTGGAACAGGGAAATGCTACTTAAAATAGCTTCTTTTCAAAGAAGTCACTTGAAAGGTTAATGACTGAAAAGACATGAAAATCCTCATGGGTGAGATGTTCTGTAGTGCAAATGGCACTTCCATCCAGAGAGGAAGTGAGAGACTTCGGTGCCCTTTTGCCAGCACCTGCTGACACAGTGGCAGCAAACTAACTGTCTACTTGCTGGTTCAAGTTTATTTGCAAGATAAAATAAAACCCTGAGACTTGCCACTGTACCCTGTGAATCAGAAGATAGAATTTATCACATTTTACTGGCGTAACATTCAATTATGTTGGGTATGAAACCCTCATAAGCATTATTTTTTTCCAAAGTTCATGGATATAAATACTTCAGCATTTGATCTTGATTATTTTGTGCTTGCTGGAGGGTGCAGAGCAACTGCTTTCAAATGCCTCGTATCCCTTGAGTATGCATCAACATTAAGGGAAAAGTCTGAGCATCAGTGAGGTTAGAAAAGCAGAAAATCACAGGCTATTTTGGTACAGGCAAGGCCTTGATTCTGGTACGGAGATGTCATTTTTCTCTGGCTTCGGTAGTTGTGCAGCACTCCAGTTGATTAATTCCAGATATTATGCTATTGTCTGGTTGTTATGTTCCATTTAAACCAAGCTTTCCACAGATTTCTGCTGTTATGTGGGCAACCGGTTGCTAGTATATGGGCTTCAACCAGGAGATTTCAATTGTGTAATACCTCGTTAGTGAGGGGAAAGCATCCAGAATACAAGTTGGATGTTGAATTAGCATGCAGTATGCTAACCCTTCATCGTCTAACTGAAACGGCCTATGGTAGGTTGCGTGTACCGGACTTGTGCTTCTGTGTGCAGGGATTTAAAAGGCAAGGATGTGAGTGCTTTGACAATCTATTTAGAAAGGAAACGGTGGTTTCAAAGAGCGATATGACAGGAGACTGATAATACAGGTTGTTCCGTATGGAACCTTGAAATGTACTTAAAGGGGGGAGGCATTGCCTCTCATAAGTCAAAGTTAATGATCCTTTCAAAACTTAGCTGTAATTACTCTCCTGAATGTTCTGGATAATAGTAAAAGGATCTATTTTTGCCTGGTGTCGCAATGAGAAAGCTGCATCAGGCTCAACTATAGATCGTTGCCTACCAGGGACTAGGTGAGGAGAGAAGTCCAATATATTGGAATTCTTCACACAGATGCTCTTGTGCTTGTTTTAAATGTAAATCAAGAAAGCTGAGTGTGTCTGTTTTGTTCTCTTGCAGATGGCACTTTAACAAGTATATTTTTGGTAAGATTAGGAGGAGAGTCATCTTTTCCTCAGTCTTTTTATGGTAGGCGTTTGTCTGTGTTTTGTGTGAAATGTTAAATACATCAGTCTCTGAAATCCTCAACTGGCTACGGTTGTCAGTATCTAGTGGACCCTCATCTGTTTCTACTAAACACCCAAACCATGAGCACTTGACAATACTGTTTGTGTTAAACTGAAGCTCTCTATTCAGAGAATGACACAACCTTGCAAGGTCACCCCAAGTAATTTAGTGCAGCTTGTCATCCAGAGAGTCCCTCTTGCTTTATTTAGGAACTTGGCAGTGTCTGGCAATCTCTCCTCTACTGCCTTGGCGGCAGTAGTGGCAGGTTGGTGGTGCACAGCTGGAGCTGGATTCTTTGGGTAACGTTTTTTATGATAGAAAAATTGCTGCTGCTGTCTGTAAATTCACACAACCTAAATTCTGGAGCTTGTCAGTTCCTCGTGTTTAATGGTGTTTTGTCTCTTTCAGAACATCCTCAAAAGGATGAATGGCAGCAAGGGTAAGCTGTTGGCTCAGTGGATTGCAGAGTTACAGTTCCATCCAAATACTGGACTGGTTTGTCTTCCCATTGCTGGTCAGCAAAATGGCCCTACCCCCTCACATCCGTTCTGTTACCTTATCAGTTAATACAGGTTATATCTACACATCTACCTGCTTTCTACTCTCAGACCAGTATTCCAGAGCAGGCCTGTATTTATTATACAGTGGACATACAAACTGACGTGTCCAAGACCTGTTCTGGAATGGGCAAGGTACTGTCAGCTGTGTCCCTGTTTCTCTTGATCTTTGCAGAGAATCCAGGGATTTATTTGTATGTGGCACTTAACGAGCACTTTCTCATGCTTAGAGAGGCAGCTGTACTTCACCCTTCTTACCTGAGAAGAGTCAGAAATGTTTTATTGTTGGGGATATTGAGAGGAATTCAGCATGCCCCAGCTCTTCTTTTAGGAAGAGATTTCCAGAACTTTTGATCAGCAGCATTCACCAGCACTAAAAAGCAGTAATTAAAAATGCAGCTAAACACCAGTTACTGAATGCTCATCATTCGTGGCAGACTCCAGAGACAAAGGCACTTGTGAGACTTGCTCGCTGCTGTCTGATTTCAGAAGATAACTTTGGCTGCCATGTGTCTCAGTAGCCTTTTGTGCAGCCTTTGGTACTCAGCATCAAGCTAGGATTTTCATACTCATAAAAATAAATCTGGATGGCTTCCATTGAATTTATTCCTTCTCAGAAAATCTAACAAAAAGATTTCCTGAAAATTATTGCTGCAAAGGGTAGCCGTAAGCCCATATTCCAGCACTCATTGATAGCCACAAGTCAACATCCCTTGGAGTTTGCTCTCACGATTGTAAGACGCAGTGACTCTCAAGTCTCCTCCGTTAGAGACGACGATCGGTCTGTCGAATCTGAACCAAGGCAGAAATGCGAGAACTAGTGAAAGTCATAGTACAGCTGTGAAGCAATGTGTTGCTTTTCTGACAACCTGGTGAATATGAGTTATGAAATCTACTATTTAAAAGGAACCTTTTTTTAAACTTGGGTTGCTAGCAGTGTAAAATGTAATTTAAATCTGTTGCGCCGAAGCGTTTTTGTTACCGATAGTCAGTAGGAGATGTTTACTTTTTGTGTGTTTTTTCCCTTCTGCTCTTTCCATTCACAGTCCCGTTGTGGTAATTTCCTGAAGGTGTAATCTTTGTAGCATGATTGTACAAACATTCATATGAAACTCCGACTTCTTGTTCTCACTAAACTATGTTAAAGCAATAGTAGTTTTACTTCTGTCCTTCTTTTCTCCACCTTCCATATTGAGATTTGCAACTTTGCTACTATACTGTCCTAGAGGAATCCTAGTATCCTGCTATTCAACAGACATATGTTGTTGACATGGATAACTGCAGTGTCCCTATACTCCTTTATTTTTATGGAGAAAATGCAAAAGGTTTTGTTACAATGGATTTTAACACCTGAGTCATGGAACCATACTGTTGAAACTCTGTAAATTTTAAGGCAATTTTCTGAAGTCGCTTGAAAGTGGAATGTTGCATCCTTTTATGCTATTTCCTGCTTCCTATGTAGTTTTATTCAGATTTTTTAACCTTCTTTCTAAGTTTCAGCCTCCTGTGTATTAGGTACAGTATTTTCTGCCTTTCATACTTTGTAATAAAAATGGAACATTTGTAGATTGACTGCAGTTCACTGTGTGGTGAGTTGAAACTGGTACCCGTGGGACTAGCAGGGAAATATTTAAAAATAGGTTTCATGTATCCTGCGTGAAGTTCATTGCTGTGGAAGGGAGGGTGATTGCTTTATCTCGTCTCTGCTGTACAAAGCTGGTGAGATGTATTAATCACTTATCCTACTAATAATGAAACTAATTTCATATTTCTAGCTACAATAAGTTACAGGTTGCTCCAAATTATATTGTTAGGAAGCCAGTCACAAGGGAACTTGAACAGAATAGTTGATATTTAAAGTACACCCACATTTACTTTTTTTTTGAAACAAATGTACCACGTGTTGTCTGTGCTCATGTTTTCTGACTTCCTTGCACAGTGCTTCTTCCCTACAGAACAAATAGTAATTATCTGCCTGCGTGTTTCTGCTACTTAAGATGAGGGGAAGAGGGATTTTCTAATACAAATAATTGGTCTCTAAGGCTTTTTGAATACAGGCAAATTGAAGACAAAGCAATTAGGCCCTTATTTAGTTCCTAAGCCTTATGTATAGGTGACCTCTGTTAAAGGGCATTTTCTTTACGGGCTCTGTCACTGGTAGCATTGTTGCTGCAACTGGGACCTAAAAGGGAGTAGGGTGTCAGAACTTGGAAATCTGTTTTTAACCTTAAAACTTGGTGAGCAGGACCTGATGATTGCAGTAAGTATTTAGATTATCTCTGGTTCAACTAAACTGTTGTCTGAAAACTAGTGTACTTTTGGATTCTTCTCTAATTCTTTGTGTACTGGCTTTGAAATGAAAGCTTTTTAAGCTTCGTGACCACAGTGGAAAGAGTTGCCTATAAAGATGCGCTGTTTAAGCTATATATGGACTTTGTTCCAGTAATCCATATTTGGAAAAGATGCCTTCCTTCTAAGAATTGTGTCTTTACCCTAGAAATGTATTTACATCCTCCTAGATTCTTTTTCCTGGATCTGTGCTTCAGAATTCTCCAAAGAAGGTTTCTCCTCTTCCATTCTAGTGGAAGAAGGCAAGAAATTTAAATTTCTGTGTGCTAAATCCCAGCAACTGTTTTCAATATTGAGACATACCGCAGCAACTTCCCACCTGGAGAACATGCTTTCATCTTTGTAGAGGTAAATAACAGTATGTATTCAAATAGCATCACACTTGCATTTGCTACGAATCAATTTATGCAGAAATCTTAAGTGATAATCTCAAGCGGCAAATATTTAATGCCAGAATGCAAAGATGCCAAGCACTACCTGTCATATTTTTAGTAACTTTCAACTGAGAAGAAAATCCCCATCTCTGTAGGGAAGCAACTAAAACAGAGAAGTAAAAAAAACGGAAAAGTAACATTCATTTTGAAGCCAAATTACTGTTCTTTGGTTAACTTTGCAATCTAAATTAAATCTGTCCTTTCCATTTGGCATAACTGAATTTTAAACTTCTTACCCAGTATGGTATTGTGGGGAATGCAACAAAAACAGGATCAGTGCTATTAGAGGTAGGTCACCTTCCAGCTGAGGGAACTCAACCTGTCTTCCCATCTTTTCCCTTCATTAGGGACTGGTAGGATGCAGAAATGTGTCGGTTGTGTAGGATGCGGGGGCTAGCTCAGCAATAACCAAACAAATCTACCTGTTTCTCTGGGCGTCCTGTCTCTCTGGTGATAAAGACTAAAAGTCTATAAAATACAGCTGGAAGCAACCGGTTTGCGCCCTAATTAAGTCCTGTGGGAAAGACTGTGATGACAACTTCTGCAAATTGGACCTACTAGTGCAAAAAGTCAGGAGCTGGTAGATGATGAGAGAAACAGACTGCTTGTCAGTGTAGCAAAACAAGTGCCATTAAGTCCTGTAGAGGAATATGCGCCGAAAAAGAAACAGCAAGAGGTTCTCTGCCCTTTGTAAATATTAAGGAACAGCTGACATCTGCTGTGGCTGGCCAGCTCGCTTGCTGTGTGACCCTGGGAAAGTCACTTCTTTCATAGCAGCCGTAAGTGGAAAGCACGTAATTCATCACTGATCAGTAAGTGGCTGGAAAATACTTGAAAGTTAAAGATGTCCAGCAGTAACGCACACTACTTACAGTAATGCAGTGACAGTAACAAACTTGTGCTTTAATCTTGGGCTTTTTTTTTTTTGGTGCCGCTCCATAAGTGGTCCAGATTGCCAGCTCAGAAGCAAGTAATGATCTAAAAGCACACGATACTTCTAACGTCCTTCCTCCTCTTCCTTCTCTTCAGTTCAGCCCACTACAAGCAGGAGAATGGCTCCTATTTTTTTTAACCAGACAGCTTCAGAGCCCCCTCTACTGGAGTGCTGACAGCAGCAGGCCAGCAGGACAGGACAGGTACCAGCTGCTCTCTGAGGCTGGAGTGAATGCTGCACTCGTCCTTTTTAAGGATGCATTTCACATGGTTGATGCACTCTGTTGGTAATGAGGTAAGGTTTTGGGCCCTTCCGTGTTGTGCCACGCTCTCCTGAAGCTGGATTACGGTGACAGTCCTGTCAGTTCTCCATCAAAAAACCTGCCTGCAATGTTAAAGCTGAGAACACCAAGAGAGCGTTATCAGAACCAGAACTGCCTGGAACCAGCGTGACTGCTCTTCTCAGATCTGCAGAAGAGAGTGCAGAACGCTTCCATGCATCGTCTGAAGATTTATGGAGTTTCTTCTCGGCTACCCACCCCTCTTTCCCCAGGTTTTTTTCTTTGCACAGCTCCCAGTTCAGTGTCTCTGGCTGTGCGGTCTGAGAGGCTGAATAAGGAAGTTTTGGCATGGGACAAGGCTCAGCCTGGAGACTGCTAAGCTCCCCAGGAAGGATGTGTGTACCTAAACAAGAAGGGAAACAGGAAGGAAAGAAGAAATAGTACATCTGATAGCAAGGAGAAGAGGCTCTTTGAGTCAGACAGGTATGCTTCAGAAAACGGAAATACTACCAGAATAGAAAATATGATGGCATAGCAATTAAGAGACTGGGAAAAGATGCCAGGAGTTAAATCCCAAAGGCCTACTCCAGACTTCCTGTGTAACTTTTAACAAGTCACTGGCTCTCTGTGCAACGCTCTTTAATCCCTAAAATAGGGATTACATTTCCTTTTCTTGCTTCATGCTGTGTGACGGCATTAAACAATTAGGCCTCTGTAAAGTTCCTTTAAAACAAATGAGCTGACTCTAAGCACAGTAGCTCCTGTAGAGTCTTGGTGAATATCTGTACTGATGATTTTACATAAAACGGCTTCAAACAATCTGAATAGCTTGAAGCTGAAGTGTGAAGTGTGTTTTATAGTTGTTATTTACAGAAATGCTGCTGCTTTTCTGGAAAGCAGCAGCTTTAAAAGGATGTGGGCAATCAGGGTGGAAAACCACAGAACATCAGTTGGTATCATAGTGTTTTTAGTAAAATGAATAACCTGATTCTTTTGTTCAAAATTAGTGCATCACTAAGTAGATGGTAAAAGTGGAAAAAAAAAATTCTTTTTTTTTTCCCCTGAAGATATATGAAATAGGGGCATCTGCTAAATTTTCATGGTAGAAACTGTAACTGCAGTCCAGGAAGGGTGTACCAGCTTGTCTAGAAAATAAAATATCAGGCGGGAAGTCTACAATGGGCCAAAAAAGGTCTAATGGCACTGGTGTATAAATAGGGTCATGATAATGTCTCGAAAAGAGCACAGATCTGCAAATCAGCAGGCGCAACTTGCTGTCTTACACATCAGGCTTGATAGGTGCATGAAGTAATGAACCATCAAGGACAAATCATTCTGTTTCCGAAGGAGGAACAAGAAAAACTTCAGTGAAATCCAGGCTTTCTGGGCACTTGGAGATGGAAAGAGCACGTTGAACCAGGATGGCTGTCTCCTACCATCTGCTGGGGGCTCCTCATTCATTGTCAGAACTGATGACTAGCAAGTCTGGTGTCTCTTCGGTTTAAATAAGTCCACTTTCTACACAAAGGACTTGTAATAGCTTTCATGTAACAGGGCTTCAACTGAGAATTTCATTCAAAACCACATAAGAACTGGAAGAGAGACAAAAATACCAAAGGGTGAGGTGACAGTGTTTTGACATCAGAGCTGGCACAGTGGGGAATTAATACTGAATTTCTTCAGTTTTAGTCCCAGGAGCAATCTCATTAAAACCTTCCTATAATGTCCTTGGCACAAAAAGCAAGTATGATAATTAAATTTGGTGATGAACAAAAGTGGGAGGCTTCAATAATAGGAGGGAACTAGAATATCTTAGAGAATTGATGACTTTGAAGAGTGAGAGGTAGACATGAGACGAAATGTAGCTGTGGAAAGTGCAAAGCTGTGAATTTAGGGGCGAGGAGAAATTTGCAAAGGATGCTAATGGTTTATTACTTGGAAATTAGTGCAGAAAGGAAGTTGGCTTTACTAGTTGATAAAGGATAGCGATGAGCTACTTGAAGCTGTGAAAATGCATGAGGAAAGTTGGTCTGGTGGCGATGAAGATACTGTCATCGAGAGAGGAATCAAATTGGAACGGGGGCAGAAAAGGCTGCCAGGAAGATACCACAAATACAAAGCTTGTATTATAAGAGTTAGAGTGGCTTACTCATCTATTAAAATGAAGCCTGGAAGGGGATATGATTATCTTCTCGAAGTATTTAGAGAGAAAACACCAGGGAAGAGGAAAAGATTATTTAAGTAAAAGGATAATCTTGACATGAAAACAAATGGCTATAAGCTGGGCGTGAATATGAGACGGAATATACAGGAAAAGCAATTCAAGAGATACTAAAAAGCCTAAACACTGAGAGCATTAGACTTGGTTTTGGGTGGGAACTTCAAGGTGAGATCTGGGGAAGCCATCTAGCCCAAACCCCTGCTCAAAGCAGGCTGGCTTCAAAGTGAGATTATTGGCTTTGTGCAGAGCTTCATGCCCTAGAGAGGCCAGATCTGTTGATCTAAGCATTCCTTTACTGATTAATGTGTCTATCTAGTGTGGCATTGCAAGATCTTTTTATTACCCCAAGTAGTTTACCAAAAAAAAAAAAAAGTAATGACATCACAGATATTGTCATCATGCTTCGGCTAAATCCTAAATTCCTCCTGTTGTGTGGGGTCTGGATTCCTGCACTTGTCCGCACTTTTTAAGAAACTTTCTTTTCCAGTCTGGTTTTCTTCGCGTGGCTTATCCTGTGGATGCAACCCCTTTGACATTGCCGTGTTGGTTGTGAGCAAAAACGTTTAGAAAACGATGCACTTGCTGCTAGATGTCTGCCAGACTGAGAAGCAGCTGCTGGCACCATCTGCTCGAGGTGGGTTTCCCAGCAGCGGGGTGGCCAGTGCAGCAACAGGGAAGGAGAGCTGGACTTGCACGTAAAAATAAAATAAAATAACCACACCCCTGCCTGTACCTTGTGCAGAAAAAAAAAAAAAAAGCACTATCAAAATATCATCCCACAGGTGGAATGGAGACAGAAGCAAGGAAGAGCAGCTGAAGCCTGGACGTCATTTGAAAAGGTCTGAGTTGATTTATGAAGTTCGAGAGAGAATTATTGGTTAGATGGGGCAGCTGCAGTAGTCCTCCGTTGCCCTAAAACCTCTGCAATTGCGCTGTGTGGTGTCTACTTTGTTTTGGTGTGATCCCCCTCAAAGCTTCTTATTTTTTGTGTCACTGAGCATTTCAGCAAGGATGGGTTCTGCTTCTGGGCCGTCTGTTCGAGGCGGCCTGGCAGATAAGGATGCTAGAGCTGGAGGAGGAAGAAATTGTCATTGAGTCTACAGGTGAGCAGTTCCACCACCAAAAACACTTCTCGTTAAGTTAGACCGCTAAATAAAAAGCAGGAAATGCTGAGCTTCAGATCCCCTAGGCTAGAGTTCACTCCTGGGCATGAAATCCAGGTGAATTTGCTTCCACCTCGAGTATCTTTAATAAACATGCGATGACCTAGAGGCATTGTGGTGTTGTGAAGAGTAAGAAATTGCTTTTGCAGGCTTAACAAATGCGGGAATTAAGCTGTTACTCTGCCATTTGTCCCTCACTGCACCCTGTGAGGCACCTGCGAGGCTTGGGGTCAGGGCAGCCCCTGGGCCAGGGCTCTTCCCACAGGTGGCCTTGAGGGGTACTTAGGGTAAGTGATATCCTTTTTTCTTTTTTTTCCTTTGAAACCCCCCAAAACTCCCATTTTTGCGGCTTTGAGGCTCTATTCCATGACAGAACCGTGTTCTTTTTCAAGAAAAAGCAGACCTTTTAAAAAATAAAAGGAGGGTTTCAGAGCAGGGCCTTCCCCTCGCTGCCACCCTCCCCGTGTGCCGGGGCGGGCTCTAGGACCCAGCGCCGAGCCCAGGGCGGCGGGGGGCGGGCCCCGCGTGCCGCCCGTCACTCTGATTGGCAGCCAGCAGCGGGCGGGCTCCCCGCTCACCCCCCTTGTGGCGGGCCGGAGGGGCGGGCCCACCACCATCCCCATCCCTCTCCCTGGCGCGCTGATTGGCGGGCCGAGCCGTCCGTTGGCGAGCCGCGCCTCCCCCATTGGCTGCCGCCGGCGGGCCGGCCCCTGTGATTGGCAGGCGGCGGCGGGTGCGCGGCGGCGGTCGAGCCGTTTGTTTTGCTCCCGGCGGCGGCGGCGGCGGGGAACGATCGGCACCGCCCCAACCCCCCCCCTCCCCCTCCCTTCCCCCGGTTCCCCCCCCCCCTCCCCCTTTCCCTCCCCTCACGGGGCCGCCGGAAGGAGCCCGGCAATGTGGCGGCCCTGAGCCCTCCCCCCTCGGCCCGGCCGCCATGGAGCCGCGGCGGTGACAGCCCCGGAGCGCAGCCCGCAGCCCCCCGCAGCCATGGGTGAGACACGGGGGGGAACCGGGAGGGGGACCGGGGGGGGCTGGGCCGCGTTATGGGGCTGGGGGTGGAGCCTGAGGGGGAGATGGGGGCACCGGGGGGGCTGGGGGGGACCGAGGGGCCTGGGGGGGGCCGAGGGAAAGCGGGAGGGGATGGGGCAGGAGGGGACCGGGGGCTGGGGGGGGTCCCGAGGGGTGTGGGGGGCCCTGAGGGAACCGTCCCGGTCCCTGGGTTTGGCTTCGGGGCCCTCTGGCAAAGAGCGAGGCCGCCGGGCAGCACGCACAGCCCGTGCTTGCCAGGCTCTTTTTAAATAATTATTATTATTTTTTATTTTTTTCTTCAAAAAATCGGGGTAGTGGGGCCGAACGTGAGCGCGTCGGGGGGTGGTGTGGGGTAAATGGGCTGGGGGGCAGCACGGGGCTGCTCGGGGGTGGCTGCTGGTGGCCTCCAGCTGGGCTGGGGGGCCAGTGAGGCGGCTGTGGGGTCGGTGAGGTGTCTGTGGGGCCAGGAGGGTGTTTGTCCGTCACGTTGGTCCCAGGCCTGTCAAGGCACCGCGTCCTCCAGGAGCTTCCATTGAAGCTTGCTGGCTGCGTTTAACTCCGAGGATCACGCAGAAAACCACCTAAAGGAGTTCGGTGAACTCTTTCCAGACTAAAAAGTTGGTCTCCAAAGCTGGCAGCACCGAATTGGAATGATTAACATGTGGTTTTTTTGAAGTTATGCCTTCTGTAAAGAACCAGTTACGTTCTTGGGTTTTGCTTTTGTTTGTTTGTTTTGTTGCCTCATTTCCTTTTTAGTTTAAAGAGATGTCTCTGATGTAAGACAATAAAAAATTTGACTTCTCTAAACCCGAATTTACCCCCACTTACATGCTGGCAGGGGAATGACCCCATGTAAGTGCTCTGGGCCACTCTGCTTGGGCAGGGAGGTCAGACTGGACGGTCCCTGGCGGTCCCCTGCAGCCTCCCCCGTTCTGTGACTTTTTGAGCAGATCCTGTGAATTTCTGCTTTTCTAATCGCCGTGCTTTGTGGGCCGCAGCTTGTTCCCTTCCTCCAGCTAAGTTTGCTGTTCTGAGGCTCACCTGCATTATTTAGTCCTTGCTCATAACCAGGTCTATACTGTAGCTTCATAAAGCACTGCAAACCTTGCTCAAAGCTGAAGGAAAGCAAGTTCCCTTCCTTCGTGGCCCTAGACAATCCTAGCTATAGGAACACTTAACCTCAAACAAGCTTGTAACTTGCTCTGATTTTGTAACTACAACAAAAGTGCTCATCCACAAGGAGGTTTCTGTGTTATAAAGGAAGGTGCAGGATTGCTTGGTCTGTATCTTCCCTGAAGGAACCGACCTGCTGGTACCTGGCAGACTTAAAATAGTTAAGAAGGACGGGGCTGGGTTTCCACAGAAGTGTTTTCCAGCAGCTTTGGGACGCCCGTTTGCAAGCAGCTGGGTGCAGAACAACGACAAGCAGTTCATGGAGCGCTCCTCCATAGCGCTGTGTGGAGCAATTATGGGACAGCTGCGAGCAGATTGCTCCTGATAGGAAAGTGATAGGAAAGGTCTTATCTAAATTAACGCGGCGCTCGTTATCGAGTCTTAACAAGGCTGGTGGATAACGGGCTGCGTGGTGCTCTAGTTTGCTTCCCTCGTGTTTTTCGGAAGCTGGTCCGAGGTAAGCAGAGGGGAGGGTGACCAGAGGTCAGTGTCACAGGTCTGGGGCTCCGTGGATGCAGCCGAGGCTCGCTGACGGTGGATCAAAGAAGGGACTACAGCTGAGGCTGATTTCCCAACGGGGAGCTCCTCAGCAGCATTTCAAGTAAATACATGCACAACCAGTTCTTTTATTGATGTCGTAACTTCACAAAGCATTGCGAGCGTTGCTCAAAGCCAAAGCAGAGCAAGTTCATCTCACCAGTTTGCCTTTCGTAGTGAATCTGGGGCTACTCGCTGCTCACCCAGAGAAATGCACGTGGACGTGGGACAGGGGAGAGCAGCCTTTGGGCCGAGTGGCCTGTGCAGGGCCTAGGATGAAATGCTCGTCGCAGGCCCAGCTGCAGTTGAGTCTTTCCCTCGATCTGCTCTTTTTTTCCTGCCTGTGTCACTTCCTTCCCTTGGCTCACAGCTTGCCCGTAGCCAGCTCCTGGGTTTCACTGCGGTGACAGCCCCTGCGGCGGCGGGGGGGGAAGGGAGGGGGCCAAGCCTGCAGGTCAGGGCTGAATCCTGCTGGGGGGGCTCTGTCGGTGAGGAGGGGGACCCCAAACACACATCGCATGCATCAGGTTCGTGGACGTGCTCAGATTTCTCTTTTAAAGTACAAACCAAGCCACTCGTGATTTCCAGCAAAAACCTGGCAGAGCAGCATTTTGCTGGGACAGTGTGGCAGAATACCCAGCACTACGATCAGCGCGGTGCTGCGAGGGGCTCAGCATCCAAACTTCCCAAAGAAATGCTTGCAAGCTCTGCAGACACACACAATTTCTCTCCCTAACTTGTGATCCTTACTCACTGCCCCTGCATCTGCTGATCGTTTGTGCAAGCAATCGGCTTTGCTATTGTTGGGGGGAGATAACAAACAACCCCTTATTTGTTCAATTTTCTTCTTTTTTTTTTTCCTAAACAGCTGCAGCATCGTGCCTTGTATTATCACACTGTAGAAAGCAGCATCTTGGTTTATAGGGGTTTACAGACTTCCTGTTTTCACCAGCGTGCAGATACTTTTACTCTGTTTGAACTTTGTGATTTTTTTTTTTTTTTTTTTGCAAAGCTCTTTCTATTTTCTGCCATTGCAAACACGCTGACTTGCTCGGGCCCGTGCAGTAAGCCGTGTGTGAGCTGAAATAAACGCTTTATGCAGAGGAACAGCTTTCTCCATGAGCAGCAGTTCCCCTTTATCGATGTTATAAAAATCCTTGAGTGTAGTTTTTAAAACATGAAAAGCATTTCCTGGACAACATCTTTCCCGCACAAAGCAGAACTGTGTTTCCCAGACCTAGTGGAGACCTAGCAAAACAGGGGCTCTCAGTGAGCTTCAAAAATTGCTTATTTTTCATTTGTAATAACTTTTGCATTGTGTGATTAATGCGATGCTGCTCGTGCTTCCTTAAAGCCAGCCGCTGGAAATCAGCTATTTTGATGGAAATAAAGAAGTATTCATGCTCCTCAACGCTAAATCCATCACAAGGCTGTCCGAAATGGAAACATTTTTTCCATGCATTACATTCAAATCAATATTTGGCCTTGGTTTTATGTTAGGAAATGGATTGTTTCTCTTTTTATCTCACCAACATAGGGATGAATTATAGGATATGTTTTGGTACTGGGGTCCTAACCCGAACCCAACCCTAGTTACCAGGGGTCTGACAGCCTGCTGTGAGCCTACTAAAACGTAATTGCATCAGATTCAGATTCACCTGCAGTTGTTCCATCAGCCTGCCCCGTTCCAGCGTGTTCCTTTCTGCCTGGATGGAAGCTTTCAGCATTAGAGATGAAGCCCAGACCGCAGTAAGTGTCGTGCAGACCTCGCAGCACACCAGCCAGGGTTAGCTGCTGCCCTTAGGAGCTTAACATCTTCCCTGTGAATCCACAGGTTGAATTATAATCTACATCAAGAGATGGAGAAGTGATTAAATGCCCATACTCCTTGCCCAAATAAGAGGCAGAAAATCAGCTGTGGCCTTGGCACCCGGCGCCTCCAGCCCGTGATCCCCTCGTAACTGCTGCTCTTGGTTTCTGAGTGATGTGTCGTGCTGTTTAGATGCAACTCCTCATTCACTGATGGGTTCCTTGATTGATTTGATTTCTTGTCATGAGTGCTCAGTTCTGAGCTGTTCTTGTAGCTGTTTTGCTTGCCTAAAGGAGCCCTGACCAGCTGCCAAGATGAGCGCTTCTTCCTCCTCCTGGTATCTGGCCAAACCCCAAGTGCACTGTAGTGGAAAACTCGTGTCCCTACTCCTCGCGCCGTGCTTTGGGTGGCAGGCACTCCAGGGACGTGCCAGTCCCTAATTTGCAGCATCTTGTGCAGAGTCCCAGTCTTTGTTGGCCAGGTTACTCAGAGGTTATGCTTAACATCAACCAAGATTCAAGAAGAAGAGCAAACTGGAGACGTTCCAGTAAGGTAAAAGGTTAAACATTCGGTGTAGAGTTGGAAACAATTTAAAAAAGGAGTTGTGCTGTCAGCTACCTGAAACTTGAACTTCATTCACGTGTTTTTTCACATTTTCATCACACAAAGGTTTACTGAGTGCTGAGATAGGGATAGGAATTAGTTCCCTTAGCTGTGCACTTCTCAGAAAGCACCCTCTTGCTTTGGGTGGGTTACTCATCGCCTGGTTCCTTGAGTATGCAGATGGAAGCTAAAGGAACAGTACCACAGTGTAGTTATCTCATCCGGCTTGCCTTGGAAAATTGTGATCTGGTGCGTTTTATTTTTTTTTTAACTTTGTTTGCTTTGTTTTTTTGGTGCTCTGCTTTAATTTGAAAGGTTTTATTCTAAGTTAACGCCTCCTGCAAGTGACGTGGGGAGAGCTCCTTCCCTTCCCCTCTCTTGTCTGGCTGAGGTGTGATGCTTCTGTTTCACTTATAACACTGGATCAGATTTATGTCTTAATAAATGACACAACACCTCATTAAAATCCAAATAATCCTTTTCTGGGTGGTGCTGGGAGAGCAATGGGATGAAAGCACGATCTGAGAGCGGGACGCTAACCCTCCAAAATTGCCCTCAAGCTACCAGAGGAGCTCCGTGTTGCATTTACCGATTCTTGATGCAATCAAAATCCTGGAAACAATTAATTTGTTTGTCAGTGGCTCTTAGCAAACACCCAAGCTGAGTAACCTTGGTAGGAAATGCCCCTGGTTGTTTGCAGAGCACCTGCTCCACGCGTTGAAGGACTGCCGAGGTCTATGGCTATTGACTGGGTTTAAATGAACTGGAAAAAGTTTAATGGGAATATGATCCAGATTGTGTAGTGGTTAACCCATCGCTCTTGTTTTGGGGGGTGCATAAAGCTGCCTCTCAAGAAAAAATAGTAAAACGAGAGCTTCCATCACCTTACCAGCAAAGTATTTCTGGAAGTACTTCTGCTCTACCATTCAGTCCTGCCAGGGAGGCGAAACAGATCTGGGCTGCAACAAAGGCAGTGGTAGTGTGGCTTCTGTTCTGACTGGGGCTGGTTTAGGTGCTGCCCCCATACACGTAGGTATGTTTTCATCCTTTTTGCGCCTAAGTGTTGGTGGTATTTGTTCCCTGCGTGCTTTAGGAGCTGGACGTGTCCTGCATCTGTCAGCTTTAAGCGCTGCAAAAATCTGTTGTTGAGGCACTGCTTAATTCTGAACGCAGTCTCCTGCATAAAACAGCAGGCAGCTTTATGGAGAGACACCCCTGGATGAAAGCATCACGTGAAGCTGAAGAAACAATTGCTCCCAGTGAGTTCCCTTTCCAGGGAAATGCAGGTGCACCCCAGCCCATCACTTAACCTACAGCTGGTCCCAGGGCACCACTTCCCAATGTAAACCTGCACCCATCTGAATCAGCACCTTGGCGTGTGAGTGAAGGTGGAGCCCTGCTGGAATTATGAAAGAACTTCTCGGTTATTTGCATATCAGCCTCAGAAACTCTCGTTTCAGTTCAAGCACGTCAAACCCATGTTTCAGGAACTTGGGGAGAAAGGAGGAACCTGATATATGCAAACCTGCGTACCTGACACACTTTGTGCAAGGGTGGGTGTCGTCTGTGCCTGTGTTGTGTAACAGCACTTCCAAATGTTCCTACCCAAAAAAAAAAAGCCCCTAAAGCACAGCTTTGCATCCAGAACTGCCTGGTAAAGTCCAACCAGACCCTTAGAAAATGCAGATTGTCCTTCTGGGCATGCTTAGGGCTGATTTAATCACTGGTTCACGTTTCATGCATCTATTATTCCTCAATTATCAGGAAGGATTGAACTGGACACATTATTTGCCAAGGAAACAAGGCTTTATCCCCCAAAACACCAAGTCCATACGTGAAACCGCAGCCCAGCAATGCAGTAGACGTGAGCATGCCATTAGTGGATCATCTCAGTGGTGGCATCTGATGCTGCTTTGTTGCACAGATGGCACGGACCTAGGAGCACAGACACTAGCCCAGTCCGGTTTTGAACCGAACTTCAACTTTTTTTTTCCCCTTTTACAATGTATCGAGTAATTTAGGATTGTGATGCTTGCAGAAGCAAAGGATTCTTTCCAGTAGCTGCTAAACACCTTCCTTTGTGCTGGCATCCATCACAGCCCAGCTGCTGTGTGTTCCTCAAGAGAAGAACACCTGAAATCGGTCACATCAGGAGTCTTAGCATCAGAAAAGTTTTAGTCTAGTGTACATAAGAAATATTTCTCTGTGTATCTTTTTATTTTTATGCATTTGCAAGAAGCCTTGACGAGAATCTGCTGCACTGTGTGCTGGCAGCAGAGGGTTCTTAGTGCTGGTCAGTTTGAATCTGTTCAGTTGGTCTTGAAGTCTCCTAAGATGAACTCTCTTCTTTGGGGGAAGAGAGGACGGTTTGGGGAGGTACCAGTACAAATGGATTTGAATTGAGATGTCCTAAGCTGGCTCACCGGCCAGATCTTCGTTTTCTTTCTGCTGGCTGCGGTTTGCTCCACTGGCAAGCAAGAGTTGTAAGGTAACAGGATATAGGATTGGGAGGAAGAGATTCTTACTGGGTTTTCCTTGGCAGGAGCACGTCAGTTTGCTCTTCCGAAGTGACCTGTGGTGATGCAGCAAATCTTTCCAAGTCGTGCAGTTTCTTCTGAAGCCATCTTAACAGAACCAGAGGCTGGGATGTTTGTTCCGAGCCTTCCTATGGCCGGATCCTCTGTGACATTGGGGGAGAGACTTAAAACTTCTCTGTTTGCTACCTTGTGATATTAGGTTGAGTTTGGGCTTCTATGACTGGATGAAATGTCAGTGTATTTACAGAGATCTCTCAAAGGGTTGCGTTTCTGTGATCCAGCAGAAAACAGGTGCAGAAGCATTAGAGCTGATGCTCACTCAGGCAACTCACTGCTAAAATTCTCGTCCCTGGCAGACGAACAAGAGGCCTTGAACTCCATCATGAAGGACCTGGTAGCACTCCAGATGGGCCGACGGCACAGGCTGACTGGATTTGATACCATGAAGAACAAAGACACCGCTCACTCCAACAAACAGGTAATAATAGGCTGGGCAACGGGTACCCGAAATTGCTGCCTGGACTCAGGAGGGGTGCGTGGGGTTGACAGTGGGTCTGCTGCCTGTCTTCTGTGCTTCTGGCCTGGCAGCTGAAGCATCACCACTGGAGTAGCTCCCTGTGTTTTTTTCACTTGCTGACCTTCATGGACCAAGGAGGGTGCAGTTTGGGTATCTCAGCACTCCATCTTCCTCCCACGTGTGTTTTTGATGGTACTTGATCTGTGTAGAATAGCTTAAAAGTTTACCAAGTGGTTTTCTTGTTTTGCAGTCCATATTGCCTTTTTTTTTAATCACTTTTTTTTTTTTATCATTCTTAAAGAAAAAACACAATGCCAGCAGTCCACCCCTCTTGGGCAGCCCTGCAATAACAAACCAGTGTGCCTCTGCAGTGGAAGAAAAAAAAATTCCGGTAAGAGCTTGCTTCCTATTCAGTGTTAACAATTACGAATTAGGAGCATGTTTTTAAATTGTGCGTGGCAGCATTTAGAGAATTCACTTAAGCAGGTGTGGGAGGCCAGGAGAGCTTTTCATTACTAACTCTGTCATATGGCAGTAGCATGCACTTCTCCTTGTAGTGGAAATAATCCTTAAATTCAGAGGGAAGCAGAGAACGGAGAAGCAGTAATGATGAAAAGGAAACAAGTATTTCAATTTCTGATTCAAAAGAAGGTCACTGCAGTTCACAGTTGCATAAAGCAGTCTGTTGGGTAATGAACTAATGCTGGTCTTAATCTTCACATGATTCAGACTGCGTATGAATACAGGATGAGGATCCTGATGAAAGTGAGTCAAACTGAAGTTGGTTCAAGTACAGTGAAGGGGATTATCTGAAAGAGCTGGCTTTAGTGAAACTGTAATAAATCTTGCCTCTGTGAAAGAGGAAACAGCCATTTACAGGTGTCTGAATGCAGCCAGCATCCTTCGTGGGGAGGCTTGGCTGGAGTTACCCATCCTATGTCACATGAAGAGGGGAATGAAGCTCATCCTTATTTGAGTATGGGGATGTAAAATCCATTTTACAAATGAAATACTTTTCCCAAGGTAATAAGCGGCAGGGTCAATACTTTAAAATTTCTCTGTCATGTTGCTAGAGACTTTTATATTTTTTTTTGTAGAGAAAACTATTGCATTGACTTTCTGGTAGAAAGAAAGGGCAGAATAATGTAGCTCTGGCACTGTATGCTGTGTATCATTTAAATGAAATACTTCAGTGCAGAATTAACAGTTTCAGTCAAGAACTGTTTGTCCACTACTGTCTTAAAGAATTAAATCAAGTTCCTCGTAATTAGATTGGAGTTAACATGAGAAGTTGTTGATATCAGTAAAATCACTCTTTCCAGTTATATGCTTGTTACAGACATAAGCTTGCTGGAGCAGGCTTTAAAGTTCATGTCTGTCTCTTCCTTGTGCTTTGGCTGTTCATAATCTACTTGTTCAGCTGGGATCTGGGATTTCTTTGAATGTCTGGACAAATCCATAGATGGAGCAGTACAGAACCCTTTCCAAATCATTCTGAAATGTAAATTCAGTGAAGTCTTAAATCACAATCTGTAATCAGTCTTTATGATACCACATCACAGAGCTGGAACACTAAAGCCCCAAACTTGGATTTGTTTTCTTACTCTTCTCTTAGGACAGTTTATGTGAGTCACTTTGAAAAGCAGTTTGTATAGGAGATAAGTTTGCTGTACTTTCAAAGGAAATGAGAAGTGCTATAGTTTAACTCTTCTAAGTTCTCCCTGAAACACTAAGATGACTTTGAATTCCTTGAAACAGCCAGTGTCTGATCCTTTTGGAAAAATTATCAGGAGGTAAATGCCAAATTATGTCAGTACCCATGATTGCTTTTCCCCCTTTCTTTTTGTTACAAATTACAAACTAATTTCAAATTAGTTTGAAAGGGTACAGCAGAGTCGAGAAGATATTTTAGGTTTTTTTTCAGGTAACAGCAAGTTGAAGAACAATTTCTGCAAAGCCCTGAAGATTATTTTTTTTTAGTTCTTTCTAGTTAAAATAATGAAACCTAAAATGTCTAAACCCAGAATTCATCTTGGGGTCAGAAACTTAATCTATACAACTACTGTCACATAATTTCATCCAATTGGTCATATTTAACTCACTTCGACTGGATTACCTAGAATTGTATAGAAAAAAAAAACCTAGAGCCTTCCTTCCCAGAAAATCATAGTATTAAGGGCTCATACCTCTATCCATCAGTATCCATCTGTTTTATCAATAGCTAGCTGGTGGACCTCTTTTATAGCTTATTATTCTTACGCTGTTTGTTGCATTTTTCTTTTACTGTTCTGTTAAAATGATTTCTCTATAATGTGCTTTGTTTTGGTGTCTTTCTAGAGTAAATTCCTTTTCTTCCCACATCTAAGAAACTGTCTTTGGTAAAGCTGACGTGTAAATTACCCACCTGCAGATTATTGTTGCTGTGATTGGAAAGCTCAGTTCGGATCAATTATGTACCTACAGTAGTGCTGCAGGAATACCGTGTACTCGCAGTGATTGCTTGGGTCCCTTTGAACTGCATTCTTGACCACTAGGCCTGCCAGATATTTCCTCTAGCTAAAGAGCATTTCCTGGCCACATTTTTTTTGAAGTTCCTAGATGTATGATTGCCTATTGTCTGAGGCTTTCACAGATGGCTTAATCTACTCCAATCACATAAATTGTGCAGCAGAAATTATGGAGGCTTATCAGAGCAGATTTTTCCCTTTTATTTTTATCTTTGTGACCTAAATTGGGATTTGAACTTTGATCTCCAGAGGTGAAAGTTCAGCATGTTGACTCTTCCGTGTCATCCAGCATCTTCTGAGTTTACAGGGAAATGCACAGGTTGTGCAGTCAGGGCTATTAACCATCTGCCAGATATGGCTGATAACCCTGTGCACTTTCAAAGGTGACATAATAGTTAACTTGTTTTTATTCTCATAGTTTGAGTTTCAGGGACTGAGTTTTTTACAAAAGCGGAGACTTTGTCTGTGTCTGAAGAGTGAATAATGCGGTGTGTTCTCCGTGTGCCTCTTTTCTGCCGTGGAGAAAGACGTGCTTTGAGGATTCATAAAGAAAATCAGCTTCAGTTTGCATGAATATGCAGTTGGACACCATTTAAGGCTTCTGCCATGCAGTGTTAAGGATGGATTAATTTTCTTTATAATTAAATGTGTCCCCTGTTTAAATGGCAATTAATACATTTAAATAAAATAAATTAACTAATTAATACAGATTACAACTTAGTTTTTACCCCCTTTCCTTCTCTTTCTCCCTTAGCAATTTCTCCATTCCACATGGTGCTCACATGCCATCCCCTTAATTGTCCACAGTTGACTTTCTCCATGGAAGCTGAAGCCCTCGGATTTGTTGTGTTCTGGTTAGCCTTTTAGGAGTTGGTGCCTCCTGCAGTCACAGAATCGCCTGCTTTGTGTTTGGGCCTTAAAATCCTTACGTGCTCCATTCATTTGCTTTATTCTGTGTATGTCAGAGTTCTCATTGTGAACTAACTTTTTGTTCTTTTTTTATGCAGAATGATGTAAGAATAAAGTTTGAATATCATGGAGAAAGGCGGTAAGTCTGTCTTCACTACTTTAATATTTTGCCTAGTAGAATACTTTAGTCAGGTTAAATATCTTGTTGGCTTCACTCTCCTTGATGCTGAGTGAAAAACACAGTAGTGAGAAATGTTGTCATTAAAGACAGATTACACAACTTATTTTTTTAGAAAATAACTTTCCTCTTACTTATTTCCATAATATCTATTTGTAAGTGAATTGCAGTATTATTAAGTAAGCTTCCAGCCTGAGTCTTTTTATCTCAGATATGTTTCACTTTTGTTTCATTTAACTAAAACCAAATGAAGCTAATCAAACTAGCTTCATTCTTCTTTAGTTTGTCACTTCCTGATGACCTATCACTATTGCTGTCCTGCTGTGACTGAACAACATACACAGCAAGGGAAGGTGTTTCATTGGTCTCTGTTTCCTTGTTATTTCCTCTGATGCATGGTATTGAGATGCTTTCTTAAAAAAAAACAAAACAAAAAACAACTGAATGGACGTTTTTTGTTCACAATGTTGTGTCCAGTGGGTAAAATTTAGTCAGGTCTTTCATTCCCTGCTCTTCTGCATATGTGAGTTTTTCTTGCTGAAAGAAAATTTCTCACACGAGTAAATTTTACTCATTTTGTTAAATCTTGTGACTTTGTGTACACAGAAGGTCATTACTGAGGTTTAAGACCACCTTACACATACTCTTAAGATACTAGTGCATTGTATAATCCCTTCATTTTTCTTGTCGAAGGAGCTCAGTTGTGGTTAGTACACACTTTCTCTGTCACAAGTTGATTTTGCACTGTTCATGCTCATTGTTAAAGGATCACTAACTGTTGCTTTTCAGAGGAAGTTATTGGTATGTTCTTTGGCACTTTGGGCTCCTGGTTTGGTTGTTGCAGGAGGTTATAAAATACACCTTAATTTTGGACAACCTGACAACCTGCATCGGTTGATTACACACATTGTTGATGTGCCAGTCAAACATTCACAGAGGTCTTGTAAAAATGCATCTTGTGCTTATGCATGCACCAAAAAGGGTTTAGAGATAAGGGATGTATCTAGTTTAGTACATCAAGTTAAACCTTGACTGCTCACAGCATCTGGATATAAAATAATAAAGCAATCAACGCATTGTTAATTATGGCTTAAAACTTGCCCCTGTTGTTCATAGTTCATTTTTCACATCGAGGCCTCAATTTAAGATTATTTTAATGAACATTCTCCTGATGCTCTGTGTTTGGTCCAGTTTGGACCACGATGCTGGAGCTGGTTATAGCTCAGTGTATTGGAGCAGCCAACAGAGTGCAAATGCTGTACCAGTGGGAGCTCCTGGAAGATGTAGCGGTTGCCTATAACTTTCAAAAACTGGTCTCAAAAAGGCCCTAATTTGTCCCATATTTGAGAGGACCTCTCAATACCGTCATAGCTGTTCAGTGGCCATGTGAATGTACAGGAAGGCTCTAGGCTTGCTTGCAGCCTCTTTGAGGGTCCTCTTGGGCCTCCACTGAGGTCGGAAAGGGATCTTGATGTTATTTATGTTCCAGTTTCCTTTTTATGAAGAAATCGATTGGATTGTAAGCATGAATTTGCATGCTACTCCTTACAGGCATCCTATAGAAATCCTTTGGTTCCTTCCATTCCAGGCAGTATTTTCAACATGAAGCGGTTCATGATTTGATGGTAAAACACAAATTTAAGAAAACTTTTTTATGTTTGATAGTACCTCAGTACAAGTTGTGTACAGAGATCCTAACGGCCTGTTACTAGCAAAGGTTATCGACTGGGCTGCTTAAACTCTTCCTCAAGTGTCGTCCTTTGTCGAATGTAGGTATTTTTGTTAAAAGAGGAAAACAACTTTTGTAGATAAAGCAAACTGTAAGGAATAACTTAATTTTTTCCTCAAAAAATTGAACAGTTACATTCACCTAAGTCCTGTATGGTGAATTTTATGACTAAAAAAACTATTTTGGATGCTCTGCTCTGTCAGAGTCATTGTGGGGACTGTGACAGAGCCGCTGTGCAAGGTGTCACAGCTTGTCATGATAGCGTGTCGTGACAAGGCGCCTCGGAAGCGAACTCCTGTCACCACAGTCCCGTCACCTTCCGTGTCTCCTGCCTGAGTGCATTTAGGATGGCACAGAGCTCGGGGAGAAGGAAGGTTTTCCTGAAGTAACATTAAAATGAAAAGGTTGATTGTGTGTTAGTCTAATTATGCAGTTACGCTTGCCTGAATTCCCCATTCCCAGAGCGGTATGCAGTTACAGACAGCGAGCTCGCCCCGAGAATGTAAGTGTGTGTGCTGGGTTTCAGAGGAGCTGCCAGAGCTGACCACAAATATTTAAGGTGGTGAGGCAGGAATGGGCTCCTTAAACCATGCAGTCCATGATTTTGTGTTAGAAGAGTGCATGGAGTTTTTTACACTAATAGAATTTGTGGCACCTGAGAACAGCTCTGCTTTTCAATGCCGTGAGCACAGAATGGAAGCCTTCATAAGGGGCTTCAGTTCAGCTGAGAGCTAAATTACATTTCGATGGTGCCAGAGTGCTATAATTTCATGGACGGCTTTCTTAGTAATATGTAGAAAATGTTATTGTGGGCTGTGTTTTTAACAAGGACAATTATTTCTAAATTGCTGAACGTTGTAGGTCTGGTAGCGAGATGAACCCTTCCTGGGAAGTGGCTGAGGAAGCCAACTAACACTAGAACTATTTAAAACAAAGGCTGCGTGTAGAGAAAGGACACTGAGTGTTGGCAAAGCGTGCTGGATGGACTTTCTGGAAGTTGGGCCTTCTGTCCTGAGGTCAGGTTCAGCACAAAGCTGTGTGATTGCCCCCAGGGATTGGGGGTTTCACCAAGTTGTGAGCAAGATGGATCTCGAGCATCCGTGGTCCGTTCAGGTAGTCCGTGCTCTTTGTGATGGCAGAGTTGCCAAGCAGTGCCACATTTATATAAATAACCACATTTTTTGTGCCAATATTTCAGCTTGGCAGAGCTAAAGTTGCAATCTCAGAGTTTTCTGATAGCTCCCCGCACGGCAGTGCCACGTCCCAGAGCTGTTGGACCTGCGGTCAGGAGGCAGCCTGGTCTCGTGGCCTGTGGCAGCAGATGGTGAGGAGTCTGCTTGCAGGAGCCCGAAGGCAGGAGCAACCACTTAAATGGATTTCTGGGCGGTCGGCATCCTTGGTTCACTAAAATAAGGTCTGACGAGTTGTAAGCTATAGTTTATATTTGAGTCCTCCAGTTCTTGACCCAGCACATTTTACTGGCTGATTATTCTTCTGAGAGAGGTAAAATCATCTTTTTCCATGGCCGTCAAGGTAGCAACTTTCTGAGTACTTGGCAACTTCCTGCAGGAGAACGTTCCAGCAAAATAAACAGTTTTAGGTGCTTTGCTGGAACTTCGTTTTACTGCTATGCCTAAAGCATTATCGCTTCTATCCTCATGGAGGCAAAACGGTAATAAATACCTAACAAAGAAATCTATACTGCACTTTTCTTAAAAGCATGCCTGGTGCGTGCACCGGGGTTCCCCTGGGACAGCTGTGCCTGTTGCCATTTCGGATTTCTTGGTGCCATTGATGTGTTATCGGCCTAGGACGCTCTGCCACTCAGCTGGCAAGGAAACAGCTGGATGTCAGGACAAGGATTTTAGTGGGCCACAAAGTCTGGGCTCACAGATAGCGATCAGAAAAAATTATATCTCTGCATATTTTAATTGTCAGTCCGTTGGTGGATATGCCCAGAGTTGCATTACATGGAAGCACACAAGAAAAATACTTGCTTTATTTAAATCTGTCTCTTTTACTAAAGTAGGGAGGACACATGAGATTATGATGAGATTGAGATTGATCTGTTGTGTATGAATATTTTGAATTACTACTAGTCAGATGTTGTTACAGCTGAAGCAGTATTTAAGTTTTGATATATTACACCTCTGTAATTAAAAGAGAGAAAAACCACAATTAAAAGAAAAAAAGCCACGAGTGACCAACAGTTGCACGTGAGTTAGGTTTGCCTTCAACTCCTGAGGAAAAGCTTGTTGCATGGGATTCGAGGTAGAACTACAGAAACAGGGTGGTGAGTCTGTGTTTCGGGTGTTTGGAGATGTTTGACTTGAATTAGCAGAGGGCAAATGTGGAGCTCATGTCCCCGATCACCTTTGGGATCGAGGGCTTTGAGGTTGCTTTGTGTCTGCCTGCCGATACCTTCCCTCAGGAGTCCAGGCCTAACTTGCTGTGGGAAAGTTTGCTGAAACCTTTCAGTTGGAACACATTTTGGAAAATATTAAGAACTGAGTTTTTTTGTTCAGATATCAGAGTATTTAAACCAAAATGCCTTTTTGTTCTTTGGGCCTTTTGCTGCATAAATCTCACTAAATGTATTTGTGTGTGTCTAGTGCCTGAGGCGGTATTCTTTAAGCCAACATACATAGTAGATTTGTGTCCTTTAATGTGGAAGAAATTTATTCAGTAAAGGATACTTTTCTATCCAGGAGCAAGGGCATTCTATTTGAAATCTTCAGCTGAATAATTCGGAGGTTGCATTTTGGTGAACCAATTTGCAAATGCACCAGAGATGAACAATTCCTTGCTAAAATAAATAATATTAATTCAAGCTTAAAAAGATAATTACCTATTTGAGGATGAAAGTAAAACATTTGTGTTTTGTTTCTGTTTTTTAATGATTCAACCATCTAATTTGATTACATTATCAGGTATATGTCTGAATTCAATAAGTAATTTTCTTGTTGTTTTTCCAGAATTATCCCATTTGTCCGTCCTGTGCGCTATGAAGATGTGCAACAGAAAGTGAAAACAGCCTTTGGCCAGCCCCTGGACCTCCACTACATGAACAATGAGGTACAGAGCATTTTTATCAGTGTCCAAAAAAATGCAACAATCTCTCTAGATGATGCCTCCTTTTTCCATCCCAAATTATGTGCCTTTAAATTTAATTTTCAATTTTTCCCTCTAATATGGACCATGATTGAATCTCTCTGCTCCAGAGGAAGATGTGCTGATACGGACAGAACATGACACTGATGTCTGTATTGTAGACATCATCATCTTGCTTCTTCCTACTGGTGTTATTTGGGAGACTTTCTTGGGGAAGTAAAAACAAGTTAATTGAAGTATTTTGGCTATTGAAACCAACTATCACAGGCCAGTAGATACGCAGTCTGCAGACTACAGGCAGTCTCCACATAATTTCTTTAGCTGTCCAGGAACAGATTTAGAAGTGTCTAGTTTGCCATCCAGGCATTTGTAACACATTTACTTCTTGCTGGCTGTGACCCTTCTGCATATTGCTCAGCTCGCAGGCAAACAACATGAGTGAGGGAACAGGGAATGCTATCAAGTGGTTCTGAGGGATTATGGGCACTATACTTGATAAAAGAAAGTGACCTGGGGAGTATGCGCTTGTCTCTGAGGAACTGGGTAGTCTGTGTTAATAATTTAAGTATTTTTTGGCTTTCTCCTGGCTTTTCCTGTTTGTTTTTTTTGTTTGTTTTGTTGTTGTAGTGTTGCCTTTGTGTTGTTAGAGACTGCATTCCTATGAAAGAGATGTAAAACCCCATTCACCAGTAGAAGTCAAACAAAATGAAAGTATTTCTTCAGTGTTAATAACATCCACATATCTAGATGTGAGTTGGCTGTGGAATAGAAGGTGTCTGAGGGTAATTTAATGGGCTTTTACCAGCAAGTTTTTAAAATCTTATTTGATTCCCTCTTTCAGAGTGTAAATCTTCCCTGTGCTCATCTCTTAGTTGAAACCTAGTTTTTGTTTGATTGTTAGGTCTGGATTCATAAATATTCAGAGACAATGTTCTCATCAGGGAGTCAGCCTGTCTCTGACTTGTTCTTAGCAAGCAATGAATTCAGGTAGCAATTAGTATTTTGTGGATGTTGCCTTAGGGAAATTTGCATGAGTTCAACCACTTTTCTGATGGTGTGGAAGGAAAGCTCTGTATAAAAGGACAGTAAGACAATATTGTGATGAAAACTTGTGGCATAATTGAGCAATCAGAATCCTATTCTATATTCTGATCTTACTTTTATTTTTTACGTCTTGTTTAAATTCCTGTTGCAGAAGTAGACTCTTTTTTCTGTTTTTTCTAATGATTTTTTTTTATGTTCTGTATTTTGCAGCTATCGATTCCTCTGAAAAACCAAGATGACCTGGATAAAGCAGTAGATCTCTTAGACCGAAGCTCTAATGTGAAAAGCCTTAGAATATTACTGCTGTCTCAGGACAGAAACCATGTACGTAACAACTTCTGTGACTGCAGCAAAATGTAGTCATAATGGTGATTTTATCCAAGCATAATAGGAATTAGTAAGATTTCTCTGCTTCAGAGACACACATGAATATGTTTATTCTGTTTGTTTTGGCTTTACCTATGGGGGAGTTTGTTTTGTTGTTCTTTTTTTTTTACTTTTTTTTTTTCTGGCTGCAGCAGGTGTTTAGGGACTAAACTATTGAAAAGAGGTTTTCAAGCTGTAATTATGAAGGATGTTTTATGTGGAGTACCCAATAACTGTATGCAGAAAACTCTTGATGAGTTTGATTCATAGAGAGCTTTTTTAAGTTTCAATTAGTAGCACAGTGTCAAAACTGCACGTAATTATCTTGTCTTTAAGAAAGCACAAGTTGTTCTTGAAGACAAGCTATTAGCAATGTATTTTTTTTCTGGATGGAACACCTCAGGATATACCTGATGCTTTTCCAGTTCTGTGGCTTACTGCTTTGAATCCAGTCTTGCTGTGTAGGAACTGAGTTGCTTTTAGCTGATAATGGCACATACACACCTAAGATGAATTTGACTGTCTTGGTTCACTGTCCATCATAAGGGGCTGTGGCAGTCAGTGACTATCAGAGTAGTTTGCACTTTTCATCAGAAAAGACTGTACCATAAGAAGTAAGTCAAATTCCCAAATATGCCTATTTTAGGCAGTGAATTGAAATACGAACTGAGGAGGGCAAAAAATGTCCCAGGTTTCTTATACTGCTGGTCTGCACGTGAACTCTGTTCACTCAGGCTGTTAAACCAGTGCTTTTGGGGTGATTTTTTTTGGTGATTTTTTTTCTTTTATTTTTAGAATAAAAGTCATCCAGCTTTTAAAGCCAAAGACCCCTGGTAGCTTAGATACCTGATTTGCAAATTACTAAATTTTCTTGAACAGCATGACACAAAAAGCTACCCTGTCTTGAAATCTCTGTTGATTGTAGCTTGTCAATCTTGAATGTTCATCCTTGTGCAAGTTCTGCAGGCTGTGAGCTCCAGCTCTTGGAATAATCACTCCTCTAATTCTTAGAGCTGTCAGGGGAATTAAATATACTTTGTACTATTTTTGAAATTGATAATCTATGCTAATAGACAAATAAACACCATCAGGTGTATTAACAGCAGTTTCTCAAACGTGCCAAAAGCTGGAAGGGTATCAAGGGAACGATGATGTTCTTTGTCCTATGCCCTGTCCCTAAGCATTTGTTACTGGCCGCTCTGAAGACAATACTTGGCAAGAAGGCCTTTGGTCTGACCTAGTGTAGTCAGACTTTGTTCTGTGTGGTCAGGAAATGGTCTGGGAAAGGTGGCCTCTACTTTTGGTATTATCCAGTAAAACAATCGTCTTTTACAGCCCTCTTAATTCCAGTGTCTTGAGGCTACAAACCAGATGTTATATGATACTATCTAAACTTTACGTAAGCCCCCAAGACCTTCCTACAGTAAACACTCAGTAAGTCTCATCCCTGCACCAGCCAGTAGCCAGTACTGTGGTGGTGTCCTTTTATTAGCTGTTTTTTCCTCTTTTGCTCAAAGCAGAAACAAACAGCAAAGTCTTCAGTAAGTGCCACTGTTTCCCCCCTCTCCTCTGACTTCCTCTTCATCTCTTGAGTTGCCTGACAGGAGAGCCCTACATGTGATAAAGCAAAAGCCCACGAGGCTGAAGGAGGTTTCTTGGCTGCATGATCTCATCCCACTGAGGGAGCGGGAAGCATTATTTTTCCTGAAGTACAGGATGCAGATTTTGTTTTAGTTGTGCTCTTTTTCTGGGGATGGAAAGGTAATGCCGTGACTTTGGCACTAATATGTGTATAAAACAACTTTCCAGTGACTAGTACTGTGAGCCTGTCTTTGTTTTTATTAATTTCCTTATGCCTCTTACTGTGGCTCACTTCTGCTCTTTCTTTTAGCAAGAAACTCACTCCTGTCGTCCTTTCTTTCTCTTTAGAAACTAATGGGAAGAACTGGTTAAGTTGAACACCTAGAGTACTAAAGGCAGACTGTCCACATAACTGGTGTGACCTTTGCATCCGTTATTCAGCTCCTATAAATGTATTCATGACGGAGTTTCTGCAGTTTAAACCAGGCTCCCTCCTTGCTTGGTGCAAAGGATTTTCCTTTTTAAATGACCAGCTGTTTGATGGTTTTACTTTTTGATTCTACAGCCTCACACCTTGTTTGCCAGTCCTATTCAAATAAAATTCAAAAGAGAGGATTAATTTCCTTGGGGTCTCTTTGGTTCTGTTTGTCTCAGTAAAATAAGTGCTTCAGAAGCATTCAATTCTGTAACAGATGAGAGAGAGGGCATATCCTATCCTCTTGTAAAACTAGGTACTTTAGCACAATTGAAATAAAAAATCCCCTGGTCTTGAGCACCTGCTTGGTCATGCATAATATCTCATTTGCTCGGGGGAGGTTGCCAATCCACAGTATTTCAAATATTTGGACCCTACTGCAGCATCCTCACACAACTGGTGCCCAGGATCAGTATTCACAGCAAAGCTCAGTTCCATGGTAAGAGCCCACGTTACCTGTGCAGTCCTCAGGGAGTGCGCAGAGGGGTTAACTCCCTGGAGCTCCACAAGTGAGCACGTTAAGGAGTCTGGTTTCAGCATTTAAGCCTTGCAGTTTCTCTGGGAGAGCTCTGCGTAACTGTCATACAAGAAGGACGACAAATTTCCTGGGCAGCTTCTTACTGTAGTGAATTGCAAAACCACCCTGTGGTTTCTCTTTCTACAAAGCATACTCGAGTTACCCCTTCTGTCTTCCTCAGCAAATGCAGAAGTCCTGTGGCACGTCTCCTTTCACTGCTCTTTCTGCTTTGAATGAAAGGAAGGCACTGTGGAAAAAGGATCTTTAATTCGATTACATCCATGTTAGTGCAGGGAAGGATGAGTAAAAGCAACACAGGCAGCATTCATCTTGTAATCTCCCAAGTCTTTGTGCTTTCAAATTCTAGGATTTATTTTTGCCTAGGCTGATCAGTCAGCTCTCTTAAAAATTGTGGGGAATCAAGTTGCTAGCTAACCTTTTCTGAAAGAGTGCAAGATTCATAATTTACTGCTGCTGGCCAAAGTGGCTGGCAAAACTGCAGCTTCTTCTACGGTCTGATATCGGAGGGTGATCTGAGCCCCTTTCCTGTTAGCTTCACAGGTAGCTGCTAAAGGAAGACAAACACTGAGACCGGTAAATCCTGCGTGTGATTTGAGGCTGGAGGGAAGCATGCTCTAGTTGTTTGACTCCTGTTCTACAGAATAATTGCAAAGCTTCCTCTTTTGCTGCCTTTATTGTTTGTGTTCTTTGAAGTAATAAGACATCAGGCTGTAGGGCTGGTTTTCAGCTACTTTCTTGCTACTAAACGTAATGCTATTTTTGAAACTGTGGCCAGATTGCTTGAGCTCCTCAGTCTCATTTTGTTCTATTTCACTTTCATTTTACCCAACAGACAAGTTCTTCACCCCATTCTGGACTGCCCAAACAAGTCAGGATTAAAACCTCCCAATCTGTGGGGGATGTGAACACACCCTATCAGCAGCCAGAACCCAGAAGTAGGCATCTGTCTGTCAGTGAGTATTTTTGCCACTTCTGCTTGTCTTTATTTTGTGAAAATTACCTTTTGGGCACTAGGATTTATGGTATAGCGTTTATGAAAGCCATGAGAAATTGAAAGGTTATTCTAGGACAAGGCTGTTCATTTTCAAAAGCTCTTAATATGTTTATAATAGAATGTTTCAGAGTTCTTACTAAGTTGTTGAACAGCTGAGGAGCTGCTAAAAGGGATGTGTTAAAGCCAGATTCATTGAGGTTAGAAGTTTGGAAAGCTTACGTGAGTCCATTAAGCTTTTTTATTTAGATTGGCAATTTCACTTCATGAAATCTAGATTTGATTTTTTATTATTTTTTTTTATTTTTTTATGTTGAGTTTTGGAATTGGTGCTTGGTCCTGTAATCAAGCATTTTATGAGTATCACAGGAATTGCCACGGCGTATCTAACCGCTGCCCTACATACAGATTTCCCTTACTTTCCACTCTCTTAATTACCTATGGGTAGAGCACAGGCAAATACGGTAGGTGAGTGGCACAGCTGCACAGAAAAGAATTTTAAAAATTCAATGTAATATGTAACTTTGTCTCATTTCCTTTGTGTTTGTTAGCTTAGTGAATACATACTCAGTGAGAAGGTCCACGTAAGACTCCAGTAATGCAAATAATCTAAACCTGTACGTTGCCAAGTACTATCAATTCTCATAACTTCTAAAAGTTAGTGTGCAGAGTTTTAGAGAAAGAACTCACTGACTGTGTGTACATGTTGCAGAACGTATGATGTACCATAGTGCATTGATTTACATCCACAAGCATGCATTTCATCTGCATGGTTTCTACCTGTGGTAGGTTTGGCTGAGTCGTCCCAGTTTCTCATGATATCCCCCTGTATAACTGTAAAGTACTGTTGAAAGATGCTCAAAGCTGTTAAGATTTTTATATTAAAAAAGTAAAAATAAATGTCTGAAGTTCCTTCAAAGATTTTTGGGTCAAAACAAAAAGCTCCGTGGTTTAGAATCTGTGTCCTCTGTGTGAAACCTCAGTGAGCTGTGAAAGAGCAGGAAGAAGGTGAAGGTGATAATAGGGATCTGCAGCCTGAAGGCTACAGCCTGAGATGGTGTTCTATGTAAATGACTTTTGCTTTAAAAGTGAGAAAAGCTGAAATTTGCAGGAAACAGAAGCAGAGGATAGTTGTGTTTGCTTTAGCAGCTATTTTAGGGCTTGTCAGGCCCAATGCTTCAGCTGACAGGTGCTGCAAATCACAAGGGCAGCACTAGGAGCTGGGAACGTCAGAGTTGTTCTGTTTCCAAGTTCTAAACTAGCTCTCTCTGTGGAAGAGGAGTGCTTCAGGTTCATTAAGTGTAAACTTGAGGTGTAATCTTAACCATATTTTGTTTAACAGTATTTGCAAAGCAATCCTGGTGTCAAATAACAAATCTGATTAAATTAGTGCAGACAGTCCTGTACTGGGGGCCCTAAACCAGAGTCAGATTCACACTGCTCTGACCAAAGTTAATTGGGAGAGGAAGCTCAGTAGAGAAGGACTTGAGAACTGGACCAGCAGTTCTCTAAATTAGACTAATTTAGCAAGTCTTCTGTATCTTTTCTGGAGTCTGCTGATCCCCTTTTACACAATTTGCTTTTGTGAAGTAGCAAACAAAAACAAAGAAGTGCTATAAGCTGAAGTACGTCTGGGACTGGTACAGAAAGGGTTTCCCCATCCATTCTAGTTTGAAGTTAACATGCATAAAAAGAGCAGCATTCCTTGGTCCTATAAGGCAAGCAGTGATATCCATGCTTGTCTGAACACCACGTTTCTTTTTTTTTCAGACAGATTCGATGCCAAAAATATTTGATTTTTAAAAATCTTTCTCTTTTGTTGGCATTCGAAGGTATCCAAATCATGATGCCAAAGCTAACAGACTGTACCGCGTGTCTGTCATGGGGAAGCGGTACAGTACTAAGGGGCCCCTTCTGTAACCCTATTGCACAGACTCTCTCCTCTTATCCTGGCTTATGAACATTTTCTGATTAGCCTGTCATCAATCATAAAGGCACTAGTTTTATTTTCTGAACATGTCAAAGTTTCAGGCTGCTACCTTATTAAGAGGTCCAGAAGGATTCCAGTTTTTCAGGAGGTCTGATAGTAAGTTGGCAATAGCTTAGCATTAAATCTGCTCCCTCTTCCTCCTCTTTTCCTATCTTTGATTTTGGAAAAAGAGCGTACCCTTGTTAGCTAGCATTCCAGGCACAGAAACTTCCCTGTTCATGACATGTCGTGAGATGGAAGTCGAAGGCAGCGTAGAACAGAAGGTGTTTGCAGGAGATCCATCCGTGTAGTTCCTGTCTTCTGAAACAGCCAGGCCTTGAGCCCGCTGTCACCAATTCAGAGGAAGTAAAGATAAGTTTTATTAAAAAAAAAAAAGAGAGAGAAAAAAAAAAGTTGCTAAGCATTCTGGCAGCACTTGTGTTTTTTCCACTCACTTCCTTTGGTACGCATTGATTTAGTGCCGACTTCCCTTTCCTGCCCAGCGCTGGTGGCCGGTCCACAATAGCGGCTGGGCTGCTGCCAGCAGGACTGGGGCTGCCTTCGGCCAGCCGTGGTGGCATTGTCTCGGAAAGAGTGAAAGTGTGCTCCCGTGACTCACTCCGTGCAGCCACAAAGCACACTCGCTTGTTTATCCCTGCTGCAGTTGGCTCGTGCCATCACGTGAGCTCCGCAGAGCTGCTTGGAAAATCAGGTAGTAGCTCAGCAGATTTTTGTGCATGCAGTCCACCTCCCCGCCGCCTGCTCTGAACCATGCCAGCAGAGGGGTTTTTTTCCGCTCCGCAGCCCTCTGAAAGGTGTACATGCTGGTTTTCGGCTAGCTTCTGCCAATGTTTGCCTTCACTCTTTATTACAATAATTTCTGTAGAAAATATTTTCCTTGGGAGAGGATTTGCTGATCTTCACCCATCTTTCGTAGCACCTGAGTACACACAGTTAATTAAAGACAGTGTTGTGAGGAGCACAGCTTGAGAGCTGATCTTAAAACTCTGTCTCTGACTTCATGGGTGACCTTGGGCAGATCAGCTGGACCACGGCATTTCTTGGATTAACGTGGTGGGAGCCACAGGTGGATGGGTTACTGCAGAAAAGGGTTTTATTCCTTCCTGTTTCTCATGTATCATCTTTGAGATCAGCAAAGAAAAAGCAAATCCCAGGGGCTGAGCTTTTCTGAGAGGCACAACAGAAACTCCTTAGGCAGTACCATAACAGATGAGTAAAATGTTTTTCTCATTGTTTTCTTTTGGCCCCTAAACATACACACTCTGACCATTTACCTGTCTCATAAATGAAAATTGCAGAATTGACCTCTGTGTGTTTTTGCCCAAGCTAACTGTACAACTTCAATTTCACATAGCAGAACAAATTTTGGGGTCATTTACAAAGTTACCAGTCTTCCCATGGAACACTTAAATTGCTCAGTATCGGTACGATCAGCTGATGATAGCTAGCAGGGATGGTGTTCTCACTCAAGGGAGATGAGGCAAAGTTACAGCCAAGGCAAAAGATCGATTGCTCTGACCGGAGTTTTGTCTAGTGATTAGCAGTGCAGTGAAGTTTGTGCCCCTGTTAGAAAGCCAGGAAGTCCTGAAGTCCTCTGCCTTCCCCAGGATAATGAGGTTATGCTCAGAGGATTGAGCAGAAGAGGTGAGAGACAGGTGACATCCCCTTAAGGAGCTTTGCCAGCAATTTTCTTGTAGCAGCTTAAATGGAGCCACAGGAGCTCGCTCACCAATTTGCTTTTTTACATCGCACCTCCTGGTCCCACTCCAGACTATAAGGCTTACTCCAGCATTGCTGTGATCAGAGAGGTCTAACATTAGAGGTGAATATTTGGGTTTTGTGTGCATGCACGTGCTGTCTCGTTTCAGTAAGCATCAGTCTCAAAGATGTCCTTCTCTCTGGCTCAGGTTCCCAGAACACAGGCCGAAGTTCACCGCCCCCTGGGTACGTTCCAGAGAGGCAGCAGCGCATTGCTCGGCAGGGTTCCTACACCAGCATCAACAGCGAAGGCGAATTCATCCCGGAAACCAATGAACAGTGTGTGAGTATGAACATCGGGGTAACGAAAAGGAAGTCCAGCAGTTAAGGAATTGCTGCTGCTGTCTGGGCCCTCTCACTCCAGAATAATCAGGAGTTGTAGCTGTGTTAGCAGCTACTGGTGTTGCCTTGTTCATTCAAGCCATGCTTCAAACCACAGTGCCTTTGTTGGACTACCAGAAGCTGTTGCATTGGTTATTGGGCACTGTCTGTCCACCTCCGAATGAACCCTGCAGTTCTGGTGGCATTACACATGTACGCTCAGGTTTCCTATTGACCCTCTTGCATTTGAAACTGCAGTTTCCATTGAAAAAAAGTAGGAAGTAAGGCCAAAGGGCAACCTGCAGGTGGGGACAGCAATGCAGTAGCACCAGCAGAGACTGTTTCTGAAATCACTTGGGATCAAACCCAGCACACTGGTCAATTTACTTTAATCGTCACAGCAAAGTCCTTCATCACCCAAAGCAAAGCCGTGGCTAAAATTCAGTATGTGCTTAACAGTTTATGTGGGAGATGTAGGAAAAACATACTCCCTAAATAGCTTTAGACTCTCCTCTTCCTCTGGACATCCTCCAGGCAAGCAGTAGTGGACTCTGATTCTCTTGTGCAGCCTCTTTTAGGCGTCAGACTGATGTTGCTGTGTGACTTCTTTTGTGTTGCAGATGCTGGACCCTTTAAGCAGTGCTGAGAACTCGGTGTCAGGAAGCTGTCAGTCCTTGGACAGGTCAGCAGACAGGTATAGGCTGGTAGGAACTTACGTGCTCAAATCAAAATACCAGTTGTACTTCTACAAAAGGCTATTTTCCATCTCAAATTTTCTTGGAGAGAACTAGGAATTTATTTCCTACCTATATCCCAATATATTTCTTAGAGAGAATTAACTGCATCTTAAGGCTGTTTTATTTTCTGGCAAAACCATACACCAACAACCTGGTGCTTCAGTAGCTCTGTGTTAGAAATACAAAGTTCTAAAGTCTGCCGTCTCTGTGGAGCCTGGGCTCAGAACATCTGGCTGCGGGGTATTTAAATCTTTTAGACAAGGCTCTACTTGTTCATTTGAAAAAAGAAAAAACAACAACCTATTCTAAGGTTACACAAATATATCATTACACCAGATTCCTGTGCCCTGCAAGATACTCTATTAACTCCTCAGGTAAATGGGGGGGGGGGGCTCTTCTTTTGGTGAAGTTAGTCACAGTCTGATGGTCTAGATCTTTCTCTTCCCTTCCTTTGCTGGTGGTGGTGCCCATCTCCCGCAGGTATTAGGATCAGTGCTGCCTTTGAACATCTAAAGTGTGCGTGAGAAAGGCTGAGAATTTTTAAGTGCTTCCCATGTAAAATAATTCGAAATAACCTAAAAATCATAAACTGAAATGCCCCACTTAAGGTTATGTGTGGACCCTCCTAGAAAGAGTATTCTTTTACAAAGTCAAGTCCTTTTCTTAATTCAAGGAATCTAGAAGCTACCAAATTAATTTCTTCTCCTGCAGGCTTTGATTTGGGGGAGAAGGAAGGGCGCACATGCCCTGAGGTGTCAATAGGCAACTGTAGGTTCTATTAACCTGAATAGCAACCATGACTTCCCATATGGGCTTCACCTTGTTTCTAAGGTTCTTCTGAGCTGGTTCCTATAGGTAGTGTAAGCCTTTATGTTGAGGTTGGGTTTTGTGTCCATCTGCTTCTTCCACACAGTTTGAGTCACAAAGAAGCAGTTAAATTAACCTCTGTGTGCACACACTTACATTTATTTATTTATTTTGGGTTTTCTTACCTGTCCGTCTCTCCCCTTGTCCTTTGCTGGTGTGGGTATCATCTGGGGAAGCTGTTTTTCTCCTTGTACACTGGTTTAAAAATAAAAAAAGTGTAGGTAACACGGCTTTGGTACAGATTAAGTTTGTGTAATCTCTTTAGAGGTGTTAGAGGCCTTCTGCACTTAGGCTTGCTTTGAGGAGTCCTGCTTATTGGGGAGAACTGTGAGGTATCGTTGCTGCAAGCAATGTTTGTGGTTGGGCTCATCTGCTGCTGGTAGAAAGGAAAGGGAACAGAGGTTTTCAGGACAGGAACTCTTAAAACTCACGATGAACCTCTTAGGGCAGTGGTCCCCGTTCTCCCCTGCCCTGTGTAGCAGTGTGCTACAAGCAGCGTCCAGTTTTGCTCTTCCTCTCAGCCTTGGATTTAACCTTCCATTTCATGTAACTGCAGGAAGCATTAGGTTTCAAACCATGGGCTGGGGAACCACTGAACAAGCAACACAAAGTGAACAGAAAGGATGTCTGCCTGTGCTGGGAAATAGTCTGGGGCTAAGCCTGGCTTCGTTTTAGCATGAAATTATTGTAGGGACACCAGCTTGAGAATCACCGTTACCGATGTGCAAATACATTAGCTTGTATTTTAAAGTCCTTGTAGGTTTCTCTCCAGCTGCTAGCAAAACTTACTCTTGCCTTCTTTCTTTAATAGTCCTTCTTTTCGGAAGTCACGGATGTCAAGGGCACAAAGCTTTCCTGATAATAGACAGGAGTTCTCAGGTATGTCAGTGTCCAGTATAAAGAGTTCTTGATCCAGACATTTTTGCTGTTTGCTGGCTAGCCTCCGTGTTTGCTGGGATGATAAAAATAGAGGAACTGGGGATATGTTGATTGAAAAGTGCTGAAGTTATTTATTTCCTACATCTTCCTAAAAAAAAAAAAATCAAAAAAATCTGCTGTATCGGGAAAATTCTGTCCTTAGAAAATGTGTGCTTTTTGAAGGAGCCTCACTTCTCTCTTGGCATCTACTTCCAGACCGCGAAAATCAGATCTATGACAAAGCCGGGAAAGGTGGAACCTACCCTCGGCGCTACAACGTCTCCATGCAGCACAAAGACTACAACGATGGTGAGTGGTGTTCAGACCTTCATTCCAGACTTGAAAAAGAAATTGAAGCAATGGCAACCTCCAGGGACGAGCAAAACTCTTCAGGAGTCTCTGAATACCCCGCTCCGTGCAGTTAGTGCCCGAGTTGCTGCTACTGTGCATGATGCTGCACATGATGCTTGTCCCTTTCCAAAGGGACACAAGATTTCTTTGATTATTTTGCCCTTTCTGGATATATACAGGCTGATCTGTGAGTGGTAAGGTTGAGCATTGGACATATTTATTCCTACCTGAAGGATTCACCATGCTTCGCTAGTTTACAATGCAAACTTGGTGCTGTGTATTTTAAAACAAGATATCAGGGACACAGGCACAGCTCTGCTAGGCAGGCTTTAAGGAAATTAATTTCTCCAAGTTCCATAAGAGGTGCAAATTCTCGTAATCCTTGTGTGTGTTTTTTATTTTCAAGTCCAGGCACGTTATTTAGAAAGTCATTCTGTCTATGTGGTTGTTAACAAGCTTTGGAGCTTGTGCAGTAGCTTGTAAACCAAATTTTGCTTTGGAAGGCAAGTTCTGTTTAGATCTTGATAGAAGCACAACAGCTCTGAGGACGTTACAAAGTGTTCTCTCCCCTCTGCCTTGGGAGTCATCCAAAGCTGTGCTGAACTCAACATCAGCCCTGCGCTGTTACATTTTTGCATATTGTCTGTTTGGTAGTAGGTTGTATTTCATGGGAAAAGAACACAACGTGTTTTTTCAGTCCCTTCTCTTCTGTGTTTAACTTCCAGCCATTACCTCCCAGATGTAAGGATGTCATTTAGAAATTTTACCATTTTTCTCCAGGTCGGAGGACGTTTCCCCGGATACGGCGTCACCAAGGGAATCTTTTCACTTTGGTGCCTTCAAGTCGTTCCTTAAGCACTAACGGGGAGAACCTGGGCCTGGCATTGCAGTACCTGGACCCCCGGGGGCGCCTGCGGAGTGCTGACAGTGAAAATGCCCTGGCTGTGCAGGAGAGGAACATTCCCACTAAATGTAAGTGGTCACCTCGATGCTGGAGAAAGGCTTCCTGGGGTTACAGGCAGGCAGGGCTGTTAGAGATGAACTCCAGATCCAGTTTAGACTATAGCTTGATTTTTAACAAGCCATTCCAAACCACATAATCACGTGGCTGTGTTTTGCCACCAGTCTGTCTCACCAATGAGAGGTCCTTTTTTTCCCCTCAATTGAGGTGGTTTAGAAGCTGGTGATAATCTTTGGTCAAACAACAGTCCAGGAAGGCAAGTGCTGCTTGTAAAGCATTTTTAGATCTGCATAACCAGCTGTTTTCTACCGCCTCCTATTTTGGTAGTAAGGTTTAGCAAGTTATATTATAGTCCACAGTAACATGATCGTGTAAGAAAGATTTTAGGAGTTTGCTGGGCTTGAAAAAAATCAGTAGTTGTTAAGTAAAAATATGTAGGCTTTCATGTAAGATGGCTTTTCCTTTAGAAAGCATTGGAAATTCAGCTAAGAAATTACCAAAAAAAAAAAAAAGTTGATTGGATCTAGATGATATACAGGATTCTTTAACCAGGCATACAAGCTTATTTTCTTGATACATTAACATTTATACTCAGGCTTGTGGATTACAGTTATTTTACAGTTAAGGACTATTTATTTCACTTGCTCCTTAGCAGAAAGATGTACTTCTGTATTTATAACATCCCTGAGTTGTTTTTTTGGGAACGTTTTATTATTGTTTTAAAAAAGGGGAAAGAGAGCATCAATCATTAGTAATGAACTTCAGCGATCCCATACAGTAATTTAGGGATCAAAATAAAGACATTAAGCCAGCAGAGCAAGCAACGCTAAAACACCGACTGGCAGTAAATCTGATTAAATTAGACATGGCAAAGCTAATCTCTGAGCTTTTCTGTATTTTCACACTGTCCAGATGGCTGGTTCCTGTCTGTGTTTTTACAATTTCTTGTTAGATGCAGCATAATTGGAAGCATCGCGCTGCATGTGTCTGGTAGTGTCCTTCTCAAAGTTTGAGTTAAAGCACTGCTCTCTGAGTAATGTGCTGTGGTGTTAAGTGCAATCTGGAAAACTGGGCTCAGGACTTTCTGGGTCAGGAGGCTGCCACTTGTACAGTGAGCTGGCCAGTACAGCAGAACAAAGAGAACTCGTAATTCCCTGCTGACGTAACCTCCTGCTGCTTTAGCTGGTTCTCATGTGTGTCTTTTAGAGTCTTAATTGTTCAGCAGGTGATGAAGATACCTTCACTGTTCTTACGTTATGTTCCCTACCATACACATTTCTAGTAGGGAATTCCTCTGTTGTAGAGATAGCCTTGCAGTAAAATCCTTCATGCAGGAGAAGGAACCCCAAAATAACGAGTAGTTGGCAAAGGACTCAGAAATTGTGTCCTTCACATTGTCCCAGAAGCTTAGCAGTCATTCTTAGACAGGTGGGATTGATTTAGCAAGGCTGAACCAGCTCTTCTTCATCTGATGTGTGTAGTACATACATATCAAGGGTCGGAAGGCCCTGTTTAGTTGCTGCCCCATCTCTTAAGATCGTGGTGTTGTAGAATCCACCCTGCTGGCAGAACGGAATTCTACCAGCCTCATTTAAAACTTGTCTATAGCGTATCTTTATGAAATGTTGCACAGTTTCCCTTTGATGGGATGCTGTGGCCTGGGAGTCTGGATGGTTGAATTCTGTTCAGAGCTCTGCCACTAACTGCTGCTCTGAGAGTCCCTTTCATGTCTGTTTCTTCATCTGCAAAATACCTGCTTCGGTCTTGCTATGATGGGAATCGATCTTTGAAAAGCTCACCGTTACCTATAAATAGCACAGCCAAAAAGGAGAATTTTTCTGCTGTTTTTTAGCTCCGAGTGCTCCAATAAACTGGCGACGAGGAAAACTGCTGGGCCAGGGTGCCTTTGGCCGTGTGTATTTGTGCTACGATGTGGACACGGGCAGAGAGCTCGCAGCTAAGCAGGTCCAGTTTGACCCAGAGAGTCCTGAAACGAGCAAGGTAATTGTCTTTGCAGCTACTAAACTTTGCCGTGCAGACTCTGAGATCCTGTAATTTGTCTGTATCTGTCTGCCCTCGAAAGCTGGCATCGTTATTTAGTTTGTACTAAGGTTTCAAATCACGTGGAGAGGAATAGGAGTCATTTAAAAATTGCTTTTCCGTATTATTAACTTCAGTCTGAAACTAAAATCCATTTTCTGGCTTCATTTTTGGCTGTCTATTCGCAGCTTTTTGGTTTGTTGCCAGGTTACTTGAGGAATACTAGACTGCCCTGTGTTCCTGGTTAGACACGGATGTGAGTGAAACTAGACCCAGAAAGAGCAGGACTTTTTTTTTTTTTTTTTTTTTTTAATTAAGAGAAGAAAAAAAAGCTTCACGCACTTGCAAAACCCATTTTCTGGGCTTTTATGGCTTTCTGGGCCCTATATCGAGTATATTAATTAATAGTTGCCTGTTTCCATTGCTGAATTCTCTTTGTCCTCAAGATGGACTGAACAGTGGTGTGTAAATTAAGCAAGAACATGGTGTGACAACACAGTAGGGATGGTGGTGATGGGAAGGGGTACCTTGAAACTGTACAATAGCAAATGATTCCCTTGCAGTGAATGCAGATGGATTGACTGTTAGGTTTTTGCTACTATTTGAACAAAGAACTGATTTCCCAATATTAAACAAATCCACTCTGAGCTGAAATAACTGATCCATGAAGATTTAATTATTCTGACTTTATGTGGAACATTGATGCCAAGAGCAGGCCTAACTCGGTACGTTTTAAGTTGTACCATGTCTCTGCTGTAAATCAGACAGTAAAACTGAGCCAAGGAAGATCAGGCTGGAACAGATTTTGGAGGCACTGGAACTCCAAACCTTGAACTATCAGTTGGCCCCATTGAGCTCCTTCCTCTGGTTACATGCATCTCTGCAGCAGCCAGGTCCCTGCTCTCGGAGAGCTGTATCCTCTCCTAAAGTGAGAGGAGCAAATCTGGCAGCTTCCAGCAGCAGGGGAGGAGAGTCCTATGAGGAGCGGCTGAAGGAGCTGGGCTTGTTCAGCCTGGAGAAGAGGAGGCTCAGGGGTGACCTTATCACTCTGTATAAGTATATTAAAGGAGGCTCTAGCGAGATGGGGGTTGGCCTGTTCTCCCATGTGCCTGGTGACAGGACGAGGGGGAATGGGCTAAAGTTGCGCCAGGGAAGTTTTAGGTTAGATGTTAGGAAGAATTTCTTTACTAAAAGGGTTGTTAGGCACTGGAACAGGCTGCCCAGGGAGGTGGTTGAGTCACCATACCTGGAAGTCTTCAAAAGACGTTTAGATGTAGAACTTAGGGATATGGTTTAGTGGGGACTGTTAGTGTTAGGTCAGAGGTTGGACTCGATGATCTTGAGGTCTCTTCCAACCTAGAGATTCTGTGATTCTGTGATTCTGTGAGTTAAGTGGGACTAATTTGGGGGAAACCATCGTTCCTTTTTCCATAAGTCCTCGTGCTCCAGTGCCTTTGATGTTCAGCCTGTTCGTTCCCTGGATTCAGCAAGAAGCTGATACTTTTCCTGGACAACAAACATCTCCGATTCAGTCTGAAGCTGTTGGATAGCCTTTTTGCCTCTGCACTACGATACCCTGTTGTTTGTGGCAGACATAAAGCAGAGAATTAGTTTCACGTGCATAGCTGCAGATTCCTTGAAGTAAATAAGAGGAAACTGTTTCTAAGGTTGATCCAAGTAAAATCATCAATGTGAACCATAGCAGGACTACATGAGAAAAGAAGTCAGGAACTTTTAGCTCCTGTAATCTAGCTATCTAATGGATTGGGGTTCCTGCAGAAAGATTCCTGGCCATTCTGTAGCAATGTGTTCAGACCTTTTTCATAATTAAAATTAAAGCTCACTGCCATCAACTTAGTGCTGAGGAGTAAGGCTATTGCTGTGTTGTGTGCAAATAATTCTTTCCATCAACTTAGCTGGAGCTATTGAATAACTAGGTGACAGAATCAAGGCAACAATGTTTTTTTGTGTTTTTTTTTCTGGTACTAAATTCATATATGATACTTCTGTTCTATTTCTAACATCTGCACTGCTACTACCAACACAGGAAGGATTGACTTGAGGCATTGATGAATGTTTGCCTTCCCAAGAGCTAGTTGAGCCAATGCCATGGATTAGACTGTATCAGTGTAGTAGTGGTCTCATCCTGACAGTATAAGGAAGGATTTATGAGGATGGAATATTCCTTGAAGCCAAAACTTTTTCTCCTTCAACATCCGTAGGAGGTGAGTGCCCTGGAGTGTGAAATTCAGCTGCTGAAGAACCTCCAGCACGAGCGTATTGTTCAGTATTACGGCTGCCTACGGGATCGGGCAGAGAAGACCTTGACCATCTTCATGGAGTACATGCCAGGGGTAAGAGCTGGAACAAAGCGAGAGGGACGGTTTTGTTGATTTGTAGTAAGCTTTTGCTTCATCTGTGTAATCCATCAAACACTGGAACAGGCTTTCTAGTGAGGTGATTGATGCCCTCATGCCTGTCAGTGTTCAAGAGGCATTTGGATAATGTTCCTAACAATATGCTTTATCTGTTGGTTAGCCCTAAAGTGGTCTGGCAGCTGAACTTGGTGATGTTTGTAGGTCACTTCTAGCTGAAATATTGTATATTTCCATGTTGTGTCCTGTTAGGTATGTTCCCTTCTCATAATGTGTTACAGTGCCACTGACTGCTTGCTTTCTATTCGTGCCCAAATCACCTCTTTTGTTTTTTTCCTAACGTGTCTTGTAGTTGAAATACGTTCTGTTCATTCATCACTAAAGCTAATTCTTTCCTTCAGTCTAAATTTGTTCTGCCAAAGTACTTGAAAGAACTTGGGCCAACTTGTAAATTGGGATAACTGAATTAGCAGAGGCATACAGTGCAGCAAATTAGCTTAAAAATGACCCTGCAAAAAGGGAAACCTTTGACCCGGATCTGTCTGCTGAACTAGTTTATTGCTTGTGTCCACAGACAGTTGTATCAACACAGTGAGAGGATGGAGGAAGCGCGAAGAACCTCCTCAAGCTATTTTTGCTGTAAAGCCATGTCCTTGCTTTTCTCAAAAGGGGCTTCATAGGGCAAGAAGTTCTGAGCACCTCACAAAAGGGCTTTAGAAGAGGCCAGAATTCATTACTTGTGCTGGTTGGGTATATAACACAGTCACAGCTCTGGGAATTGAATGGAGACTGCAAGATTTGTGGTTTGTCATTTCTTTGCCAATCTTTTCCATTTGTTTTTGGTGCAGGGGTCAGTGAAAGACCAGCTGAAGGCGTATGGTGCTCTCACGGAAAATGTAACCCGGAAATACACTCGTCAGATTCTCGAAGGAGTCTCGTACCTTCACAGCAACATGATTGTGCACAGGGACATAAAGGGTGAGATCAGCTGGTGATTTATATATATAACACGTGCTGAAGGAATTGTGGGGAAAAGAAGCCCAATGTTAAATATTCGGCATCCTGGTTGTGGCTTCTTACTATCGCTTTGCTCAGATATCCCTTTTTGTCTTATATCCTGTCCAGGTCTTAGGGATGGAGATATTCTGGGCTGGGCGAGGGAAGTTGGGCTGTTCTCTCTACAGGACCTGGGAGCGTGGCAGTTGGTGTTTGTAGTAAGGAAGACTGGAAGCCTCTAATTCTTAGGACTACTCAGCTGCAACTCCACCCCAGTAAAATGAGGTTAAGTTGCCACCTGACTTTCACTGCCCCCATAACACAAGTACATTTCCCTGTTGATTCCCTTTTAATTTCCTCTCTGACCAAAGTGCCATTTCTCAGCTGTTAAGCATACCACTTGCTGTCAGAGCTCAGTGCCTGCTTTTGACAATCCTGCTTACCTCAGGCTCTTGTGACTTGTCTTTCCTGCTCCGTGCAAGGAACCTCTTTAACTTTGCATATAAAACTTGCGTGATCAGTCCTTAGTTGTCCTCTTCCCAATATAACCCCATGGAGCCAGGCAGTCTCCTTAAGAGTTAATGTCAACAGATGTGGCAGACACCACACACATTTTTCTGTGCTCTAGAGGGACGGGAGCATTGCTCGCTGTAAGAAAAATATCTTCTTGTTCCTGCCTATAAATCTTCATTGCCTCCCCTCTAGGCTTGGCAAAGGGAAATGAGGTGCTGATTCTTGAATAACACCTTGTATATTGCTCGTGTGGTGCTCTTTACCAAATGATTTCCTACCGATGGATTATTCAGTAGTCTGCACCCATTTTCCAGACCAAACTGTTCATTTGTCCCTAGAGTGCTAGATCACAAGACTTGCTATTCCAAATTCAGCTCTCCCACTGGGGAAGAGGAGTGGTAAAGCCATCTCACAGCACAAATGCATTTTACTGGGGGGCAGGAGGAGTTCACCTAGGTATATACCAAATAATGGCAACAAAGGGTTCTTGAGCTTATTGCAGCTTTGGAGGAAGAATTGTTTTTGGTGTCTAAGCCTTAGCTTGTGTCCACACACAAGCTATCCTCTAAGTTTGCTTTTTTTTTTCCTCTGTGTTTCATGTTCAGGACCTCTGACCAAGTGAAGTGGAGATTGACTTGTTTATTGTAGGAGTTCAAAGTGGTTTAATTAGGTACATCTGTTAACCATTGCTTTCTGGTCAGCTGGGTATATTCACCAAAGTTGTATCCAAATAAAATCCTTTTCTACACAGCCATGAACTATCTAAGCCATTGGCCTAGGGGCCCTGTATAGGCTGTCTGCACTGTTTACAGGCAGTGTTAACAATGACAGTGCTGACTCAGCTCTCATTTCCCCTCCCCCTTTGCTTCCTTGTGTTTTTCCCCTGAAGTTTTTCCCATTTGCAGCCATTAGCAGTTGGCTTGTCTACAGCCTGAAATAAAGAAATGATGTTTAGCAGGTCACCTGAGGCTTAACAGGGTTGAAAGCCATACCATGAGCATGGGTATTTCTGGGTTGGATATCAGCTTCGTAGGCTGCAGATCCAACAGCTGGATTGCATGAAAACATCTGTCTCGATTCTTTCTTTTTTTTCCCCCCTTCTTTCTTTTGTCCAGGAGCCAATATTCTCCGTGACTCTGCTGGGAATGTGAAGCTTGGGGACTTTGGGGCCAGCAAACGGCTGCAGACAATCTGTATGTCTGGAACAGGCATCCGCTCTGTCACTGGCACACCGTACTGGATGAGCCCAGAGGTGATCAGCGGAGAGGGCTATGGAAGAAAAGCAGACGTATGGTGAGGGATCGACTTTCTTTCTGTCAATCAATTTAGAGCTTTTCTGGAGTGAGATTATAGAGATATATACCTTATCCCTAAGATAATAGGCATACACATCCTGTTATCCCTATATAACCAAATTCAGATTTCATCTGGATCAAAAGTGTGAGCAGTTTAAGGTGAACTTAAGAAGTTGGTTTGAACTCAAGACATGACCTGCTGCAGGCTGAGCTGTGCAATGTCAACACACAAGTGCCCATTTAGTGTTTCCATAACAATTTCCATTTGTTCCTCCCTCGAACTGATAGCCAGTTCCCTAACTTTCTGGTGCGAGGTTTCCACCCTTCTTATATCCCTTATGTTGATAAGAGACCGAAGTTTGTTTGGGGAGAGTCCATTCATTTTGTTTTAAAATGAGAGGTATGCTTATAACCCTGGAATTGAACAGAATTTGAGTATGTTGACAAAGCTTTAAAGGAAAGATGCCCGAACCTGGAATAACACACAAGGTACAGGTCAGATCAGAGGTGATCTGAAGCATGCATGAGTGGAAACTGTAGCCATGCTATTATTGGCATAGCCAAGAAACGGCCTTTTTTGAAAGGCAAAAGAAAATGGTCCTGTGTCAAAATGTTAGTTTTGGAGGCTTTAAAAAGGTGAGATTATAAAAGCAAGCTAAACGACAGCAACAAAAAGTAAGTTTGTGTCTCAACAGTAAAGCAAGGCCTGTGCTATTTCCCATACAAGCAGCGAGTGGAAACAGAGCTGAAATTTTCTCATATGCAAAGAGTTAAGTTCTGCATAGTCTCCCAGTTGGGATGCTTTGGGAGAGAACGGAGCACGTGCCCTTCCCCCTGGATTGCTGCAGTTGTGGATTTCCTCTTGGTGCTGACATCGGTCCATTCCCATCAAAGAGACACTGCCGTTGGCTGGGCTCCAGTTCCTACAATCCCCATCGTTATTTAGGGGGGTCAGAATTTTCCAGCGCAATGTTAGTCCCAGGGTGGATGCGTATGGCCAAGAGGCTCAAAGACGTAACAAATCTAGCCACCTGGCTTTCTGCCACTGCTGCAGGCCCCTCTCCAATTTTCTTTTTCCTAAATAGCAGAATATGTGAGCTATTTGTTATTGCTGGAGTGACTTGACATGAAAAACATTCCTGCTGTTTGCTGAATATCTTAAAGAAACCGGATCTGCTTAAACGGTATAAATCAGTCTAAACAATAATATATCCCTGCTTGCTCTTGAGCAAACCCCCAGCACTTCAGCACACATGGTTTGCATTTTCTGTACTCTCTTCGAGTAAGTCTTAAATGGCTGGAAACCAGTGTAAAATTTTCACGTTGGAGTTTTAAACCTTGTCAAGAAGTCGTTTCTTGCATATTCACTGGGTTTAATTCCTTTCCTTCCTTGTCTTGGCAATTGTTGCAGGTCTGCCTCTGAAAATGTCTTTTCTTTGTATTTCACTTCAAAAGAAGGTGTAGTTTAAAGGTAGACGAAGCAATTTTGCTTTTTTTAATGGACCAGTGTGATCAGAACACAAAACTGCATGTTCGAAGTTCATTAGCTGCCTTTCCTTAATCTGTGGCCTTGAGGAAGCAATCAGTCCTTTTTGTACAAAAAAAGGGTCACTGCTGTACTACAGAAACCTGTGAAAGTTTCGGTGTCACACTCGCTTCAGAAAGGTGGCTAAGCCGTGTCTGTCCTCATAATCACGTTCTTGCCTTGAATCACTCCACAGAGCCCCATTATAACTTCACTAGTTGTTTTTCCCTAACGTATCGATGCATCTGTCCTACTGGCATCTTAATTTGCTGCCTTTTCAGTTTGGAGCTGTTAAGATTTTAATTACTTTTTGACTGCGGCAGATGCTTGGTGTCTAGTGGAGACTGGAGCTTTCTCGTGTGGGTATTCCAAGGAAGAGCAATGAAAAGGGGTTTTGCCAAAATGGCTTTGTGGAGTCAACCAGCTGTGATTTACTGGACTTTAGCTCAAAGTCTGTTTTCTGCCCTGCAACCCAGCAAGTGCATTTGAGATAGCAGCAGCAGCACCTGAAATACCACTGAGGTCCAACAACAGCTTCAGGGGCATCTTGCGTGCACCTCTTTTCCCCCATTGTTAATACAAATGCTTACTGAGAGTAGAATTTGGGCGAAGGAGAGCCGGACAGATGGCGCTTCGCAGTTCTCAGAGCAGCAAGAACCCAGTGGAAACCAGGCTCCCTGTCTCAGCACTTTATTGCTAGGCTGCCAGCGGTAAAAGCAGCGATGCTGGCAGATCTGGCTGTGGATCTGTGCACACATGGCGTTTGCTGAGCACAAAGCCATTTTATAGCATTTTCAGGGCAGAGCTGTACCTTGGTGCTGCCTGTTTGGAAGTTCTCTCTGAACACTGAGCGTTATTGTGGCAGTTGGTTCTCACTTCTTTTTTTTTTTTTTCCTGTCTGCCTTTCCAGGAGCCTCGCTTGTACTGTTGTGGAAATGCTGACGGAGAAACCACCCTGGGCAGAGTACGAAGCCATGGCAGCCATCTTCAAGATTGCCACCCAGCCAACCAACCCCCAGCTCCCTTCCCACATATCAGAACATTGCCGGGACTTTCTAAAGCAAATCTTTGTGGAAGCCAGGCACAGACCCTCTGCTGAAGAGCTGCTCAGACACCAGTTTGCACAGCTCCAGTACTGAATTACCTCCCTCGCTCGCAGCTCCTGCTGGGCTTTCGGTGCCCCGCCTGGTCTAGTTGCAACTGCCCGTCGTGGTGCTGCATCTTCAAAATGCCAACTCAGCTGTCCTAGTCCTTTGGGGAATTTATGCCAGGGAACCTAGGGTCTGCCCTCGTGCCTGATACCTTTGTTTGCTGGACTAATGTTTGTTCTACCGACAGCTGTCTGAACAGAGCTGCATTTTTGCCCTAGTTTCCTTGATGTGAAGCTGTAGCTGGCTGCATGTTTTCTGCAGGCCCAAGAATGGGAATCTACAAGTGTCTCGCTGGTTGAACCTAGAAGAAATCTGAACCAAAGTGGGAACTGGAAGAGCTACACTATTCAGAAACGTGCAATGGCTACCCAGACCAGCTTTCTGCGAGTGGCTCCTCGTGTTGGGTCACTGCTTTCCAGACTTCTGGGGCTTTAGAGGCATCTATAGTACATGAATCCAGCAAAAAGCCATGTGTCATTGAGCATGCGCTCACTATATTATATATTTTTCTCCTTAAGTATTCAGCATCTGAAGGTGTTCAGAAAATATTGATTCAAAAGTATGTGAATAGTGTTATTTTATAATGAAACCATGGATTCGGGGGTGGGGGTGAGGGAAGTCTTTCTAGCTAAATGTCAGGATAATCAGAAAAGTTTCAGCAGAATGCAATCACTCTAGGGTCTAAGGCAAGAGCTCTCCCACTGACGTTAGAAAAATCCGGAGCTTGATTTCCAAGGCTTGATCTGTCCTAGCATTAAGGCAATGCTGGTAAGCTTGTGTCCTCGTAGCCAACAAATCTGTGTCCCTGGTTCATCTCCCTGAGACTGTTGGGTCGAAACAAATCCCTTGTGGAAGGGAGATGTGCAGAACAGCTTTGTGTTGTACCTATCTTTTTGGCTGGTAACTTTTTACCATCCCTTAAACCAAAGATAGTTTACTGTGGTGTCCAGGAATGTACTTCAGGAAAAGCTTACGAGTTTCTTTGATGGCCTGGCCCGATGGAAAATTAAGAAAAGAGGTTGCTGTTTTTTCATGGGGAGAATTTGCTGGACACTAGTTTTACTTGTGCACAGTAAGCTAGAGTCAAGGTGAACCCTTCAGCGAGTGTTTTGTTTTACAGGTGTGCAAGTGTTCATTTCAGGTTTCCATAAAATATTTTGGTCCTATTTAAATGAGTTTTTGTACAAATTAAGTAAACGGTGAAACAAGGAGAACACTTGTAATGGTAGTGTATTTGTGAAACTAGATGAGAGGGTTGCAGAGATCCCCAGGCAGGTACCAGCAAGATCTGTCCAAGTCATTCTGCATTTGAAGTGTTCCACCTGATAGCAGATTTCCTGATGGGGCACACACGGTCCTTACTTCACATAGAAGAGCAGCAGTTTTTAAGTGCTGGGGATTCTTGGTTAATTAATACATTTTCTGTGTGAAATGAAACTAAGAAAAGAAAGCACACTGCTAGCTAAAATATTGCTTTATAGAGCAACATCAGAGGTGTTCTGCTCTTGTATTGGAAACCTCATTAACGGTCCACATGCCTCCTCCTCCCCTCCTTAAAAAAAAAAAAAAAAGAAATCACTTTCCTAATGAAGTAAAATTAACAGGAGTTCATTTTAAGTGAAAGCTCTTAGCAGGATAAGGCAAGTTTTAATGAAACCAAGCTCCTTAAACACCCGACAAATAATATGTGAAATTAGAAGAGGGAACTAAAAAGAAGAAAAGCCCTGAGAGGCTTTAACAATCTGACGTGGTTTTTCTGTGCCGAACTCAGAGCAATGTGTAATCAGTGAAAGAAAGCTAGTGTTGGTTTCCCTTTTGGCTCTCCTGCACCACTACAAGGATGCACTGTTTAGGGTGCAGGCACTTAGGGGGATTTTTATTTTTTTTTTAATGAAAGCCCTTGTTCTATAATTTATTTAATTCTAGTGAGAGCACTTCTATTGATCTCTTTAAAATCTGGAACTTGACTCCAAATTGTCCAGACACATGGCCTGACTTTTGGCCTGCACTTCACTGTCGCTTGCACCAGAGGAAGGTGAGGGCGTAACACTACTGTTCTGTTCGGGGGAGCTTTTTACACCACTTTGCTGTGGCGTAAATGGCTGCGTATGCTGCAGAGGGATGTGAAATCCTTCCCGTAGTCTCGACAGAAGTAGGGTGGTCAGCACTCCTGTGGGGCCCGGTAGCACTCTTCAAGCCTTGCAACTAGCACCTGAACGTACCAAAGATTGGAATCTTTTATTTTTCACACTTGAACCCGCAGGCGTAAAGCAGCGACCTAGACTGCAAGTGATGCTGTCCGTGTAGGTTTCTCTGTACCCTCGGCTTGTCCTCACCAAATCGAGACCTCCTTCCGTGGTCTTTCCTTGCCATCCCACGCATCGTGTCTTGGGAGAATAGGGCATGAGGAAATGGTGTCACTTTTAATGTTTCGAAGCAACTAAATCCTCAGGATCTGTTGTGGCTTTTACCTCATACGCGGCATGGAAGGCTGTGCCAGAGCAGAGCAAAGAGCGTCGTGGGCTGATGGGCTCAGTCCTTTCCCCGCCAGAGCTTCTGGGCCTTCCCACCACCTATGCTGAGATGTGCCTACTCTGTATACACTTGTATTCCAGTCTGTAGGAAGGGAAGTCAAAAGCAATTGTACAGTGACAAGAGAACATGGGGTGCCAGCTTGGACTTCTTGTATTCCAGTACCTGACCCAATGCCACCCGTTCGGCACAGGAACAAGCCAAAGCATTACTTGTATGTTTGGAGATGCACTTTTATGAATGTAGTTTATATCGCTCTTTTTTAGCTCTTTTTACATCATGTAAACGGTGATGCCTCATACTTTTTTTTTTTATTTATATCGTAAAAGATCATATTTGGTGATTTTTATATATATCGACTCGACTGTTACGGGGTAGGGGGGAGGATGGGAAATTAATTTGACGCCTTTATGAATTTAAAAAGGAAAAAAAAGCAGCTGGTTTTGCAGAGAATTTGCTGATGGTTTATAACAAGTAGAGCCAAGCCAAAATGCGTTCTTTGTTTCCTCACAGCCTTCTTGATTCTGAAAAGGAAGATCAGGATTCCTAAGTCCACGGCTACAGCGAATAAACGCGGGCGTAGCATTTATACTACAGTCTCTTTATACAGCCCCGACATCAAAAAAGTTTCAAGTGGACATAAATGTAATTATACCTCTAAATTGAATCATCACATCTGGCCTCTTTATCCTGGCAGAATTGGAAAAAAAAAAATGGGGATAAACTTGGTTAGGGGAGAGCAGAGGAGGGAGTGCCAGGCTAACAGAAAGCTGTTGTGTCCATTTCAAATGTCATTTTGTGTTTTCAGCTCTTCCTTCCTGGGAGGCAGATACCATGAATATTTAGTATCGGAATTCTTGATGGAAGGTGCTGCAAAAGTGGAGAAAATTCTGTGTAAAAAAATACAGGAGTGTTACTATCCTGAAACAGTTGTGAGTCTGAGCAGGAAAATGTCTGATTCCCATCAGAGAGGAGCTTGGGGGATTGGGGACTTTGGCTATCCGTGAGCTTGTTAGGAAGCAAACTATTGGCATTTTGGTCTTGGTGTGACGATTCTGTGCATTCCAGGTTACCAGCTTCTTCTCCACTACATCTGGTCTTTGCCTATTCTAATTGCTGTAGGTTGCAGCACTTTGGATTTTTTCACATTTTTGGAGTTGTATTCCAAAGAACTTGAAGATGTTCCAAAGAGGTTCCTTTGCCATTAATTACCAAAACAAATCAACCCAAAGGGAAATTGGTACCTGCTCAGGTGTCACACGTTATTTCCAAGTGCCAAGAGAGCCAGGATAACTTGTGAAACCTCAGTAACTCTATCCCTGCTGTACAGGCTTTCACTGGTAGGCAAAGGCACATTTGAAGCTGTGCAGGGACAGCTGAATGAGATCCCAGTGACTGGTTATTAGGTTCATAGCTGCTGGATGGAAAGGTTTTGTGTATTTGAATATGTACAGGCCTGTGGCTGTCACCTTGGTACCTGCCCTTGGAGCTGGGAGTATTCAGTCTGTCCTAATATTCAGAGGAAAGATTGGTGTTGTCTGTGGTTTAATGGTGTTTGGGCTTCAGCTCTCTAAACCCCAACCTTGTTCAGGAGCAAATCTCACAAAACAGCTCTGAATTCCCCAGTTAGAAAAGGCAGATGCCCAGGAGGCAGTTTCGAAAAGGACATCGTTGTGTGTTAACACCCGTCTGACACAAACCATGCAGAGCAGGGAGAAATTGCTTTAACCTGGATTGTGCAGAAGACCTTGAACCAGTAGTCTATATATACCGACCGGGGGCTTGCAGTGCAAAGCCAGGCCAATGTATCGTTTTATTTACAATAAAATTATCATTTATATGAAAGTCTTTTTGGTGGTTATTTGCAATGTAGCGTCTGTTGCTTCCCATGTAAATGATGCTTCTGGACAAGTTAATAAAGTAACAAGTTTTCCTCCTAACCAAGGACCTTAGCTGAAGGAAGAAATCTTTCATTTCAGGAATTTATATTTTGTGACAGATGGAGAAGTGTCCTATTTATGAAGCATTGCTTCTTGGATCGGGTAAGTGTCTGTCATCTGCAAGGCTGCCTCTGATGAAGGTCACATTCATCCATTCCCTCTCTCCAAAGAGGTAGAACGTCTCTGTCTAGGTATTTCCACTGCCCCTGTTGTAGTGTAAAAATAGCTGTCTTCATTTCACCTTGCAGGAGAGTAGCTGGTTCGTTAGCTCTTCATTTGGAGATACTTCTGATGGAGAGCAGAAGCTGAGGCTTGTGTTTGGATTGTGCTGCAGGTGGTGAGTTGTTCCGTCCAGACCTGGGTCTGTAAATGGCCCTAAATCATCGGTGCCTACGAGGGCAGATTGTCATCACGTGTGGGAGAGGGACCTGGGCAGTTCACAACAAAATAGAGGAGATGGTTTGTGTGGCAGTGTCTGCTGTGTGTGTTTTACTTGGGAGTACCCCTGAGGAGCTAGGTTAAGTGGGTATACTCCAGTCCTAGCTCATGAAGCTCAGCCTGCTTGGAAATGTGTTTATTCTACGTACCTGGAAACAGTTCCTGAGTTATTCTGCCTTTGCATGTGTTGCCATTTTAGACAGCAAAAATTTGGAGGAGTGTGGCCTCTGGGCTTCAGGCAAATGGGAGATTCCACGAGGTCCTCTGCCAGAACTGAAGCCTCCCAGCAAAAGTGGGGGGAATCTGGGTAGCCTTGCATTTGGTGTGCTAGGGATTTGGGACCTGGTAAGTTCAGCTGTCCTGGAGTAGGGCAAGGGATTGGGTGACCACATTTCCAACTATTTTCAGGCTTTATTTTTTTTCCAGCATACTATCTTAGGAAAGGACGGAAATAGTGCTCCTATAAAATTTGTCTACACTACTTGCTCAGATGCTCATTTTTTCCTGGTACTGTTCTCTCTGTTTATGTGTCTCCTGGTCTTCATTGTTGCTGCCACTTGAGCACAGTGGTTTGAATGCCACCAGGGTCCCCTGGGATGCTGGTTTCCCCAGGCCCTAACCACAGCCTTCCCTGTAGTCGCCTTTTCCCAGGCCAGGCTGTAGCTAGTTGCTATGCCAATTAAATACTGCAATATTTCTTAATGTAAATTATGAACAGATAAGAACAAATGGGTTAACAAGCTGATGCAATAAAAGCCCCGGTACATGAAACAAGTACGTGCGTGGCACTTGTGTGCTCTTCCAGAACAGCTGAGAACCAGACAATTGAAGCTGTCCCAGAATAAAGATGTCATGTGGAATTAGAAATAACCATCTGCCGCTGCGTCCTGACACCCTCTGTGTGTGTTAGAACCTGGACTGAAGGGGAAACTTAGAAACCTGCAGGCCCTGAAAACCACTGTTAGTGGAAGAGACCCCTCCCAGAGCCGATGCCTTTGTTCTCCTCCCCACTCGGTATATTGAGCGGTGACATTTTCCCACTCTGTGCTGTGCGGCCTCACCTCGAGCACTATGTGCAGTTCTGGGCACCACAGCACAAAAAGGACGTGAAACTATCAGAGAGTGTCCAGAGGAGGGCGATGAAGATGGCGAAGGGCCTAGAGGGGAAGGCGTGTGGGGAGCGGCTGAGGGCACTGGGCCTGTTCTGCCTGGAGAAGAGGAGCCTGAGGGGGACCTCATGGCGGCCTGCAGCTTCCTACAAGGGGGAGTGGAGGGGCAGGTGACCTATTCTCTGTAAACACCAGTGATAGGACCTGCGGGAATGGTGTTAAGCTGAGGCAGGGGAAGTTCAGGCTGGACATCAGGAAGAAGTTCTTCACCTCGAGGGTTGTCACACACTGGAACAGGCTCCTCAGGGACGTAGTCACGGCACCAAGCCTGTTAGAGTTTAAAAAGCGTTTGGACTGTGCACTTAGTCATATGGTCTGAATTTTTGGGTAGACCTTGATGATTCTTATGGGTCCCTTCCAACTCTGGATTCTATGATTCTAACATTTGCTTTATGAACAGGAGATGCACATCTCAGGCCTGTAGGATGGCATGTTTTCCCCCGGACTCCCCTCCCACTCCCCCCTCTAGAGACAGCTAGTTTATTTCCATAAATACAGCATGTGCTCCTGTCCTGAATCTTCACCATGCCTGTCCTTGGGTGGTGTTGGAGCCGAAGCTGGGAGAGGAAAATGACTCCAAGCTTGGGTTGAAGGTGGATACAATCAGCCCCAAAACACTGATCAATGCACAAAAGAAATAAAGCTAAAAACCTCCACTGCTTTTATGTTTTTGTGGTAATTTGTGTTACATGTACAGCGTGGCTTGAGGGAAGGTGACTTAAGGTAAGTTCCCTCTTTAAAGCCAGCGCTAAACAGTTCTGAAGCAAATGTAATTTTAAATCTCTGAAGAGATTGGTTATACTGCTCTGCTGCGGCTATTTCTGTTAGGATAGTAAAGTCTCAACTAGGAACAACGTCTTCTGGATTTAATATCACTTGGGTGTGGGTGTATTGCATTATATCCAGGAAATGCTGGCACGGTTAGCTGTCATGTCACTTGTTCTTCTGGTGTTGATCTCTGCCTAGTGCTCTGTGTCTTATCCAAAACTGGACATCTGGATGGTATCGATATAAAAAGGATTTTTACTGATTTTTTTTTTATCCCTACAATTTTTTTTTATTTTTTTTTTATTACGTGAATTTATTGGCTTGAATTCTTAGGCTCTGTAAAAGGTCCCTTCTTGAGCTGAAAGGCAAGCTGGCTAACAGGGAAGCCTTGAGCTTGTATGGAAAAGCAAAAAGAAAGCTTTGGTGTGTGCAGTACAAATCAAGGCTTTTGGGTGCCTGTCAGTTTTGTACTGTCAGTGGAAAGACCAGATCTGTGCTGCGGGGGGAAGGAGATGCAGGTGGCAGTCTGCCATTGTCTGTGCTTCAGATGAAGCCGGTTTGAGTGTTGCAGGAGTCATCGATACAGCCTGGAATAGCTTTTTGCTGCTATTAAAGGCGCTGTTCTCGAGCTCCCTGTTGCCTTGCAGCCCAAGAGAGCTACAGCATGTCGTGCTTTGGCTGCAGCTCTCACTGCCTCTCAGGCTCCTGTGCAGGGGTTAAGCTGCTTTCACTGTGCCGGAGCAACAAAAAGCAGCCCCGACAGGGACGAGGACACGACCTGAAATTATTTCCAGGTAGTTCATCTCAGCACAAGTGGGTGCAGGTCCTGTGCAGCTTCCTCGAGTAGGTCTGTGTGCAGCATCGTCCCCCTAACTCTTGCTTCACTTACCAAATAGTGCTGGCTGCTTTCTGAACCCAGCTGATGCTCCTTATCGCTCTGGAGCATCTTTGTCCCAGGCAGGCGCTGGGTGCCGCTGTGCGGTGCTGCTGAGCTGCTCCAGGGGGAGCACAGGGTGCTTTCGCCCTCGCTCAGCTTCTCCAAGTTGATGGCTGGCTTCTGGCCACTCCAACTAAAAAGCTGTCGTGGTGGTTGGCAGCTATGGGCGCTGGGAACCTGTGGTCTTTCTCTTCTTTGTGGTACTTAGGCTGTTAAATCTTACACTTCTGTGGGGTCTGAGCACCCTGGATCCTACAAACTGCAGGCGCACAGCACCAGCAGGTCGCCGGGCTGGACTGCTGCTCAGGGGAGGCTGGTGGCAGCTGGGATGAGGGAAGATGGCTTTTGTGCCTAAAGACGGAGATCTGAAGCAAGGGCGTCGCAGTGAGAAGTGAATCTTTAATCTTTGTCTCATAAAAACCCTCTCTGATGAGAAATTTCAAGCCGGGGTTTCTGTACTGCTGCTTCTTGGCACTCCCTGGGAATGTAAAGTGTGCATTGTCATCTGAGCACTGCCCCCGCCTTCAGACTTATCAGGCAGATCAGATGAGCACAAAGCGTTGTTTAAAACATCTTCCCATGTGCATTACCGCTAGGATTTCCCTGTGTACAGAGCTGGGCACGTTCGTCAGGGAGGCAGGAGTTTGCCTTTAGCTGCTCAATGTGCAGCAGCCGTTCTGTGAAAGTAGCTGGGTCGATTTCGGCTGTACCCGTGTGTGGATTTGATATTAATCAGATTTCCTTCCGTCCCCTCAACTGTGCCTGGGTCAGCTTGCTGCAGCCCAGTTTGGTGATACAGAGGATGTTGGTTTGTGTGCTCCAGATGAGAAAAGGGGCTGTGCAGAAAGCAGTGATACAGGAGATACTGTATCTTTTTTATCTATATTCAAAAGACCTCGCACCTCGTGGTCTTTTATCTGTTCCCTCTGTTTCTGCTGTATTGCCAAGACTTTGCTGTGCCCATGTGAGAAAGGGGTATGGGAAGGTGAGATGGTAAAGAATGGGGATTGCTACTGTCTTTAGACAGAATCCCAAATTTCAGTTTTTGGAGTGAAGGGAGGGAGAAAAACAGAACATTGTTCTTCTCATTTGTTGTCCTTTTTTTTTTTTTTCTCTTTGAACTGAAAGCCTAACACTTGAAAGCTTTTTTTCTCCCTCCCCTACCCCAAAATCGTTTAGTATAGTTTAAAATTCTTTGTATATAATTTCCCTGCTGTGTGGAAAAGAGCAGCAGCCTGCCAATGTGAGAGAATGGAGAAGTGAAGCCAGCACGAAACAGGAAACGAAATCGAGGAGCCTGCTTTCATTTTCTAAGCCGGGGTTGCTGAAGGAAGGGACCAGAAGCTGATGGGGTCACGAGGCCCCCTCCACAGACACTTGGTGCTTTTGTTTGTATTACAGTGAATCCTACAGGGTTGGTCAGGATGTGGCTTTTGTTATGGTGTAAGCGTGGTGTGTGCTGCACGGCTTTTGGTGTAAAGAGGAGTCAGCAGCTCCGGGTGGTTGTGGTGGTTGGAAGCATTTTGTGAGGCTCGGGCTCCAGGCTCTCTGTGTGTAGTCCTGGCTGTGCTGGCACTGGAAATCCCCAGGCAGTGCCCACCCCACAGACCTGCCTGCAAAACCTTTGAACTGACGAGGAGAAATGACTCCTCCGAGCTCCTGGGGTCATCCAGCACACAACTCCAAAATCAGGTGGGACTGAGGGAATGGCCTCACGTTGTGCCAGGGGAGGTTCAGGTTGGAAATGAGGAGACATTTCTTCTCAGAAAGAGTGGTCAGGCATGAGATTGGGAAAAATTTCTTCTCAGAAAGAGCAGTCAGGCCTTGGGACGGGTGGTCAGGCCCAGGGAGGTGGTGGAATCACCGTCCCTGGGGGTTTTCAAGGAAAGGTTGGACGTGGTGCTTAGGGACATGGTTTAGTGGGTGATACTGGTGGTAGGGGATTGTTGTACCAGATAATCTTGGAGGTCTTTACCAACCCTAGTGATTCTATAACTGCAGCCTGCTTCACCAGTGAAGGAGAGCCGTGGAGGAGCCTGGCCATCAGGGTGTATCCCATGCCCAGAAGGACCAAGGGTGAAGTATTGAGGCCTCCAGCTCCCCCGGGAGGAGCACCACAGTTACCTGGGCTGAGACACATCTGAAGAGGCACCGTTGGTTTCCCGTGGATGGCCCATGCCCATCTCCTCCCCTCTTTGGTGGTTTCTTGGCTGGGTCTGGGTTCTCCCAGCAGCGTTTGGTGGTGGACAGGACCTCAGCAGGAGCTGCTGTTGGGCTCTGAGCAGCCCAAATCCCACAGTACTTAAAGCCAGGAGGTTCCTCACTGCTTTCTCTTTCAAACCAGCCTTGCAAATCCGTGTGTGTGGAGGCAGCAGGTAAATAATAATTAAAAGCAGACCCACCTGCTTTCCTTAATCCCATTGCACTAGGTCTCCAGCCTGGCAGGCCTTGCTGGACACATTAATTTGTATTAATTTGTGTGGATTCCCCTGTGCAGGCATCACAGCAGATGGGGATGGGCCAGGCCGGGCCAGGCCTCGCATTGCCCCAGCTGCAGCGTGAAGCGAGCCCACATCGGGCTGCAGAGGCAAGGCACGGTGTTTATTGGTAAGGGGAGGGGGAAGCAAGCCACGAAGTGTATGAAGGGCAAAATTTGATATGGCAGTGAGTTGCCTTTGAGGGTGGTCTGGGCTCCAGGTGGAAGCTGACGTGGTTACAACAGCTTCGGGTCGGGGCTTGCAGCGCGCAGGGTGCTGATGCTGCTCAGGGCTTCACATCGCTCAGGATTTCCACACCCAGGAATAATTTCTTGGGACTTTATGGGCAGAAGCTCTTTCCACAGCAGCTGCCCAGACCTGACCGCTGCTCCCACCTCCCCGTGTCCCCAGGAACACAGGACAAGACAGGGAAGGCTTGGAAACCTTGTATTACAAAAATAAAAGAGCGCATGGCGCAGTGTCACACGTGAGGCCCTGCCGGGCTCCAACGCAGAACGTACCAAAGAAAGGCAAATATAAAAAAGACAGACACTGTTAAACAGTCGCAGGGCAACATCCTTAAGGCTGAACAATCCCAGCTGAACGGAGCTGATGTAAACCAAAGACCCTCCTTATTCAGAGCCCCAACAAGGCAGAATCGGTGTGGCAGGAGCAGGGAGCTCTGCTCTGACCTACAGGCTAGGTTGGGGCTGGCTCTCAGAGCCCCCAGATCTCCTTTTCCATGGTAGCAGGCCTGATATGTGTGAACAGGGCTGGGGCATTCCCATGGGGGCAAGTGCTTCTGGTCTGATCTCATCAGGGAGAGAGGGCTTCAGGTTTGGGGGCTACACCCCGCTCACCTCTGCCCTGTCCTTAGGTTCTGCAGGACCCCTCTAGACATCCTCCAGAGGCCTCAAAATCGGGCTGCCTCCCTTCCCTTACCGCCCACGGGCTCTTGGGGTCCCCTTTGCTTTACATCAGCTCAGTTAGCTGCCGGCTCAGCAGTGCTCCGCGCCGTCTCTGCTCGGCTCCATCCAGGGAAGGCTGGGCTGGGTCCCACTCACGCCGTCTTGGTCCCGCTCTCCACTTCCTTGTGCACCCACAGCTCTTTGTGCTGCTTGCGCCCGAAGCCCTCGTCGTAGTTGCCTTTGCTCTTGAAGAGCTGCTGGAAGTGGGGCTTGCAGTAGAATTCCCCGTGGAGCGCCGCGTAGCTGCCCAGGCTGGGGAAGGAGAAGGGGTTGGGTGGGCAGGGGACAGCTGGGGGTGCTGGGGGGCTGGGAGGCTCAGAGAGGGGAAGGAGGAGGAGGGAACATGCTGCCCCTTAGCAGAAAGGGCCAGCTGCTCACTCCAGGGGTCTTGGGGCTGCTGTGAGCAGCCTTAAGGGGCTGCAAAGAGGGGTCCTGCAGGGCAGCTCAGCCTTTGCCCTGTGTCAGCTAGGAGGAAGCTCTGGCATCCCCGTGGGGCTCTGTCCCTGCTCTCGAGGGGAAAAACTCTTCTTCCGTACCAGGTGGGATTAAAATGAGACTTGGGACCAGATGGGACCACGGCCCTTAATGCTGTGATCGGGAGACCGATGGCCTTCCCCTGCCCTACAGGAGGGAGGGCTGCGGTGGGCAGGGGGGTGCACATTTTGGAAGAGCCTCCCTGGCCCCGGCTTGGAGATACCCGGCACGGCTCACCTGAGCTTGGCATGGCAGTGCTTGCAGCAGAAGCAGGCATTGTGGAAGACGAATTTATCTGCCACCAGCCGCTCCATGGGGTAGACGGTCTTCTGGCAGGCCGTGCACATCTCCTTCACCTGCGCCTTCAGGCTGAAGGACTGGGCAAGGGGACAGCAAAGGGAAAGAGGGTGAGGAAGGGGGTTTGGAGGTCTGGTGCCCATCTCACCGTGCAGCCACCTTCCCCATCATCCCTGCTGCCATTTGCTGGAGCACCAGTAAGCCTGAAGCAGCCTCCCATCGCCCTCCCAGTACCAGTCCATTGATGCTGGGCTGGATTGGTGCTCAGGCTTTAGGTTTCCGTCCTCTCCCCCTCACCATGAAGCTGTAGAGTGCCATAAAGCTGTAGGTACCTTGGAGCGCTGCACCGTGCTGCCTCCTGAGTTGTTCTTTGCCTCCTAAGGAGAGATGGAGCAGAGAAATCAAAATGAGAGCCTGAGGGGCTAAAGGGGCTCGTTGCTGAGCTGTGCTAAAGGAGGAAGCAGCAGAGGATTTGTACGAGCAGCTGAGCAGCAGGACCTTGGGGCACGCCGGCAGCCTCAGCCTGGCCATCACAGCACCCCGTGAGTCTCTGAACTCATTTGCCCAGAGGCCGTGACCTCAATCAGGCCCCGGTGTGCACTGCTTGCACTGTGCTGCTTCTCCTGAAGTGACGAGGAGGAGGAAAGGAAAATAGAAAAAGAGGGAAAGTCATTTATATACTGCAGAGGGAACTCGCACCAGGAGGCCGTGGGACTTCCCTGGGGCTGTGGGCACAGAGCGGCCAGCGCTGCCTCCAGCACTGCTCACTGAGGCTTGGGTCCAGCACATGCCACGGCTTTGTTTCGTCTGGGACCAAGTACGTAGCAAACACACCGGCTGCTTTTTTTTTAGAGGCAGCACATGAGCACAGACACAGGGGTGTCACACTGTCGGCACTGCAGAGCACAGCCCCGGGGTCGTGCAGCTCTCCCCATCTGCCGGTGATCGCTGTCCTTGGCTACCTACCATGCATATCTCAGGCCAAGCAGGGCTGGCACTAACCCTCAGTGAAGCAGAGGAGTGCGGCTGAAACATCCCTGCTTCAAGATCCTTTGGGACAGAGAAGGGGAAAGGGCTTTGCAGAGGGGCTGCAGCAGCCCCCATAGCACAGCCCTGCACTGGGAAGCCTCGTGCTGCCTGGTAAGTCCCTTAGCTAACAACAGCTCTGTTTGGGTGATAATTAACGCTTCTTGTGCTGGAGGCACACCGGGCTCAGCCAGGTTTTTTCCTGCAGTGGGAGGGTGCCAGGCTGGCCGTGTGCCCAACCAGGGTGCCCCTCGCCCTCAGGAGGTGCGTTGTGCTGGGTGCCCCTCGCCGGATGTTTTGTGTCTGAGCTCCCCTGCCAGGCACTGCCGCGCTGCGCAGGAAACGCCTGCGCCGTGGCTGAGACCGAAAAGCTTTCAAAACCTCCCCACAGACTGCACGTGTGTGGGGCAGGAGGGGGAACGGGGCACAGGCAGGGCTAAAGATGAGCCCTGCTGCCTTCAGCTGCTTGGCGGGGGGGATATTGCTCAGCCCCTGCAGCTGTGGGGGGAGCAGCGGGGCAGATGCAGGCACTGAGGTGCCCCAACCTCTGCCCTCAGCATCTCCAAGCGAGGTCTCTGCAGATTCACAGGGGTCCCATCGTGAAGTCCCTCTGGTCTGCAGCTGCAACAGCCCATCACCGCCTCCTCCTCCTCCTCCTCCTCCTCCTCCTCCTCCTCCTCCTCCTCCTCCTCACTCAGTCACCTGCAAGCCTTTTTTATTTTTTAGCCTCCCTTTGCACTGATGAAAATGCCCCCTTTCTCCTTCCAGTAGGGAACAAAGGGAGCATTTTTTAGTGCATTTTTCAGCCAGGGCTGCTCTGTGCTCCTCGTTCCCAGGGCAGTGACCTGGGAGCATCACCCCGCCACCTCCTCGTCCTTCCCCTTGTCGCTGCCGTAGCCCTGCTTGGACAACGCGCCCCAGCTCTGCCCCCAGGGTGCTCTCCCACCCCCCTCCCCCTGCTTTGCCCTTCCTCCATTTCTCCTTTGTATTTTTGGAAGCAGTTTGTCTAAGAGACACACAGGAAGCTCTCACTTCGCTAAGCTGCCTCTTCAGACGTTTCCCAGCTGCTCGCGCTGACTGAGGTCTGCGATGTGATTTTTTTTCTCCCTCCTGCTTGCACAAGGCTGGAGGAGGAAGCCAAAATCAACAGAGGAACATGGGCGGTGGGGAGACTCGGGCTGCGTAAAACCAGTTGCGTCCCTCGGCCCTGCTAAAGCATCCCCCGGTGCTCTCCGGAGGTTAGGGTAGGGTCTGAGGTGCTCTTTCTAGGCTCAGCTGAGCAGAGCGAAGGCAAACGCTGCTGCCTTGGAGCTGGATCACATCCGTTCCCAAGGCTACAGGCAACCCACCGCCTCTCGTCACTTCTCGGCAGCCTCCTGGCTCGGCTCAGGCTCACCAGCTATCGCTATTTCATATCTGACCCATCCTCCCCCGGGGAAGGGCCGTATCCTGTCCCAGCAGGGGCTGTGCTTCAGCTTTGATGTTTTTCCATCTCCGAGCGCTCCGACCCTAAGCAGCTCGCATGCTCTCCATTGTGATCACCGAAAGCCATGGAAACACAAACAAACAGCCAAAAAAACCCTGCTCCAGGCAGGAGCAGGGTGAGGGACGGGCTGGGCGCCGGGACGCTGGCTGAGCACCGTGCTCAGCAAACAGCACCTTCTGCTGGAACATCCCTGCCCCTTGTCCTCACGGCTCAGTAGCAGCGACTGCGCCTTTGGTGGCTCTAAAATGCCCCGTCCTGCACACAGCTTCCCTGCCCAACCTTCCACCCCGAGAACAAACCCAGCTGGTCACGAAATTCGCATACAAACCACGGGGGGAGCGACATACATGAGCCGGGGGGGTGCTGGCGGCTTCCGTGGCCTGGAACATGGTCCCTCGCCCTCCTCCGTGCGCTTGATCCTGAGCTTGAAGCTTGTGGCCCGACGGTCCCTGGGGAGGTGGCTGAGTGGTGCAAGGTGGCCTCTTGCAACACCTGGAGAGGAAATGTCAGCAGGATGAGGCCGATTTCGTCACCCCAAACCCAGCAGCTGCTCGTCTCTGCAGGAGCTGGTGCCTGCTCAAAGCTTGCTCTGTGGGGTCGGGGCAGCCTCTGGGGTCTGGGATTCCTGGGGCACCCCCGGCAGGAGGTGCAGGTCTGGGGCACAGCCGGGATAAGAACCTGGCAGGCGATCTTGGGCGCTGAGCTGAGCCTAGCGCACAGCTCGGTACCTCCTGTCCCCTTTCCTATGCAAAAATATGGGCTGGGATGGGAGAGGGAGACGTGGAAATGCGACAGCTCCTGCGAAGAGCCTCCAAACCACACGTGGAAGGCAATTACCAGGCAATGGCCAAGCTGTCGGCAGTGAGGATAAGGGATGCAGCTTCCAGGCAGAGCTGCTCTCCTGCCCAGGCAGTGGAACTAGAGCCCAGGGTTTCACCGATGCAGCCACCAAAGGATTGGCGACGCTAAAATCACAAAGATGGTGATTTTAGTCTAATTGTAACCCAGAAAAGCCTCACTGAGGTTGAGGCTGAGCGCGGTTCCCTGAGAGGCTGCGGCCTCCAGGTGATGTGCCGAGTGCCCAGGAGGCTGAGTTCGAGGCGTCTCTGACCGCTTTTAATGCAGCACGGAACAAAACAAAACAAAACCAAACCACCAGCATTGCAAACCAGTTCCTTTGGTACAAGATAAAAAGGCCCTGACATCCTCACGGGGGTTTCCCCATTGCACCTTAACTTGAAAACACCCAAAAAAGGCCAGGGTTGATGAGCCCTGTTGTGCACATGCGGAGCTGAGCACCACGAGGCACAGAGGGAGGAGCAGAGCAGCAGACAATGAACCCGTGGCCTTCATCCCCGGCCCCCCCCATGTTGTCCTGGGTGCAAAAGCGGGGAAAAGGGTGGTTCTGCAGGGACAGGGAGGTGCTGGGGGCTGGCAAGCCAGCACTCCCTGCTCCTGCTGATCTCGTGGTGACGTTTGTAAATGTGCCTTGGGTTTTGGAGGGCACTTTGGTCCCCAAAAAGTCCCAACACTCAGCAGCTGGCTTCAGGCATGAGCAGCACCCAGCTGAGCACCCAAAATTAATGCCTGCTTTCAGGGTTCAGCTTTGCTCCGGGTCCTGAGCAGCAGCAGAGGAGCCGGGCTCACCCTCGCAGGCCAAGGGGCTGGGCAGCCCCTGCTGCAAACGTTTCAGAGCTCCGGCTGAGAACACGGCTTCGATTTTACCTAAATCATTTCCCGTCTCCTCTGCGGTTCGCTTGTTATTTCCTGCTCGCGAGCAGGGCGGGTGGCGGTGCACGCAGGCGGCTGCCGTGGCCCCACGAGCACCCTGGGCTGGGCAAACGGGGCTGGGGGTGCAGCCCGAGCCCACGGCCCCTCTCTGCCCCCCACGTCCTGGCGTAGCACCTTCCCTCTGACACCTCGGGGGTGTGCACGGTGCCTAAAGCACAGCACAGACCCCAAGGGGAGCCTGAGGAACCCAGCAAACCCCGCTGGTTTGCACCCACCACGTGCCTCGAGCGCAGATGCATGACCCTTGCCCTTCTCACCTGCCTTTCACCCTCTCCCCTACAAACACACCTCCACCCCAGCTTCCCTTCCCCTTCCTCTCACAGCTCATCTTCCTCCCCTACCCAGTTCCCTCCTCCCCATTTTCCACACCGTCGCAGTTAACCTGACCCACATTTTGATGCTTTCCCCCCAGACCATGCTCTCCATCCTGCTGCCCCCCTCCCTCCCCACACGCCCTGCTCACAGCCCCGTACCCGCGCTCTCCCAGGCTTTGTGCCGATCCCCGTGGCAGAGCAGCCCCACAGACACGAGCAGAAGTTGCTAAACGTCCTTCCTGCTGTGGGGCAGGAGTAGAAATCTCACAGGGGAAGGGTGTGCTGAAGCGATAAGGGAAACGCAACGAGTTGGAGACCACGGGAGGGATTCTCAGAGGCTCCCAGCTGCTGTCATCGCTTTTTCAGGGAGGTGTTGGGCTGTACAGGGGGGGATTTGAGCCCCAGGCAGTAAACACATGCAGAGGAACCCCCATGGCACAGGCTTTGCTCAAGGACACATTGCCACGTAGGTGTTGGGACGTCTTCACATTGCCAGGGCAATCTCCCAGCATGCTGGAGGGGCTCACCGATTTTCTGAGGACCACAGGACAGCATCTGTGGCAAGGCAAGGAAGCCACAGCCAGGTCTGTGCTGAAGGCTGGCCATAACTGCTCTGACTTCCCCAAACCTCTGTGCCCCAAGCCAATTCGCCACCTACCCAGCCCAGGAAGAGCAGGACACTGTACTGACATCTCCTAATCATGCTCAGGATTTTGGCTCAGGATGGGATGAGAGCACCTTCACCCTGCATGTGCTGCTCCTCCTGCATCCGATGAGCCTCCAGACTGGGCTTGTGCCCTCTGCCCAGGGGGATGGAGCAGCCTGGTGGCAGCACTGGTGGCTGCAGGGTGGGGAGCACAGAGAGGTTTGGGTCTCACAGAGGTTTGGATCTCACAGGGGCCTGGATCTCACAGGGCTTTGGCTCTCGGTGGCACTGGAGCCAGCACGATGTGCTCAGCGCCCAAGCTGCCAGCCAGGGACTTTCCTGGTGCTCTCAACAAGCTGATTTTTAGCTCAGGACCTCGGGGTTGGAGCTCTTCTGGCACCTGCAGGGGACGTGTGCCTGCCGCTGTGTGAAAACAGCCGGGGAAGCGCCGCAGCTCTGCCTTTTGGCACTGACCAAGGAGCTCTTTGGGTCGAGGAAGGCAGCGCTCAGCCCAGAAGCTCCCTGCTCACAGCAGGGTTTGTCCTGCAGCCCCTCCTGTCCCCGCTCACCTTCCTGCCTGGCCCCCGGGGACAGGCGTTAAGGACAGGGAAGCGTTTGGAGGGGCCCCTCCGGGAAATTCCCAACCCACTGGAGGATGGAAGCACCCCCCGACCACAACCTGCCCCTAAAACAGCCAGGCCAGGCGTGGGGTTTTTCCACCCTTCTCCTAATCCAGCAGGGCCGCCCAGGCTGCCCTCGGTGCCTCTCCAGCCCGGTCCCACGGGGCCCCCGGCGCGGAGCAGCCCACTGCTGGCTGCACGCCTCGCCGAAAGCCGAAGGGTTTCCGCTACAGGAAAGCAACGTGACTGCAGAGGGCGAGAGGCCCCTCTCCGCCATATGGTTCCCATTAAGGGCCCTGTGAAGTGAATGTTTACTGCTGGGATCGCTGGGCCACGGCAAGAGGCTTTCCCAAAGACCAAACGCAGCACGGGGGATCCGGGCCCCTTCCTTCCCCGGGTCCCAGGAGGATGCTGAGCGTCCCCGGCAGCACGGCAAGGCACGGGCAGGGGCTCAACACCTCGGAGAGGCTGTCAGGCCTCTCCCCCATGAAACGGAGCACCACCGATGTCCCCATGATCGTGTGCAGGATCAGCACAGCTTACACACGCAGGCCAGCCCCTGAGCAGCTCAGCGCCTGGCTTTGTGGCAGGGCTGCAGGGAAGGAGCTGGATGAGGCCAGCCCCCAGCCTGGGGGTCTCCAACTCGCTGCACAGCCGGGCCCTGTTTCTGCAGCCACGGGGCATCACGGCCAAACTACACCGTGAAGAGTCAGCATCAAATGGGCCAGCACCTGACCAGGGGGCTCAGCACCCCCGATGCTGTTTCAGCTTCTCGAGAATGGAAAGAGAAAGCGAGCTGCATTTGTGGGGAGGCGGCAGAGTGAGCCCGGTGGTCTTGACTCCAACCTTGGCCATGGAAGACTTCGTCAGCTTCAGATCTTGGCTTCTTGCGTGGCTTTAAGCCAACCACTTGACCTCACCAGTATCAGCTTTGGGATGCTTTGGCTCAGGACAAAGCACCCTGGGGAGGACCAACAGGGCCACCGGTGCAGCCCCACCACCCCAAGCTGCTCCTGCCCGCACCCCACAGCCCCACACTACCTTCCACCAGCCTGCCCCACTAATCCCCTTTCCATCCACGTCCCGCACCCGGGCTGCCTCCTGAAAGGCTGCCAGTGGGCAGGAAATCTGCAGCCAAAGTGCTGAGGGATGCTGACAAGGGATACTTGTGGGGACGAACAGGGCTGCCTTTGTCAGGGCACCGACGGGGGGACCCGCACACACGAGGAGTGAGCCCAAGGGGAGCCCCTGCCCACCCCTTCTGCTCTCCCACCTTCAGCCCTGCCCGGCTCTGCCTCCCAGAGGAGGTCACAGCCCTTGGAAGGACCGGGGTGAGGGGATCCGGGCTGGGCCAGCCCCTGCCTAGCTCAGAGGAGGAGGCTGGGGCAGGAGGATGCTGCTGGGATCCATCTGATTTCCAGGAGTGGAAACTGAAGCACGGAGCAGCCCGTTCCTTGGCCCACGGCCATGTTTTATGGCATCCCTGAAAGGTTAAGGTCTGAAGGGAGTCTCTGCGCCCTGGGATCTCTTCTCTTGCTAGGAGTCAAGATTGAGTGGACAAATGCAGCAGAAAGCCCACTGGGAGGTTGGGATGAGCCTCTTCCAGGCGGAGATGAACCTTTCTCATTAATGATTGAGCAAGCAGCAATGGCCAAAATTGCAGGTTGCGAGGTTCGGGTTGGACATTAGGTAAAAACACTTCACAGGGAGAAAGGCCTGGAAGCTCTGCAGCACGGTACTGATCAAGTGCCATATAAACCTGGTGCAAAGAGGCACGAGAGGCAAAGAGCAGGCCGTGCGCCCTCCCTCCCCTTCTCGTTTTTCCATAATCCCTTCTACAACCTCCTCATGTTCCACCTGGAAACCTCACCTTCTGGTTTCCTGCCTTTATCTGCTTACTGGCATGATGCCCACAGTTTGCCCACCCTAATGTTTGCCTCTCCAAAGTCTTTCTAAAGGCTGTGCCTGTCGGCCTCCTCTTTCCCCAGGAGAAGCCAACCCTTTTACTCTGCTCTCCAGTCCTCCAGCTCCTTTGGTGGCTCACCGCAGGCAGGTGGATGCCCCACACTGGAGGAAATCTCAGACCTTTGTCTCTTGGTATGAATACTTCCCTGGCACCACAGAAAACACTTGGCCCGATGTTTTCTTCTCTCACCTCTGCCAGTAATCCTAGATGCTCATTCTTCTTCAGTGCCCTCCACTTGCTGAGGTCCCCCCGCCTACAGCAGCTTCTTGTTGCAGCTTGCCAAGCACCTGGCTTGGCTCAGCTCCACTTGAGCCATTTCTAGGAATCTGGCTCCCCGTCCTGTTTGCTGATCTGCTTTTTCTCACCGTAGGCAGATGTCCTGCGTCCTGCCAGCATTGCTCCATCTCACCTGGGCACTAAAGGGGCTGCTAACACCTTCAATCTCTAGACCTCCCCTTGCAGCAGGATCCAAGTGTCCTCTTTCCATTTTTCTGTATCTTCTTTGTCCTCTTTCCCCACTTCTTTATCCTCTTTCCTAGCTCTACCTGAAGTCATTTCCCTGGGGCAGTGTACCAAGGGCTTTCCTTAAATGTGGACTCGTTAGGCCACATTGTTTTGGAAGCTGGTTATCACATCCAAGGAAGATACCAAGATAACTTGACATGATCTGTGTTGAAACCACGCTGCATTTTATTCTGCTTCCCAACATTTAATTCCTCTTCCAAAACCTCTCCTAGAAACTCATTTTTATTGTACTCCAACCAGTGGACTTGTAACTACCTGTAAGTTCCCCTTCCCCCAAACATAACCTGTGGATGTTATGTTGGCTGATCTCCTCCCTTGGAATATCACTGGTAAAACACCAGACTTTGGCCTTGCACTTCCTACGTGGGTTATCCCATACCTTGAACAAAACCCAGAGAGCCCCATCAGCCTGGGAGCTGGTGCTGCTTCACCACCTGCAGCAAGAGCAGGGGGGAGTTCTGCTCCCAAACCCAAACCCCAGCACAACCTCATCTCATGGTCCTTCCACACCAGCCCTGTGAGCACTGCTGTGGGCTCCTGCCTTTGCTGCCCAACGTACGGATTGCATCCAAAAATTCAAGCCACCAGAAATGGCATTCGCATGTCAAAGTTTCCAAAAAGCTCCTTCTTTTTGAGCTGACCCGTCTGTTCTCAGCTCAGCCTTCACCTCTGTGCTCTCTGGTAGGATTCAGGATGCCACACAGCCCGGCGTGTGCAGGTTCTTGTGTCTGAAAGACCTTGAGCCAGCCACGTGGAGAGAGTTATGGGCACACCAGAGGAGTGAAAAATACGTCTAAATTGTGCTTAGTAGTATTTGCAATAATCCCTTCACCCAGCTTTAATGTCCTCCATCCCAGCGCTGTGCTAGCAGCTAGGTAAGCTCTGCAACACCCCCAGACGGCAGATAGAAATGGCTTATCTGGAAAGTGAAAGGCAGACACCTCGGGGAACATGGCCTGACCATGGGCAACACTTGGAAAGCTGGGGATGGGCAAAAAGGAGAGGAAAAACCCACCACAGCTGGGCCTGAAGGGGGTATCTGTAGGCTCGCGGAGCTGACACGCCAAAGGAAACCAGAAGTGAAACTCCCTTCCCTAACGAGAAGTCTCATGGGACTTGTGTTGACCAAAAAAAGTCAGCAGCTTTGTTTTGAGCCCGGTGACAGCGAAGATGCATCCCGTCACTTCGCACCCTGTGCTGTGCTGGCCCACGGGGGGGCCCTGCAGACCCTCGCTTCCTAACGGGGATTTGGTTCCCTCGGGGCTCCCACTGAGGAAGGACGTTAGCACGGGGGCAGTTTCAGACTACGCTCGATCAGTTACCCTGCAATTATTATTTTTTTAATCTGCATGAATAACGCCGCAGACGAGCTCTTCCTGGCCTTAAATACGTGGCAGCTCAGCTGGGGCACCAGATGTCTTCCCTGGGAGAGCCCTCGCGCGATGTCTTCGGTGGACAAAGCCCAGCTTCCAAGGCATGATCCGGGCTGCCGAATTAGCCGGCTTTTCCAGAACTGCTGCCCACCCCATGGGCAGAAACCGGGGGAAAAATTGATCAAAAACGTGACCTGCGAGGTAGCTCGGCTGGTCTCAAGTGACCCAAGGGGATTGCAGGGATAAAGCCGGTGGTTACGGTGCAGGACTGCGACCTGGGAGACCTGGGGTTGCTCCCAGCTCTGCTGCTCATTTCGGGGTGATGCTGGGCACACCGTTGCATTTTTTTTTTTCTGTTCCCTTTCCATCCCCCCCCCCCCCAAGGCTGAAAACAGAGCTGATCTCCTTTGTGAAGCCCTGGGAGATCCCTGGCTGTTCGGGGCTGTGTCAGAGCTCGGGGTATTTGTGTTGTAATTAAATCTCACAGCCATGCAACAGCCTCCCCGGGGAAGTGATGAAAGACCTGGCGCTGCAAAGGTTCAGGGCTGGGCAGGATGGGGCTGGGAGACAGCACCGGGAATTAGCGGGCATCAGCCGAGGGGGATAAGGGGCTCGGGATCTAACAGGTTCCCTTCCATATCTGCTCCTTCCCATCGGCTTAATAAAATGGATCTGTCCAGCCCCCCTCCAGCACGCACTGCAGCGCACAACAAAGAGGGAGCTCAGCCCAGCGCGGGGATGTGAGCCCCGAAATGCTGCGCCTCCAGACCCCGCTGCGGCCGTGCCGGTGCCCCCAAGCCCTCCCCTCACCCCACAAAGCACCGGGTGCGGGTCCTGCACCCTCCCAGCCCATGTGGGGTCCGGGGTGCTCGCCCCCTGCCCCTCCCCAGCAGCATCGCCCCCCCTAAATGTTCCTGGAGCTCTGGCAGCATCCCCTTTTCCCCACCTGCCCTCGGGGAGCAGAGCCCCCCTTGTGCTCCCCCCACCCCAAATCTGCTTCCCGTGCCCCCCCTGGCCGAGCCTCCTCCCAAAGCAAAAGTTCCCGGCGCATCTCCTGCCTGGGGGTCTGACCTCTGGGGGGGGGGGCGAGCATAGGGGGATGGAAACCCCCACCTGCTGGGTGGCTCTGCTTTTAGGGCTCCCCAATCTTCGCATCCCTCCTTTCCCCCCATCCCTTTCTCCCTGGGTGCCTGCCTCTCTCCCTCCCCTCACATTTCCCCTCTCCCCCCCCATTTTCCCCTCTCCCCACCTCCCCACCCCAGCCGCCATCCCCACGCTGGGCGACCCCTGACGCTCCCCAAATTTCGTGGTGCCCACCCAAGCTTTGTCTCCCACCCAGCGGCCCCGTTCTTCCCGGCACAGCGAGGCACCCACCATACGCCTGGGCTCCGCGGCGGAGGTGCCGAGCGGGAGGGCTTGGCCCCAGCGGGGTCCGGCCGTCTGTCCGGCCGTCTGTCTGTCCTTTGGCCGTGCCTTTTGGCCGTGCCTTTTCTCTGTGCTGCAGAGGCCGGGGCTGTGGGCGCGGGGAGCGTTTCCTGCGAGCTCCCACGGCCGCCTCGCGAGCCCTTTTTATCGCTCGGCCGCCGCGGTGATTGGTTCCCGGCTTCGTGCCGGCTTCGAGCCGCTGGCTCCTTTGTGTGAAGCCAACCTCTCACCCCCGGCCTCCCCCAGCCCTCTCCCCAGGCCGGCAGGGCGATGCCGAAGCCCCCAGCCCGCCGAAGGTGCCACCAAAATCGCCCCTCGCCCCCCAGCTCCCTGCCACGAGGCCCGGGTGGGCTTCGCTCGGGGCCGTGGGCTCGCTGTGCCTGGCACGAGGCCACGCAAAGCATCCCACGGGGACCCTACAGGATCCGACCCTTGAGGATCCCGCAGGATCTGACCCTCCATGGTCCCCCCCAGCCTCCTGAGGGTTTTGGAAACCTGGGGTTTTTACCCCCGGGTGGGTTTAGGAGCGTGCGTGGGGTGGTGGCGCGTGAGGTGCATTTCATGGCCAGGGTGGGTATTTGGGGTGAGCAGGGTCACCACCGAGCGTCCCCCCTGCTGCTGCTGGCTGTGGGGCCGAGGGGATGAGGTTTGGGGGCTGGGGGGTCCCCAGAAATAGGGCAGAGGGGCAGGAAGGACCAGGTAAGCACTGACGGTTAAATCTGCAGGGAACTGGGAGGCAAGCTGGGAGCGGGGAATTGGGGATGGGAAAGTGGGCTGGGGTTTGGGGTACCCCGTGGTGCACACAGGGGCTTCCCCTTCCCCTCCCAAACCCCTCCGGTGTGGGGGAAATGGAGGCCAAGTGTGCAAAGTGCTGCTGGGGAGAGCTTTGGGGTGCGTTCGGGCTCCTCAGTACAGCGTGGGGCTGGGGACAGCACCGGGTCCGAGTGTGGTGCCTGCTCCCAGCTGCAGAGGTGGGTGAGCGATCGCTTTGGAAAAAAAAATCAGTGCAAAAAAAAAAACATTTACAGGATTTATGGTGGTGTTTACCAGCCGAGGAGGTGGCAGCGGTGCCGTTCGTCACCTCTGGCCCCCGAGCAGCCTCTGCGGTGAGCGGCCTGCTGCCACCCGGGGCAAAGGGAAGAGGAACCGGAGAAAATCCGCGGCTGCCAGGCCTGGTGGCAGGGGCAGCGTGCACGTGTGTGCAAACAGACACACGCTCACACACACAGACAGACTCATGTGCACACAGGTACTCACACAAAAGCACACGCATGCTGGCGTGCTTGTGCACACACACATGCATGGACACGTGCACACACATGTACGTGCTCCCACACACACATATGAGCCCACACACGCATGTGCACATGGCTGCGTGCACCCCAGCTGTTGCACACAGCCACACGTGCACACCCATGGAAGCAAATGCATGCTAGCGTGCGCCTGCACATGCATGGTTGCACACACACAGCCGTGCACACACACCCCCGTGCACCTACACACCCCCACCTGTGCACACATCCCCTGTGTGCACATTGCTGTGCACAACCCCCTGTGCAAATCCCTGTGTGCACACACCCCCATGCACACACACACATGCACACGCACACTATGTACACACACACAGAGCTATGCACACACACACTGGTGCACACCCACACCCCTTGCACACCCACAACCACACCCTATGTGTACACACACACACTCATCACACCCACACCCCTGGTACACCCCCACCCATGCACACACACAGACACACCCCATGTGCACATACACACACAGCTATGCACACACACCCCATGTGCACACACCCCATGTGCACACACACATGCACACACACAGCTATGCACACACACCCCCCTTGCACACCCACACCCATGCACACACACCCCATGTGCACACAGCTATGCATATCCACACCCCTTGCACACCCACACCCATGCACACAAACACCATGTGCACACACATGCACACATACAGCTATGCACACACACATCTTGCACACCCGCACCCATGCACACACACCCATGTGCACACACACACATGCACATATACAGCTATGCACACACACACCCCTTGCACACCCACACCCATGCACGCACACACCATGTGCACACACACACATGCACACACCCCCCCCTTGCACACACACCCCATGCACACCCCCCCCTGTACACCCACCCACACTCCATATGCACACACCCCCCCATACACCCCCCCATACACACCCACACCCCATACACCCCCCCTTGCACCCCCTTGCACCCCCTTGCCCCCCCCGTGCCCCCCTTTGCACACTCCCCCCCCCTCCCGTTGCACACCCGGTGCCGGGGGGGGGGGGGGAGGGGCGCTGCGGGTTGCCATGGCGACGCGCGGGCCCCGCAGCAGCCCAAAGGGGGCGTGGCCTGATTCAAAGCCCCGCCCCCTTCCCCGCCCCTCCCGTCCCGCAGGGGGCGCCATGGCGCGGGGTCCCCCCCCCCCCCGTGAGGCGGCAAGATGGCGGACGCAGCCCCGGTTTGCGGCTTCGTCTTCAAGAAGCGGGGCCCGGCGGCGGGCCGGGGGCGGCGCAAGCGGCCCAGCAGCGACCAGGAGGGGGGTGAGGGCACCGGGGGGGGCGGCTCCGGGCTCTCAATACACGGGGGGAGCCCAGGGAGGTGAGGGGAGGTGAGGGGAGGGGGGCGCGGTGCCCGCCCTGCGGTTGCGTCCTGAGGGCGGGTGAGGGGGGCTCGGTCCTTGGCTCCCCCCTCAGCCCCCGGGTTCCTTCCCCAGAGAGCAGCGGCGAGGAGGGCAGCACCGTGGTGCGCAAGGAGAGGCGGCGGGAGGTCCCCAACCCCATGATACAGAAGGTAAGGGGGGTTGGGGGGGCACGGGAGGGTCCTTGGGGGTCCCTGAGGGTCCCTGGGGGGTCCCGGGGTCCTGCCCGCCCTCACCCCGCTGTCTCCTCGCCCCCCAGACCAGGCGGTGTATGAAGGAGAGGCCGGCGTACGCAGCCAGCAGCAGCGAGGACGAGGATCCGTCCAAGGAGATCGGCGTCACCTACAAATCCACCAGGTCGGCGGTAAGGACGGAGCGCGGCGGTGGTCCAGAGAGGCTCTGCGGATGTGGGATCAGTTATTGATCAGTTATTCCTGCTTTTTAGCTACAGATGTGTTGCTCTGTCCCTTCTCTCTTCATACACCTCGTGCTAGGTTTATTCTCCTGCTGCCCCCTGCGTTACTGGCAGGCCATCGAAGGTTGGTTGTCCTCTCTCAGAGGTGGGAGTTAAACTTGCCCAACGTCACACAAAGTTTTCAGGAGATGGAGCACTTGAATCAGGTTTACCTAATTGTTAGGTTCATGTTTACAGCTTTAGAACAGCTTCCTGGCCAAGGAATTCAAGTAACTTAGGAAGTGCATCCATCTTCATTCTTGTGACTAGTGATGGGGTAAAAGCTACGGAGAGAGGTCAGTTTGGGATTGACAGGAGGCACCTGAGGGTCCTCTTAACAGCTGGAGTGGAAAGAAGTCAGTTGTGAAGGTTTGGAGCTCTTCCCACTGGATTTTTCTCTATCTCTCCTCTTTATGCAGTGAAATTGTGCCCATTAGTAAAAGTCCGGCCAGGATATAAGTAGTATTAAAAGCAAGTACCAACATTTGGTGTATTGATTCTTTTTATCCTCTTCAGTCTTATTTCCTCAGTCTTCGTGCCTCCATTTCTTCTGTATAAAATGGGAATAACGTCCAGCTGTCCCCAGTCACAGATGCAGGATCAGACTTGGGTCTCCTTATCACATTAGAAACTAATATGAAAACTCGTGCTGTGATTATTCACCGCTTTGGCTGCTGCAAAGGGGGGGGCTGCATATTGTTAGCCCTACTTGCTGCAGGAAAATGGGAAGGGAGGAGGAGGTGACAGCCTTCGGGCTCCAGAAGCTTTTGGCATATAAGTTAGATTTGTTTTCAGTTCAGGCTGGTTATAATTATTCTTCAGTTTCTGTGCAGCTGTTCCTGGAGAGCTGGAATAGGTGTCTCCTTGGTGCATTCAAGAGGAATCTAAACCAGATCACTGTATTAAAACTGGGTGCAAGCCACCCACAGCTGGGTTAAAAGTTTGGATGTAACATCCTGCGTGTAGGCAGGACTGGTCTCATGATTGGAGTGTTGAACGCAGGAGACCTGAGCTCAATTTCCAGCTAAGCCAAGGCTGAGCTTGAAGGAGTAAAGTGAGGACAAGCGTGTCCTGACTGTGCAGGCTAAAACTTAGGAGCAATCAGTAATTAGCATCCTGGCCTCTGCAAGCACTGCATCCAGCCTGGGGGGGATTCACTCAGGAAAGTGGTAGAGGAAGATGCAAACTGCTGGAAGGTGAAGCAGGCCGTGCTCAGTACTAGCTCTGTGACCCCCCCCACTCCAGGTAGCCAAGGAGCTTTGTCTTATGCGGGTTTTCACTTCGCCGTGGTCACAAATTGTTCTTGCTTTTCAGAAACCCGTCGGCCCAGAAGACATGGGGGCCACAGCAGTGTATGAGCTGGACACGGAGAAGGAGAAAGATGCCCAGGCCATCTTTGAGCGCAGCCAGAAGATCCAGGAGGTCAGTCAGCCTTGCTCTGTAGGAGCAGGTGCTATGCTAGCAGGAGTATGTGTGTTTTACTCATCCCCTTCTGCATGCCAAAAAGAGTTGGGAGTCTTTTCCTCTCTTAAGGAGGACAAAAGTGTTGCCCTTATAAATAGAGGAACTTTCTGGATTTATTGATATCTTGGTATTAAGGAAGGCAGGGCTGGGCTGGGAGACTGTTGTCACGGATGTAAAAGCTAATCCAGGACCTGAAGCTCTTCTGACCCTTAATAACTTTTTTCCCCCCTACCTTTCCTAGGAACTGAGAGGAAAGGAAGATGATAAAATCTACCGTGGTATTAACAACTATCAGAAGTATGTGAAGCCCAAGGACACGTCCATGGGAAATGCCTCTTCAGGAATGGTCAGGTAGGTTGGGATGAGCCTTGGAGGAGTGGGATCGCAGAGGAGTTCAGGCACTGTCCCCAAAGGCACTTGTTTGGGGCTTGAACTTTGCTGATCCTGCCGACTTGTTCCTGTCTAATGAGTCCGGTGTCTGGTTCTGACCAGGCCCCCAGGGGCCTTCTCCACTGCAGCGGCACAGCTGGCCTGAGCCTTCTCCCACCCTTTC